CAGGGGAGCCTACATTCCCCTTGCTGGCTTTGCCCCCTACCACCCTGATTCTTACGTGTGCTGTTTGGGCACTGCGACCACATCTGGTACAGCTCACCCCACCTTAGCATTCCATAATGTACATTGGTTTGTGTCTCGACTGTACCTGGCCCGACCCACGCTCAGTTCTGAAGCTCGGATTTGCCAGCGGTTGATGTAAATGGGTTCAGCCTGGTCTGCCCCCCACCTATGCTATATTTATGCCAGTGGATATCTTTCTCTGGCCTTGTCTGGGTTGCTCCCTCTTGTGATTCTTACACTCACCTGTGGGGACTGTATTCCATCAGAGGTGTTTCCCAAGCTCCTCCATCAGAACCACTCCCTATGCCAGATCTTGCGTGTACTGGTGGTTCCATGAGCCAGCCCTCATTGCTGGCCTTCAATCCGTTCCAGTTCTTACTGTTGGTTGTTTTAGCCCAGAAGGCTTGTCCATGCCCAGACACTGCTCACACATGGCTCAGTAGGGGCAGAAACCCAGCTTAGTCTGTCCTGCATTTACCCAGGTTCTCCAGAGCACCAGATGGTGCTGGTGTCTAGCCTGGCTTGGTGCACCCAGCCCCATTCCACACTTGTGCCAAGGGGGATCGCAGCCATATCTAGACCAGACCGCAGCCCCCACTCTAGCCCCCACACTCTCCCACGGAAAACCCGACCCAGCAAGGGTGTATTCTCAAAGCTCCCCAACCAAGTCTATTCCCAGCCCTGAATTACACACATGCCAGTGGTTGCTCTGACCCAGTTGGCTTACCCCCTCACCTGTCTCAGCCACTGCCCTCGATGCTGTGGCCTAGTTTTCCTGGTTTATGCAGACTAGTCAGTGTACAAGCATAGTTCGGCATGACATGTGCTCCATCGTGAATTCTATTCTTTCTTGTGAGTTGAGGTTTGCTTGGCCCTGCCCGATCTACCCCTTCCAGCTGCAGCTAGGCCAACCCCACATCCTATTTTAGGATGCACATTTGGGTGCTGCTGCCTTGACCTGCCTAGACTGCTGTCGGTTCCTTTACCCATAAGTGATGGCAGGTGCCATGGTCACACATAGCTCAGCCAATCACCACCCCAGCTCACGAACTAACCTGTGGGACTTGTATTTCCATGGGGTTGGGCCCACACTTCCCTCACAGAGTCTGCCCCTGGACCTAGTTCTCTCACATGCTAGTCAGTGTCTTGACCCTGCCAAGTGTGACCAGTCCACTATTCCATCACCCAGTCAGATACTGGTACCTAGCCCTTCCAGACAGACCCACATCCATAGCTTTGATATGGACTGGTGTGTGGCAGTCAGTGATGCTCTATGCTAACAGCCCATCTCAGGATTCCTAATTTGGCTGGTGAATCAGTCTGACCCAAATAGATCTTATGGACACTCCCCTCCAAACCATCAGATCTCAGTCCCATGCTTGCTCGAAAATTTCATGACCCCATTACTGGAAATCACCCAGAATGCATCTCTCACCTACGCTAAAACTGGCCTCATTCATGTGTGTCCCTAGGCAGCAATTACATATTCTAAAAACCCCAGAGTTCGCCACTGGGTGGCCAGCAGACAGAGCCTGGCACCATCTGGTGCACTAGTGCCCAAAGCCTAGGACTCAGTCACTGCCTTTCAGCAGTGGTTTTGGCCTGTTCCCCAGCATTAGGTCCAGCCTGGCTGGGGCACCCCCCACAGCTGCCACTCTGCAGAGAGCTGCTTTTGCCCCAACTCCAGGGCCTGAACCCCTCCCAAACTCCTCCTCCCGCAAAATGTCAGCAGCAGGGCAGTTGCTCGACTTTTGGTCCAGCCTACTGCTGATGGCCTGGGGCAAGTAGCAGAAGATGGCTCAAGTGTTCTGGCCCTGAGCCCAGACTTGAAAGACAGTGATGAAGTTTACAGTCAACCTGGCAGTGGCAGCCATCTGGGAAGTGAACCATCTGTCTAACCCCCCCCCTTATTTTTTTTTGTAACAAAATATATGTTTGTTAAATGCTTATATTTTACTCTGTAAAACAGCTTCTAATCTGCTTTTTTTCTCTTTTATTGTTAATAACATTGTATTATGTGATACAGTTTTATAGGCACTGGGGATTCCCCCATGGTGGATTCCTCCACCTTGCTGCGTAACCACAGTTCAAGTTCAGTTGAGATTCCTTCATTGCAAGCATATACCTAGCATAGGGTCCAGCATCTTATTGTCCAGATAAGTTCAGCAGCTTCTTGGGGAGACCTTCTCTGGTCTGAAGGTAGAGCTAACAGAGTAAAGTCCCAGTCAGTTAAAAGCCCCAACAAAACACCTGCAACAATATACAATGTTATGGAATTAATTGACATAGTATTGAGTAAACAATATGTTAAAAATAATGCAAGTTCAATTTTTCAAAACACATGGGTTGAGACAGTATCAATGACAGGTTCAAAAACAAACAAATAAACAAAAATTACAGGTTAGATTAAGGCAAACGTGGTATCTAACCTTTTGGGATTCGCTCATTTCCCTTAGCATTATAGTTTCCAGTTGAGCCCATTTACCCACAAAGAACTGCATTTTGTTTTTTTTAATAGCTGAGTAGTATTCCATGGAATAGATGAACCAAAGCTTTCTTATCCAATCTTCTGCTGATGGGCATTTCAGTTGCTTCCATGTTTTGGCAATTACTGATTGTGCTGCTATGAACATAGGGGTGCATGTTGGTTTGTCGTGAAACAGGTGTTTTGGATATATTCCTAGGAGTGCTATTGCTGGGTCATATGGTATGCAGATTTTGAGTTGTTTGAGTGTTCTCCAGACTGATTTCCATAAAGGCTGTACCAACCTGCAGCCCCACCAGCAGTGGAGTAGGGTTCCCTTTTCCCCGCATCCTCGCCAACAAATGTCGTTGGTGTTCTTGTTTATGTGGGCCAATCTTACTGGTGTTAGGTGGTACCTCATCAATGTCTTAATTTGGATTTCCCTTATTGCCAGGGAACTGGGGCATTTTTCAATATATTTGTTTGCCATTTGGGCTTGTCCCTTTGTGAATTGTTTGCCCATTTCTCGTGCCCATTTCTTGAGTGGCTTGTTTGTGTTGGTGTTTTGGTTGTTTTGAAGTTCTTTGTATATCCTAGAGATTAGCCCTCTATTCCCCAAACAGTGCGCAAAGATCTTCTCCCACTCTGTGGGTTGCTTTTTTACTTTGCTGATTGTTTCCCTTGCTGTGCAGAAGCTTCTTAGTTTGATGAGGTCCCATTTGTTTATTCTGTTCTCAACTGCTATTGCTTTTGGTGTCCTTCTTAGAAAGTCAGGACCTACTCCTAGGTCTTGCAGGGTATTTCCAACATTTTCTGCCAAGAGTTTGAAGGTTTCTGGATGTAGGTTTAGGTCTTTTATCCATGTAGATTGGATCTTAGTGTATGGTGAGAGATGCAGGTCTATCTTTTTGTTTCTGCAGGCTATCAGCCAGTTGTCCCAAAAACATTTACTGAAGAGACCTTCCATTTGCTTGGACTGTTGTTGGTCTTTTTGTCAAAGATTATTTGGCTGTATCTGTGTGGGTTCCCTTTTGGTGTTTCTATTCTGTTCCATTGATCTTTCTCTCTATTTTTGTGCCAGTACCAGGCTGTTTTGATAACCACTGCACCCCCCCTTATAACTTCATCTTCCAAATAAAAATTTTTTTTTTACAAAAAGTAGACCTTTGACAAAATTGCAGAATTCTTATAAGTCTATTTTCAGCCAGCTTTTTCCTACAGTTGTGTGAGTTTTTAGAAACATACCATAACTTATCAAAATGACCATTTCTCCTCTAAGTAAGTAACTTACTTTTAGATATGTTATGTGTATAATTGCCAAAAGGATTTTGGAATACATTTTTATTGTTGGAGCTTGACTCATAGGCTCTTTAGTGCTTGTAAAGTTATTTTGTGCATGTGTTGAAAGAGGGTAAGTAGAACTGACTTCATGTTGAAGAAATGAGAAAATGATTTGTGTGATGAATGAAATAAATGATTTACACACTATAATTTCCAATGCACATTTTTAAAGTTACCATAATATCATAGGCATTCAACAGATTTTTAGTAATGAGGCACAAGTAATCAAGTATGTCAATTTCCTAAGCAATTACTTTGGAATTTGTAATGAATTGATATCCAAGTTCTGGTTTAATGATGTATTTTTAAATCTCTTTTTTAAAAATTTGTTTGTTTTTATTTGAAAGGCATACTTCAGAGGGAAGGAAAGACAGATCTCCGAGAAAGATCTTCCATCTGCTGGTTCACTCCCCCAAAATAACCACAGATTGGAGCTGAGCCAATCCTAGGCCTGGAGCCAGGAACTGGGTCTCCCTTGTGGGTGCAGGGGCCCAAGAACTTGGGCCATCCTCCACTGTTTTCTCAGGTCATATGCTGGGAGGCAGAGCAGCTGGGATATGAACCAGCATCCATGTTGGATGCCTACGCTTAGGATGGAGGATTTGCCTGTTGAGCCACACAGCACTGGCCCCTAAAACCTTATTTTTTATTTATATAGTTTATATTTAGTAATGGGAATTTTTAAGTGTGTAAGTGGTTCCTTAGGAGAAATTAGTGCATATTTGTCTTTGTAAGGCCACAAATGACTACAGAGACACACACAGCTGCGATCTATCTTACTGTTGGATAGAATATGTAATGCTTCTTACCTCTGTACTTCTATAATAGCTGTGTTTGACATAATAATCATATCCCTCTGAAAAATCATTTTCTCTAATTATGTGTAGATTGTAGTGAACTGTAGTTCATCTCTGTTCAATTGGATACCTCACTTCATCATGTTATGCGTTGTCTATCACTTAGTAGGGCTGCTCTTTTAGCTACTATTCCTAATTATATGCCTTATTTAATCCTGTTACCTTATTTAAGTTACCCAACTGGTGAAATTATCCTTTGAAATATCATTTAGTTATTTCAAAGTTTAATATAAATGCTTATGAAATACTGAAAAGTAACTTTGGTGTCTTAAATGAAGGAAAAAGAAGCTGTGTGAAGAACTTGTAAGAAATACAGATGACTATCTAGCAAATTTGGTAATGGCTAAAAACCACATTGAGGAGAAGAAAAAAGATCTGGATGCAGCCATGAAGATTGCAGGAGAATTAAAATCAGCACCTTCTCTGAGGAGCTATTGTGATTTGAATCAGGTAATTTTAATAGCTTACAGGATGTACTTGGTGGTACTTTTTATGCTTTGCAGTCTAAAGTCTAAAAATTAACAATTAATTTATTTTTTAGGTTATTTTACCTGTATTAGCATAGTTTAGAGTTCGTAAGTGTTTTAAATTCTAAGAAAAACAGTCTGAATTAATTTAACCTTTTAATTATTTTTACCGCTTAGGGGAAATAGTCAAAAGGCTTTTATTGCACATGCTCTAAGAACTAGTAGAATGATTAAGGTGGAAGTTGAGGTTTTAAGGAAACTGAATAATAGAAAATGAGGAAAAATAATAGTAACGGGGGTGGCATTTGGGATTAAGATGCGTCTTGAATACCTACATGTCATATCACAGGCCTGGTTCTACTTCCATTCTGTCTTCCTGCTAATGTGTCTCTGAAAACAGCAGAAGATGGCCCATGTAGATGCTTGGGCCTTTCTCGCCTACATAGGAAACTTGGATGCAGCTCCTGGCTTCGACCTGGCCCAGCCACAGCTACTGTGGCCATTTGGAGAGTGAATCAACAGATGGCAAGTTTCTGTCTCTGTCTTCCTGCCTTTTAAATAAATACATTTAAAGAGGCGAAAATAGATAAGTTTAGAATATGTGAAATCTACATGTAGAGATTTTAGAATATGCATTTTCCACCAGATTTTTTTTAAAGATTTATTTTTATTTTTTTTTTATTGGAAAGGTGGATATACAGAGAGGACAGACAGAGAGGAAGATCTTCCATCCAATGATTCACTCCCCAAGTGAGCACAACGGCTCATACTACACCGATCCGAAGCCAGGCCAGGAGCCTCCTCCGGGTCTCCCACGCGGGTGTAGGGTCCCAAGGAAGCGGGGCTGCCGGGATAGAACCGGCACCCATATGGGATCCCAGGCATGCAAGGCGAGGACCTTAACCACTGTGCCACTGCGCCAGGCCCCTTTCCACCAGATTTTTAAAGGCCCTTCATATGCATAGGTTTCAAAAGTTTTGCTCTAAAATTCTCAATTATATATTTCACATTTTTTGAGCTCTTACAACAGTTTGAACTCTTATAGCTCCTTTTTGCTAATTTCTTCCTTATCTTCTAAGGGTATATATCCTGTTTTCATCTTTGAATCTTAAGCAGCATTTCATTTCCCATATCTAGCTGCTGTGAATGAAGTTACAGAATAGTAGTCCTAGCTCAGTGGCTTCCAGAACCTCTATAGAAGAGTTTGCTTCCACCCTACTTGGCCTGATCCTCTTCCAACTATAATTCTAAAAGCAGAAGTAGTCATTTTCTGTGTATTACACATGAAGCACTAGAAAGCCAAAAAATACAACAAAATTTGGTCTTCACCTTAGTTAGTCTAGTTGGGAAAACAATGAAAAAATGGGAAACATTTGAAGATAGGTGCACAAGTATAAATGAATCTGAGTTTTCTGTGATCCTGTAATTATCCCATTCACTAGTGTCTGTCTCCAAAAGAATCTCAATAATGGGGAAGATGTCATAAACACTTATTTGAATCCCTTCTTTTGAGTACCTGAAAATCTAACATTGACTGTGTTCATTAAAACCTTCAGGATGCAGTATCCTGAAATATTTCACAAGATTTGTGATAAATATGAATAACACACAAACAATAATTGTCTTTCAATTCTAGATTATTCGGACTTTGAAGTTAACGTTTGAGAGTGAATTGTCACAAGTTAGTTCTCTAAAATTAAGGAACTCTCCTAGGTAAGTAAGTCATAATCCAGAAGGCCAATAGGAAGTATAAAATATTGAAGTAGCAAATAATTATAGATTGGAGATTTGGGGCACAAACGTTTTCCAAGTTAGCAACCAAATTAAAATAAGTCTAATTTATAGTAATAATGTTTGATTGATTTTCATTTCAGAAAGTAATAAACTTAGAACACCGTATACTGTTGTTTTATTCTAGATTGAATATGAATTGCAGTGAGATTATCTGTACGTTGAGCAACATAGGAAAGATTGAATTTGAGAACTCAACGAAGTAAGTACTTACAAGGATGGTGATGTACCACTAGTATCTGACAGTACCTACATTGTCTGAGAAACAGCAATACTGATGATTAAACTATAGAGTCCAGAAGCTGAGAAATAGTGGAAAAAGTAGTTTCTCTAGTTGAATTATAGTATAATATATTTTAAAAATCTACAAGGAATCCGTGTTCAGTGATACATGTGTTAAGGTTGTTTTTGAGATTCACTGGGTCAGCAAGCATTGACTGCAGGTTATATTATATGTTAGATGCTAACACTTTATTGAGATACTTGTCAGAGAAATTACGCTAGCTAAAGGAAGACTGACACCTACACAATAGAATTCATCGTTGTTATGATGCTGTACAGAAGTAGTACAGGTCGAAGCGAAGGAATGATCAGTTCTTCCTGGGGTAATAAGGGACTTGAAAGGGGAGTTTTATTTCCTTTGCCCATGAAGTATGAATAGCAAATGGAAAGAAGGGCAAAATGGAGATAGGCATCTTAGAAAACTAATGCAGAAACAGTGAAATAGCAGGCCAAATTTAGAAAAGTATATATAATCTCATTCTGTAGAAGTATACCTCCAAGGATGCACAGAGACTAACTCCAGAAAACTCGTAAGTTGTGTAATGGTATGTGAATTTTAATTTTCTGAATGTATGTTTTCCACTAGCCATGAGCCATTTAAATAAGTATGGATTGTTTAAAGCTAAATAAAGTCTAAAAATCAGTTTCTTCGTTGCACAAGCTACATTTCAAGTGTGCAGGAATCACGTGCGTAATGGCTTTCTGTCAGTCTGTTTATGCAGTTTATAACAAAATAGCTGATACTACATCATTTGTAAGGAACAGAAATCTGTTTCCTCATAAGTTTGAAGTTTTCCGAGTACAAGAAGAATGTACCAGAACGTTTCATTTCTTGTGAGGGCTCCAGTCTCTGTTCCCAAGATGACATCATGAATTCTGAGTCCTCATGTTGACAGGAGGGATGGAAGGGCAGAAAGGCAAAAACACTGTTGTCACCGCTTGGTGGAAGAGCAAAACAGCAAGGGAAGAGCCTCATGTAGTCCCATAAGATGCTAATCCGTTCCTGAGGGCACCGCCCCCAGAAGCCCCACATGGAAAAGTTCCACTTGGATCCTGCAGTGAGCATTCAGACCATTACATCTCCCATAGTAAACAGTGCAGCACACTGCCACCATCAGTGAAGGAACCTCAGACCGTAAGCTCTGGATGGTAGAAAGTTGCTGGAATGGTTTAAGCATAAAGTAAAAATAATGAGACTGTATTTCTAAAAGAGAACTCCAGCATTTAGATTATTTGACAGGTGATGGTGGAGACTGGAGGCTCAATTAGTCTGTTGTTATCAATACACTCTACAAATGAGAAGGACCCAGACTTAAGTAGAAGCAGTGGACCAAGACTTAGAACAAATACAGATAAATACTCAGAGAAAAATAATAAAACAGTAATGTTTGAGTTTGAAAGTGAAGAAGAGGAAAGCATCCAGCATGGTTTTGTCAGCAGAGTTGGTGGTTTCTGAAACTCCAAAGACTCGGACTACAGGAAGGAAAGTCAATTGGAAAGAGAACGTTCTAGACCTCTTTAGTTGTACCATGGTGCTTCAAAAAGTTCATGTAAAATGGAAGTGAGAGTTTTGTAGGAACGATAACGGTGGATGGAAGATTCTCTTACTCCCTTCATTCTCTCTCCCTCCTTCCCTTCCTCCCTGCCTCCCTGCCTCTCCCTCTCTCTTCCTCCCTCTCTCCATTCTGTGTGTATATGTGTATGTAAAAAGTGGTACATGTGTGCTGAAATTTAACAAGAGATCGTGGGCTTAATCTTGGTTTAAGAGTAGTTATAATACAAATTTTGTAGAAACTGCCTCCCATCAGTGTGAGTTCATTCACTTGTAGATGGTTTGTCTGTAGGATTAATGGTACTTCCAGTGAATATCATGTAAGTTATGCTAGGGTTGAGCTGATCTGGCCCATAGCCTTTTATCCCCCATGATACAGTTTCATGAGTATAGGGGTGCCTCCCTCCCTCTTTTCCCTGTTTTTCCCTCTAGCTATTTTATCCCCACTTCAAGTCCCTAAGTAATAGTTGAAAGTTTTAACTTTCTGTTACTGAAGTGTATTGTAGCATTTTAGGTATAGGGAAAGGTTAAAAAATGATTATCACATTGCAGAGGTGTATTTAAATGTTTCATTGGGAGTCCTACTTTTATTCAGAAGGAGAGATGCATACTACAATGTGTATTTACTTCGCAGTATGCTAATCTCCACTATACAGTTCATCTGTGAAAATATATGTATATACTTGACTATCTCTGTTTTGTATTTTACATGAAGGCTGTCTTATTTCAGAGAGAACATCTGATATTTGTCCTTTGGGGACTGGCTTATTTCTCTATGCGTGATGGTCTCCAGTTGGGACCATTGTGTTGCAAATAGAAGGATTTCATTCTTTTTTTTTTTTCATCTTTTAAAAATTTATTTTATAGACCAATGATTTAAATTGGATACATTTGGGCAGGGTAGATATTTGACATGAAAAGTAGCTGTATCAGAACGGGCACCAGAAAAATAGCAACTCATGTTACACATAAGAGCTAGAAAATATTTTTCTGTCTGATCACGTTAAGTGTTACAAATCCTGAGAATGTTATCCGCTGAGCAAATCAAGTCCTACCTTGTAATTAAATGTTACTTGGAAATAATCCTTTAAAAAAGATTTTGAGGTACAAATCACCTTTGTATTAAACATGAGTCTTTTCTATTTTACAAAGAATTTAAACAAATATAGCAAATAATTACGATTTGGTGGCCTTTAAGACAGCGATTAGTCAGGCTCCAGGACACACTGTTCCACTATTTCCCGTAGGTTGGGGTTCTCCATTGCAGCAGCCACCCGCTCTTTGTCATTGATCTGCTTATTGATGTCTTCTTCTGTTGAGTGAGTTCCTTCAGAAATGTAGATCTCCAACTTATGTTTAAATGGCAAACATCTCTGAAGTTTTACTCTTAGGCATAGCCCAATAAGAGTTGCCAAAGAGCAATGAGGTACTGTCGGTGTGAACCTGATGACAACCAGGTAGTCGTCTTCATTGATCTCCTGAACCTCCACGCAGCTTTCCGTCACCACTTCCAGTTCTTCCAAAGTATTGGGCTTTTCTGGGTCCCGGATAGTTCAAATCAAATCATAAACCTCTAACGCTTTCTCTTCCATGATCCGGGGCTGCCGGGCAGCTCCGCTCTCAGAGAAGCCTGAGAGCCACAGGACTCTCTTCAGCGTCCAGGAAAACAGCCCGGACACCCGCTCCATCCTCATGTTCCGCCATCCCTGGCGGCTCAGGATTTCATTCTTTTTTAATGTAGTATTCCATAGAGTAGGCGTGTGGGTTTCTTTATCCATTTTACTGTTGATGTGCATTGGGTTGTTTCCATGTCTTCACTGTTATGAATTGTGCTGCTGTAAATACAGGGTTTCAGGTTGCTTTCTGATACGCAGATTTCATTTCATTGGGATATGTTCCAAGAAATGGGTTAGCTAGGTTGTGTGGTAAATAATGCTTAGCACTTTCCATATTGATCCAGTAGTGGCTGCACTAATCTGTACTCCCACCAACAGTGGAGTATCCCCCCATCCTTGCCAGCAGTTGTTGTTGTTGGTTTCTGTATATATCCATTCTCACAGCAGTTAGGTGCAGCCCAGTGTGGTTTTTACTTGCATTTCTGTAGTAGCTAGGGAACTTGAGCACTTTTTCATGTGTCTATTGGGTGTTTGAGTCTGTTCTTTTAAAAAATGTCTGCACATGTTCTTACCTATTTTTTAGCAGGCCTTTTTTTCTTGTATGAATTTTATTTTTGATAATTTTTACATACTTGATTCAGGAGCAACGGGTCAGGGGCTAGAATAAAGTGGGTGAGATCATTGTTTTCACATTCTCTTCTTGCTGTATCTGGGGGGAGGGGAGAGATAAGGGGAGAAGCCACACCTGGCCTCCCAACCATCCCAGGGTCCCCAGTGTGGAGCATGCCCTGAGGGGTCCTGCTCAGGTGGTTTTGATAGTTCAGCAGTTCTATGCTGTTGCCAGTCTTGCCACTCTAATCACAATAAAACTTATCTGAGTTCTACAGTCCACTTTAGAGTCTCCATTTGCCCAGGTATTCACTGCCAACACTTGGCTAGGGTAGTTGATCGATTTGTTCTGTCCTCCATCCTCTGTTATCGTACCAGGCGTCCTCTGCAGGCTCCAGTATACTGCCATATCCTCCATGTGCACCTGGATATGCTGTCCACTGCTCCATCTAAACTACTGAGGAGGCCCAGCTCTGACACATGCGCTCCACGGTCAGACCATGAAACCTGCAGTTTTCTCCATGGTTGGAGCTTTGAATCCAGCAGTTCAGTTGGGGGGTTTCCCAAAACAACTTTATCTGAGGTGATCCTGGACCTCATTCTTGTGTGTGCATACCAATACAGGGTCCGGCACAGTCTTAACGGAGCTTTTTGCTCTTGCTGTTTTTAAGTTTCTGAAGCTCTTTATAGATCCCTATCTGTTACATAGTGTGTAATGAATTTTTCCCATTCCACTGATTGTCTCTTCACATTGTTGTGTTTCCTTTGCTATGCAAAAGCATCTTGGTTTGATATAGTCCTAATGGTTTATTTCAACTTTAACTGCTTGTGCTTTTGGTGTCTTTTCTAAAAAGATTTTGGCTACACATATATCTTGTAGCATGTTCCTTCTGTTTCCTGATGGTTTCTGGTGCAGATTTAGGTCCTTGATCTGTTTAGAGGTGATGTTTGTATATCCTGAAAGATGGGGGTTTTGTTTCTCACCTCTGCAAGTGGATATTTAACTATCCCAACATCATTTTTTGGAGAGACCAGGCTTTCTTTGGTTATTTTCAGTCCTCTTGTCGAAGATTGGTTAATTGTACATCTGTGAGCTCACTTCTGAGGTTTCTGTTCTGTTCCACTGATCTTCTCTGTTTTTGTACCAGTACCAAACGGTTGGTTACCACTGCCCTGTAATACATGTTGAAATCTGGTATTGTGATTCCACCAGCTTTATTTTATCATTTAAGATAGCTTTTAGCTATTTATCATCTCCTGTGTTCCGTAAGAATTTTTGCTTTGTCTTTTCCAGCTCTGAGAATGTTAGGATTTTAAGCTCAGAAACATGCACAAACATACTCTAAGGTAAACTCAGGAAAAGTGACTTCACAAAACTGATCTCAAAGTGTGTCAGTTTAATTTAAGAGGCAAAGGCAGTTGCTAGCAGGGCCTGGAGAATTTTGTTAGCAGCTTCAAGAGAATGAATGAGAAGCCAAATTATCAGTAGTTGCTTTGTTTGCAGTCTTGCTTGGAATAAAGGGAATAAAAATGATCAAATATCTTAACAGTATTAAGCTAAGACAGCCTAGTGTGTTCCTATCCACCAGAGAGGAAACCTTCAGAGGAACTGAGATAGCACGGCTGCGACCCAAGTCTCCTTCCCTCCAGTGACATCTGCAGCATGCTTGCCTTGCTGACTTGATTATTTTTGCTTATTTAATCAATAGTATTAAATATTTTCATAATTTAACTATGGTCACCATCCAATTTTTTGAAGGTTTATTTTTATTTGAAAGAGTTACAGAGAGGAGAGACAATTATTTTCCATCTGAAAGTTCATTTCCCAAATGGTTGTAAGAGCCAAAACTGGACTGGCCTGAAGCTGGGAGCCAGCAGCGTCTTCAGGTCTGTCACCTGAGTGCAGGGTCTCAAGACCCTGGGCCAGCCTCTTCTCCTTCCCAGGCAGTTAGCAGACAGCTGACTCAGAAGTAGGACATCCAGGAGTCAAGCCAGTGCCCGTGTTGGATGCCTGCGCTGTAAGCGGGGAGTCCGCCCCAGCCCCCTCCAAGGACTTGGTGACCATTGTTTGCACTCGTCTTTCAGAAGGTGCTTGAAGTTTTGTTCAAAGTATGTTAATTATGCTCCTGCATACTCAGATTTGGAAAATACCGATAAAGATGTGTCGCTGCTATATTTGTTGATTTTGTTTCTAAAATAGCTTCTTAAACGATCCTAGATTGGGGCAGGCATTGTGGTAGAATGAGTAAGCCACTGGGGGCAGATATACAGAGAGGAGGACAAATAGAGAGGAAGATATTCCATCCGCTGATTCACTCCCCTCCCCAAGAAGCCGTAACGGCCGGGGCTGCTCAGATCTGAAGCCAGGAACCTGGAGCCTCTTTGGGGGTCTCACATGGGTGAAGGTCCCAAGGTTTTTGGCCATCCTCAACTGCTTTCCCATCAGGGAGCTAGATGGGAAGCGGGACTGCCAGGATTAGAACCAGCGCTCATATGGGATCCTGGTACATGCAAGGCATGGACTTTAACCACTAGGCTACCGTGCTGGGCCCCAAAATATAAGTTTTTTGAGACATTTCTCATTTCTTTATAAAGCTTCTATGTTTGTAGATTTGACAGCCTGAACTTTTATGGCTGGGTAAATTTAGAAATGTACAGAGTAGAGCAAATATACATAATTAGCTATGGACTAGTGGTTATTAGATAATCATACTGAGGAAAATCAGGTTAATGGTCATTACTATCCTTGGTGGTTTTTTTCTGGTATTAAAAGAGGAAATAATATTTAATGTTTTAAATTTTTATTTTCATTTTTGTTTGAAAAGCAGAAATCCTGTCTCTGGAAGTTTACTCCCCAGATACCCACAATAGCCAGGGATGGACCAAACCAAAGCCAAGAGTCTGGAACTCCATCCAGGTCTTCCCGTATGCATGGTAGAAACCCAAATACTTGAATCAGCCAATGCTGCCTTTCAGGGTACACATTAGCAAACAGCTGATTCAGAAGCAGAGGAGCCAGGGACGTGAACCAGGCCTTTCAGTATGGACTATGGACATGGCAAGGCGTGTTTTCACTGTTTCATCAAATGACTGCCTCTTGAGCCTGGTGCTGAAGCCTAGCGGCTAAAGTCCTCACCTTGCATGTGCCAAGATCCCATAGAGGCGCCGCTTCATGTCCCGGCAGTCCCGCTTCCCATCCAGCTCCCTGCTTGTGGCTTGGGAAGGCAGTCGATGATGGCCCCAAAGCCTTGGGACCCTGAACCCCCCTATGGGAGACTCGGAAGAGGCTTCAGGCTCCTGGCTTCAGATCAGATCGGCTCTGGCTGTTGCAGCCACTTGAAGAGTGAATCGGCAGATGGAGGATCTTCCTCTCTGTCTCTTCTCCTCCCTGTATATCTGACTTTACAATAAAAAAATAAATAAATAAATCTTTAACAGAATATGGCTTTACTCTGTTCAACCCTGGTCTCATTGGCTAACTCCTGAGAAGGAGAAACGCACAATGATCAATCTTAAACCGGGAATGAAGCAGCCTGGCCTAGCCAAGGTCTGGCTACGAAAGATCCCAGCAGATGTCTCTGTGAATGCTGAATGTTTAACATTTGATTGTGGTGACCATTGTGCAAATGTAAGGTTTTTAAAAAGTCAAATTTTATGATGTGCAAGTTATCCATTTAGTAAAACTGAAAACCACCTTTAGGACACCTAGACAACTTGACCGTTTGTATACTGTCATAGGGAAAGCAGTGGCTCGAAGGTGGCTTTGAAAACACTGTGAACTGATTCAAAGAGGCCAGTTTATACCTCTGTGTTTTTAAACAGACACCATCCCCAAGAAAATGAAACCGTGCAGAATGCTCAAAAGAAATACAATAAAAAGGAATTTTGTTGTCCTGATACGTACCTCTCACCTGAAAAGAAAAAGGCTGACATGACTCTCCTAAGCAGTGAAGCCCTGGAGACCAACAGCGTGCACTTAGACGTCAGGAACACGCAGCCGCACAGGGAGCTTGTCACAGCGACACCCCCTAAAACCATCGCTGTGCTGCCTCAAATGGGATCCAGTCCTGATGTGATCATTGAAGAATTTATTGAAGAAAACCTGGAAAGTGAGTGAAAATAAGAAAAAAACATGGCAGAGGGGGTAGTGTTGGAAATGCTAAATCTGTAACTAGAAGCAGTTGATACCTTTTTGTTCCATTTACTTGACAGAAACATTGCTACTAAAATCTCTTCATTCTGGGATAAAAAACTATGAATTCAGCTCCTACGCACATTTTTTAAAACTTGAGACCGTTTTTAATTACTTCTTGATGATTGACTGATTTGCAGGTCAGATCTTCCCTCCTCTAGCTCACTCCTAAGATGGCTGCATGGGCAAGGCAGAAACCAGGATTGGCTCCAGGTCTCCCGTGTCGGGGCAGTGCCCTGGCTGGTCGGACCATCTTCTGCCGTTCCCATGCCAGTAGCAGCGAGCAGGCTTGGCAGAGGAGTGTCCCTCACACAGAGTGCCAGTGCTGCAGGAGACAGCCTTACGTGCTGCACCACAGCAGCCCACTGTTCATTTAAATACCTCTGAGCTATACTTTCAATATTTGTTTCAATTAGGGTATTTGACGGTTTTTAATGTTCCACATATAAAATCTGTAGGAGCTATCATGACCACACTTACTACTGCAGTGTGAAACTTCAGGGTTTTGTTTTTTTAAATACTGTCACGCTAGTATCAACCTTTAACCAAATGAATGAAGTTCTCTTCCTTGTCTTGAAGCTTGCTCTGCAGATGGTCTTGTGGAGGCACCTAGTTACCCAGAAGAACCTCTTCAGAAAGAACCAGCTGTCTGTGTTGGATCCCAGACAGGTATGGTGTTTGAGCTTACTGTTGACTATCACTTTGTCTTGTGTTTTAGCTCTTTTAGGTAAAATATTTTTGAGATTTATAGTACTTCTCACAGCTGTGCCCCCAGTTACATCTGCTTTCTTACGTTGTCTTCTTATGTTGTTTATATTGTCTTTCTTATGTTGTCTCCTGAGCACTCCTTTTACCTACGTAAGATAGTTAAAATGGGCACCCTTTTGTCCAGTTTCTGTCATATGTATATGCTAGTCCTTATTTTTTTAATTGTGTATTTAATTCGATTTTCAAAATATAAAAGTACTCTGTGAAATTGCTGCCACCCATACTCCAGTTTGTTTAGTCCTTCTCTCCATAAGTGGAATATTTTTGTTACTTTTCTCACCCTGTATGTGTGTATATATATTCTACATAAAAATAACATGCTGTTCACTCTTAATTCATTTTTTACCTTTGCTGCTTGACATCATACTTCATAGTTCTTTCTGTATCAGTAGAGACTGTTGGCTTAATTACTCATGTATGTACAAAGTTTTCTCACTGTCTTTACCTTGATTCTATCTCCACCAAAACACATATATTCCTCAGATGCCACTCAGTACTTTGGCTTTGCCAAGATACTTTTTGTATCTCACTAAACTGATTTGTTAAAACTTGAGAGGCAGAGGCTAGTTAACCCCCACCCGTGACATTTCATATGGGCTCTGGTTGGTGTCCCTGCTGCTTCATTTCTGAGCTAGCTCCCTGGCCTGGGAAAGCAGCAGAGAACAGCCCAGGGTCTTGGGCCCTGCACCCATGTGGGAGTCCTGGAAGAAGCTCCTGGCTCTAGTTTCCTCAACTCTGACCATTGCAGCTATTTGGAGAATGAACCAGTATATCGAAGATCTTTTTTTTGTCTTTCCCTCTCTTTTTGTAACTCTTTTAAGTAAAATAAATCTTTAAAAACAAAATGCTTGATTAGAGTAGCCATAAACTATATTAATTATGTAAGTACAATAACAAAATTTAACTTGTTTTGTCTGCTATCCTAGAAATTGATTATAATCGGTGGAGTTCTGATTTAGAAGTTTTATCATAAAATAAGTATTCTGACTTTAGAATCTGAATTTCACATGAATTGCAGTTCCATTTATGTAAAGTATTTGTAAGTAATATGAAATATCTATAGTTCACATTACAAAAGAATTCACTGATCTAATTTTTTGAAGTAATCAGTTATTTGGGATTTGGACTCTTTTTATGAAACCCAAGTATTCTAGGGTTGATTGCCACAGACAATTGTTTTTAAAGGATTTTATAGTTGTAGCTTTGTCTTCTGTCCTAATGCATGGTTTATTGATGTGGCTTAAATGTTTTTCCTGATCTAGATTCTCCGGAACTGGTTTTTGTAAGCCATGTAATACATCCTTGCCATTTCTACATTCGGAAATATTCACAAATAAAAGATGCAGCACTATTGGAAAAGAAGGTCAATCACTTTTGCAATAATAAGTTACCCCTTGATCCTTCATACAAGTTGGAGCTAGGTAATAAAATATTAATCCAAGTTAAAATATCAAGCTTATTTAAATAGTATAACATCTAACCAACCACATAGGATTGTTATAATATATACTTTTGCTTCAAGTTGATGGTAAGCATAAAAGCTTTGGAATTATTTGGAATTATTAGCTAAAGGTCCAAATTAAATGTTGATACTTGTTTTGAGTCAGGCCTACATAGAATCTCCATCATGGATTACAATTACTTTTTTTTTTGTAATTATGAAACCTTCCTAAGAGGTCATGTAGTCTGCCGTCTGCTCTGAGTGGGCTCCTGCGCTTGACATTTTTGAGCACAATGTACATTTCAACGACACTTGGGAGAGCTTTAACACCCATTACTAGGACCCCAAAGAGGGTCAATTCAGGCTGCTTCATCTGTCGGGTACATTCATTTTTTGTGCTTTAAATTTGTATTATATTTATTTTCCTTTTAATACTGATGATTGCACTTAATTGTATTCTGTAATATGGTGAAGCTATGATTTGTCTGATTTATTAAGAGAATTTTGCTTGTTCTGTTGATACCAGTCAATGCCTATATATGAACAGTACCTAATAGTGTTATGTGTGTAACCTTTTCTTGATAGTTGTTTAGAAATGTTATCAACTGGGCCTGGAGTGATGGCTCGATGGCTAAAGTTCTCACCTTGCAACAGCCAGCATCCCATATGGGTGCTGACTCTAATTGAAGTGGCCCCACTTCCCATCCAGCTCCCTGCTTGTGGCCTGGGAAAGCAGGCTAGGGCAACCCAAAGCTTTGGGACCCTGCACCCGTGTGGGAGAAAGTTCCTGGATCCTGGCTTCAGATCGGCTCAGCATCGGCCCGATGCAGTCACTTGGGGAGTGAATCATTGGACAGAAAATCTTCCTCTCTGTCTCTCCTCCTCTCTGTATATCTGACTTTGCAATATAAATAAATAAATAAGAAGGAAACATTCCCAGTTAAGACAGTCCCTGCCTGTGGTTGAGGGAGAGACAGGGAATGCTATAGAGATAGACTATGAGCTCTTCAGCTGGGTCCTTCGGAGCACCACAACTTGGATAATGTTTTCTGTGCTATAGCACTTCAGTTTCCTTACCTTAGAAGTGCCACCTCTATAGAGTTAGTGTGGCATTAAGTGAATTTCAAGCACTGAAAATACTGCTGAGTTCCTGGTAAGCCTCCATATTCAGGCTTCTTTCTTCCTTCATCTGATCTCTCCCTAACATGTTCATTTGTTAAATCTTCACTTTACCTTCTGCTTCTGTGAATGCCCCTGAGTGTTGTTAGCATTGCCATTTCACTTGCTTCCTTTCATTGTTTCATTGCTTTTCTTTTACTCTATCCCAGAAAAAGTAAATCTCTTTATTACAAACTTCAGTATGTACATATCTATAGGTGTGTGTGTGTATATGCACAGGTTACAAGGTCTTCCTTGTGGTAAATACAGGGTCTTTGAATAGTTTATTTGCCTATATCTCCCTTTCTTGAACTTCCTGGCAAGGTAGTCTCCTTCCTCTTTGCTGATGTACATGGTTGATGAAACACGTCCTCGGTCAGCATGTACGGACGACTTTGTTTTTATTCCTCTCTTTAGCTTGTAAGTTTCTCTGTAACAGAAGCAGTCATAATTACTATCTTCATAGCATTTGACATAGTACCTCATATTCAGTAAGTGACTTAAAACTTAGTTGAAGAGCTAACATACATGTTCATAAATTAATTGCATGGCTTACTCCATAAACATTGATAATATTTGTGTTACACGTTTAGGTGCAAGAATATTCGTCCACAGTGTTGAAAATGGAATGTGGTGCCGAGGAACTATCACTGAGTTAATTCCAAAAGAAAATAAAATCATTAGAAAATCTTGTGGTCCAACCAGATTCTCAGTCTGTGAAGTTGCACTGATACAAATATTCATGGTAGATTTTGGAAATTCTGAAGTCCTGATTCTCACAGGGTATGATATTTTATAATAATATGTTCCTGGAGTTTTGAAAATATTTATAGGAGGATGGAGACTTGATGAGTGAAGGAAATGAAAAAGGAATAAAGAAGAGTAACTTGTCATTCTTCCCTTCCAAGGACTACATTTTAGTATTTTGCTCTATATGTGTTTTTCTAAATAAATAAAACATTGTCATTTATCAATATCACTGAATAAAGAGCTTAGAAAAGGAGCTCTTGTAGGAATTTCAACTGTAAGTACTCTTTCCATGTTGCTTCAGAGTAGGGAATTAATTTAAAAACTCTTTACTATTTAAGATTTCATTCTACAGTAAAAACAATATCTGGTTAGAGAAGCCAAATTGAGACTATACTGTAGGGAACTGAGAGTTTGGAATTTGTAGAGAATTTAAAGTAAGCTTAGGAATGCATATCTTTTAAGGTGGAAAACAAGTTCAAGTTTGAAGTGTTGCTGCCAACAAATGTCACTTGTATTTCTCTTAGGGTTGGTGATTCCCTGATGAGACCAAAACACATCACTGAGCAACATGTTTTCCTAAATGACTTATGTCTGGTTTTACGAAAGCCTGAGCCATCTGTCGAAGGATTATTGAAAGAGATCCCATCATTAGCTCAGCCATGCTCATTGAAAGACATTGTTCCACAGAACTCAGTAAGTGATCCATAGATTAATTCTTAAAAGCTAAATGTTCCAATTTTAGCTTTGTTTTGCTAATTAGATAAGTAAGTACCAGCTTAGGGAACCAACTGTCTAGGTGAATTCATTTTGCATAAAAAAACTGTAACAGGTAATTTCACAATTGAAAACATTCTTAATGAGAAATTAGGTAAGCATATACAAACATGGTGATAATAAAATATGGAAGAAAACCACTAAATGTTGGAAGCAATTATATATTGAGAAATAATTTTAAATACATACAGTATGTATTTCTATGCTTTTTTCCTTGTTTCCATGGGTCTCTGTTCATCATTGTGTCTGTGGCCCATAATGCCTTCTGCTTTGTGTTTTTATGTATTATCTTTTTCCCAGCAAGACGGGGAACTCGTAGAGGGCCAGAAGCGTGTGTAACGTTGTGCTAAGCAGTTCTGCTCACAGAGGTGTGTGGAGTCAGGACACTGTCTCTGGTCGCCACTGTATATCTCTTTGAAAGAAGGCATCGGTGAATAAGGGAAACATTTTCCACCAGATGGTAAAATCGTTTTTAGCCTTCCATTTTATGCCATAGTTTCTGTGCTGAGTATTTTGCTCAACACATTTATTTATAATCACAAAATCTTGAGAAAGTAAACTTACTTTCATCTCAGGAAATTTTTTCTTTTGACCCCTTCTTTAGGTATGGATTCTTACAAATTGAAAGATCAAGTGCATGTTTTTCTCTGATGGCTGTGTATCTTGTCATAAGTAGTATATCCCTCATATAGAACTAGGAATGGATACTAAGTTGACGATGATTGTAAATATTTTTATTACAGGCCTTCAAAATTAACTTTTGCATTTTCATCATTTAAATCAAAAATTCAAGTGTAATAATTGTTTCATTTTAAAATCCATCTTTATAATAATTTGCATGCTAATGTTCAAAGTAATACTACATGCTAAAGTGAAACTACTCATAAACCCCTTGAGCATGTATTTGTGGAGTCCAATGTGTGATGGTAAATGGCCGTTAGTACTGCAGCCGGCTCAGTGCCTTTGCCTGGACTTGCAGGCTCTGCTTGGTACACAGCTAAAGCCTCAGCATTGGCACGCTAAGACTAGTCTTACTTAATGTTACTTTTTTCCCCACAGAATGAAGGCTGGGAAGATGAAGCTAAGGTAGAATTTTTGAAAATGGTAAACAACAAGGCTGTTTTAATGAAAGTTTTTCGGGAAGAAGATGGTGTACTTATTGTAGACCTGCAGAAACCACCAACAAATAAAATTAGTACTGATATGCCTGTTTCTCTTAGAGACGCGTTAGTATTTATGGAACTAGCAAGGCAAGTAACAGTAAAATTTAAATATCCTTTGCTGTAAGTAAAAATGGAATTTAGAAGATTTTGCCTTTAAAGCCAGAGGCATTCTTCATGACAAATATCAGCATATTCTGGAAAAAATGGGGGAAAAAAATTGGGGGAGGAAGGCAGGAGGGGAGCAGGGGCTCTCACATGTGAACTAAAAATACACTAAGAGATTAAAGATATTGCTGTCAGAATTCTCTAAGTATATTCTCTTTGAAAATTGCATCCATTTAATGTGGTTTGAAGAAATAGAGAAAATTAATGATGGCTTAAGGCAAAAAAAAACGTATGGCTATTTAACTTTTTTGGACTGTTGTTAATAGGCAACTGTACTAAGAATTTAAGAATTGTAATTTAACTGATACTAAACTTTTATAGAGTTAGAATAAATTCATAACCACTACTCCATACTTAATACATGAATCTATAACGTAAACTTAGAGAATCCCTTCCCCTTATTTCTGATAAGCAAAAAATAAGATGACTTAAGTAACTGAGAATAGTCAAAGACAGTAACTTTCCGTTCTGGGTGATTAGATTACTCTGAAAATGACCCAAATAGATTTTGTACCAAAAGAGTTGAGTCTTTGAACTGGAAGGTGTCACAAAGACAGCTCCACTGGCCTCACTGGCCATTCCCACAGACCATAGAGTTACACTGTGTACAAGAGCAGAAACAGCTCTGAATCTAAAATGTAGTTCAGTAGGGACCATACCAACAAATGTTAGAAAAGGACAGTTGGAAAAAAAAAAGAAAGAAAAGGAAAGGAAAGTTGGGAATACTTTACTAAACTGTCTATGTGTAGATCAAGTCGTTGAGAGAAGAAAGACTAAGAAAATAACTCTTTACACTTTTTAAATTAACTTTTAATTAGGTTTAGGTTGCAGTCAACAAAAAGTCACTCTGAAAAAAATCCAACTTTACAGTATCATCCACCTATCCTGCCTAAAGAAATGACAGACGTTTCTGTATTGGTTTGTCATATAAACAGTCCTACTGATTTCTATCTTCAGGTGGTAAGTATATAATGTTCTTTTAAAGCTTTCTAAAAATTTTAAGTAGAAATATTTAACCGACTTGAATGCCAGTATTAATTTTAGCAAGAGCAAACCAACCACTATCATTCTGCACATTTAAATTCAAGCTTTTTAGTAGCTGCAGCTTTTAGTAAGTTCACATCATCTATGTAAAGTGGAAGAACTCTTCATCCATACAAATTAGTGAAATATGAAGGAAAGTGCCAGTGAAAGATTCCTAATGGAAAAATTACTTGATTGCTGCCTTCTAAAATCCATAGTCTAGGAGAGTACATAGAGCTGACACATCAAAAAGTAATGACAATCCTTTTTCTGATCATTTTAGATAAATTTTCATATTAAATATGTGACTCAGGTTTGTTTACTGAGAGAGAATGGTTCATCCATACCAACCTGCCAGTGCTTTATATCAGTTCACTTGTCAATTAATTCATTAATGTCAAAATCTTGTTGGATAGGCACTAAAATTTCCACGTGGATGTGAAGACTCTAACCACAGTCAGAAGTCCGCTAAAGGGTGAGCCCGGAACAGGGCTGGGCGGTGTGGTTTGTGAGCCTTTCCTTCTGAGCACAGACTGAGCCACCTGTGCTGGCCCCACCAGGAGCTGGGAAAGTTGCTGATCTAGCACCAAGTTAGGACTTGTGCTTATGTCTTTTTTTTCCTTTTTCCTTACACTGTCTTATATGTTGATAAAATATACAGAACAGAAATTTACCATTATTACCACTTTAAAGGCTAGTACTTAAAGCCTTTTAAGTACATTGGCAATGTTAAATAGCCATCCAGAACCTTTCCAATTATTGTCATTTTCAATTTTCATCAGTATAAGCTGACTTATAAAGGAAAAGGTTTATTTTTGCCATTTTTTAGAAAGATGAATAGTTACTTGAAAGACACATTTACAGGGAAAGGAGGGAGGGAAATCTTCTGTCACTGGTGCACTCCCCATATGGCTGCAGTGGTTGGAGGCGGGCCAGTCCAGACGTGAGCTAGGAGTTTTTTCTGGATGCAGAGGCCCAAGGACTTAGACCAGCCTCTGCTGCTTTTCTGGGCACATTAGCAGGAAACTGGATCAGAAGTGGAGCATCTGAGCCTCAAACCCGCACCCATATGAGACACCTGTTGTGCAAGCTCTGAGGCGTAACCTACTATGCCACAGTCCAATCCCTGATCACAATTTTAAAGGCTCATATTCTGAGATGGAGAAGCCTCATTAGTCCATTGTGTGGTGAAGGTAATGGATGGCAGAGTGAGAGCCAGGGAAGAAGCATGTGGTCAGCCAGGAAGCTGAGACACGGGCAACATGCTCATTCTCCATGCACATGGGTCTTTGTAAAGCCACTAAGACCTGATCTGTGGATTCCACTGCAACAATCTAATGGAAACTAATAAACTCCTGAAGATCCCACCATCAGACACCACAAGTGAAGAGATTTATTTATTTTTATTGGAAAGACAGGAGAGACAAGTATCTTCCATCCACTGGTTCACTCCCCAGGTGGCTACAATGGCCAGAGCTGAGCCAATCCCAAGCAAGAAGCCAGGAACTTTTTCCAGGTCTCCCACGTGGCTGTAGGGTCCCAAGGCTTTGAGCCTTCATCCACTGCTTTCCCAGACAACGTGCAGGGAGCTGGATGGGAAATGGAGCAACTGGGATGCAAACTGGCACCTATATGCGAAGAAGAAGGGTTAACTGAGCCATTGCACTGAGCCCAAAATAAATTGGTCTTGAAAACAAAACAAAAGAAGAAAAAGAAAGCATCTTCTCTTTTTTTTTTAATTGTTGTTAACATTGTATTATGTGATACAGTTTTATAGGCACTGGGGATTCCCCCCACCCCTCCCATACCCCTCCCCCCATGGTGGATTCCTCCACCTTGTTGCATAACCACAGTTCAAGTTCAGTTGAGATTCGTTCCTTGCAAACACATATCTAGCATAAAGTCCAGCATCTTATTGTCCAGATAAGTTCAGTGGCCTCTTGGGGAGACCTTCTCTAGTCTGAAGATAGGGCTAACAGAGTAAAGATCCGGTCAGTTAAAAGCCCCAACAAAACCTCAGTATCAATATACAACATTATGGAATTAATTGACATAGTATTGGGTAAACAATATGTTAAAAATAATGCAAGTTCAATTTTTCAAAACACATGGGTTGAGACAGTATCAATGACAGGTTCAAAAAATAACCAACAACCAAACAAAAATTACAAGTTAAATCAAGGCAAACATGTGGTATCTAACCTTTTGGGATTCACTCATTTCCCTTAGCATTATAGTTTCCAGTTGGCCCCATTTAGCCACAAAGAACTGCATTTTGTTTTTTTTAATAGCTGGGTAGTATTCCATGGAGTAGATGAACCAAAGCTTTCTTATCCAATCTTCTGCTGATGGGCATTTCAGTTGCTTCCATGTTTTTGCAATTACTGATTGTGCTGCTATGAACATAGGGGTGCATGTTGGTTTGTCGTAAAACAGGTGTTTTGGATATATTCTTATTTCTGTCTTATGTGGAAAACTTTCACTGTTGAATATGATGTGTGACATTATGTTTGAGTTTTTCCCAAATAGTATTGATTAGGTTGAGTAAGTGTACTTCTATTCCTAGTGCCTTTACCAGATACTATTCAGCTTTTTAGATACTATTTTGCACCAGGTGAGATGGTTAGTATTTTTCCCTTTGTATCAGGAAGTATCACCTTGAGTGATCTTAAGTGAACTTATCTTTGCATTGCAAGAGTAAATCTACTAGATAATGGAATATAATTCTTTTCTAATAAATATAAGTAGTTGTTGCCTTGGCATTTATTTTAGATCTGGCACAAGTTATTTGACACCCAGTCATTCCATGTCACCTTTGGATTCTAAGTAGTAGAATCCCGCTCCTCCCTCCCCCATCCCCACCCCCCGTGATTGTGATTTAGTCTGCTTGAGGCTCATCTCTCTGCCCTCAAACCAAATGTAACCCAGTGCTGCTGGTCATCCGTGCCATGTTCATGTAAACACAGTCCCCACTTGGCACAGTCCATAACCCCCACGGGAAAGCCGCAGAGGAGAAGAGCCACGAACCTGAGTAAAAGCATAGTCCGCAGGTTTGGAGTGTGTGTGTATCCTTGTCTCTGGTTTGTGATCAACAAATTACTCCTATTATTTCATATGTTACGTTCTGCTTTCTCTGTGTCTGACTTGACCAACACATCTAATGTACTAATTCTCCTTCCTTTTGGTAAAAATAAACTAGACAAAGATCTAGTCCCTGTGAGAGGGACTGGTCATGTGTTACCCACTGCAGCATTAACCATCTTCTAGGATTTAAAAAAAATCTTAATGAGCTAAGAATGGTGCACTTTGAGCCCTATTTGGGGCAAGACCAGAGTTCATAGTCACTTTCTAAATTATTCCATACACATTTCTTAGAGTCTCACCATAGATATTCTTCAGAACCTTAGATGATTCAGTGTTATGTCTCTACCCAGAATTTCTTTTCCAAAGCATTTAAATTACAGCCACCTTTGTAGCAGTGTCTGCAGTTTTTTCCACTTGTAGTCCAAGTTATATGGAACACCTTTCCTCAATCATACAGGCATTCCCAGGCAAGTTAGAACTCATATGCATAGCAAACTGTGTATATAAAATTAATCTGTTCCCTCTGATTCCAAAGATAAGACTAAGTGCTGGAGTGTCATCCTTCCAGGAAGGGGCGCAGCAGGGGCACACAGAACGCCTCAGGCCTCCCTGCTGCTCAAGGGAGGAGAACTTTGCCTGGCTCGCTAGTGCTCTTAGACAGTTTTTCATGTTTTCAACATTTCTGTGTTGTAACAAAAGCTTGGAACTTCCTATCCTGCCTCAGTGACATCATTCCTCTACTGAATTTTTAAATATATTCTTTGCTTACCAACCAATGGAAGAATATGGCTTAGAAAGTTATAAGTAGTTTGAATTAAATAGTGTAACTAGGCAATGTAAGGATTCAGAAAATGTCCACTAGAATCATATTCACAAAAGAAAACATAGCTTTATTCCTATTTGAAATAGCTTTTAAAACTTTTTTTTTAATCTCAAGAATTGGTATTTGGTGAAGTAGACATTTGCCCTTTAGTATTTTGGTGCAGTATGCATTTCTATTCCTGAATAAAAGATGGACTCCCAATGAAGCTTAAATGTTTCTTTAGAGTGGGATGCTGGTCTCTCTGCCCTTGTCTACATCTACAATGTCCTGATACTCTTAAACAGAAGAATGATGGACTTGTGACTGTTGCTGAAAGACTGTACTGTTGTTTTAATATAGGGGTAAACAGTGCACTGGGGGAAATGGGAACGATGGAAGGGGAAATCCCTGTGGAAGTGTATCATGAAAATTTTAAATTAAAAAGGATGAAAAAGTGAGCCAATAAACTGGTTTTAGACTATGCCAAATAGACCTCATTTAGTGAGATAAAGTTCTGTTTTTATCAAGAATACAGTAATTTTATACTCTACTAAATTATTGATTTAAAGAAGAGTTATTTTAATACTATTAAATGGATGTTTGATTGAAACTGAATATTCATGTAATATCAAGGTAGTACGCAAGGGAGAAATATAAGTAGACCCTGGAAGGGGTGTAGCGAATCAGGAAGTAGCGTATCTTCTGATGCGTTGCAGTTTGAGTGTACTAGATCAGCTATACTGTGGGCTAGCCAGAAAGGTTCGCTTACATCCAGCACATTGTTAGAAGCAACATTGAACTTTTCGGAAATCCAACAGCTAGACCCTAGTCATTGGGGGACTAGAGCTAAATAAGAGCATCAGAATCTATTCATATAAATCCAGTAAGTGGATTAATTTGGGACATTCTGCATAAAAATGAGTTCTTCTTTTCAACATCACAGCCTTCTTAAAAAAAAAAAAAAACTGGGCTAAACTTTTGGAGAGTTACAAAGGTAACCAGAAGCAATAAGTAATCTTGGATGGATTATTGGTTTGGATCATTAGGAAACACTAAGTATGACCTTAGAAGAAAAGTGAAAATTGATAGAAAAATACAGTTATGATATATTGTGTGTAAAATGGTCTGGTTTTACTAGAAAGTGGAAGAGATGTATGTGTGTGTAGAAAAAGAGCAGATACGTTGTTAACTGATACAATGATACTTTTGTTTAATCTGTTGGTGTGCTAATTTAGTTTCTTCAGAATTTATAACTCTGGTAAGTTAATAGATACTAATATATAATTCCAGTTAATATGTATAATTATGTAATGTCAGTTTTAATGTTTACATTAAACTGCATTGCTTATCCACCTTATTTTTTTAGATAGAGAACCAGGATTTTCTAATATTGTTAAAGAGAATCGAGGAATGCTATGAAAGTGAAGATGGGGATAACCTGGAAATCCTCTGTCCAGTTCAAGATCAAGCCTGTGTAGCTAAATTTGAAGATGGAGTTTGGTACAGAGCAAAGGTTACTGGTAGGAAAGTGCACTCTTTCTATAGGGAAATGTTTTACTTCAAAATTATTATCATTTGAGTTAATACCAACTAAATCTCAGAAGTGGTATTTGATATTACTATTTTCTCTGTCATTTATCTTCAGAAAACTTGTGATATTATTGGGAAGTGAATATCTGTCTCTGGTATGTTAGTTGACTTTAACTAGGATTTAACCATTGGGAATCTGGCTGGAAAACTAGTGGATACTGCAAAAACAAGATTGCTTCTATTTTCTCTGCTATTTTGTTGCTCACTTGCAGTATTTCTTCTAGTAATTCGCTGGCACACTGCCCAGATGACCATGTCCCACATGAATGGGAGACTCAATTTTTCCTTTTCAAGATTTATTTATTTTTGTTTGTAGGCAAATTTACAGAGGAGAGGCAGAGAAAATGGTGTCCGCTGGTTCACTCCCCAAATGGACACAAAGACCAGAGCTAGGCCAATGTGAACCCATGAGCCAGGAGCTTCTTCCAAGTCTCTCATGTGGGTGCAGGGGCCCCAGAATTTGAGCCATTCTCTGCTGGTTTCCCAGGCCATAAACAGGGAGCTGGATGGAAATTGGAACAACCAGGACTAGAACCAGTGCCTTTGTGGAGTGCCAGACCTGCAAAGTAGAAGACTAGCCTGTTGAGCTAGTCTTCATGCTAGGCCCTCGAAACCTAATGCTTAACTTGAATTCCATACTTAATAGATTTTGTTATGCTGAATGTGATCCATTAAATGTGTTAAATTTTTTTCACATTCTACAAAGTCTGCATTGTAGATTAGGTTTTGTTGGATTTGTATATTACAGATATTTCTCAAATTTTAAAATGCATTGAATTTGGAACAAGTTGAGATACTGGTTAGAGTGCTCATACTCCATATTTAAGCACCTGGATTAGATGCCTTTTCCAGCTTCTAATCTCCACTTCTTTCCAGTAAAAGACCCTGGGAGTCAGCAGTGGAGGCTCAAGAGGTGGTAACCCTAGCCCAGCTGGGAGTTCTGGGTTAAGTTCTTGGCTTCAGCCAGCTTTCCAGGCATTTGGAGAATAAAACCACCAGCAGAAGGAGGCTCACTCATGTGCCCTGTCTTAGCAGTGTCCCCCATACTTTTATTATTAATTATTAAATTTCCTATTGAAACTAGAAGTATTTGTAGATTAGATAATTGGCCACAAAACAGTCTATATTTTGCTGAGTAATTATCTATAAATGTGTGATGTCTGATTTTATGATCTTTAAAGGATTACCTGGACTTCGAGAAGTTGAAGTTAAATATGTAGACTTTGGTAATACTGCAAAAATAACACGTAAAGAGATGCGTAAAATAAAGGATGAGTTCCTGGATCTGCCAGAAAAGGTAATCTACTTACTGTAAAAACTAAGATTAATGTAACACTGGCACAAACTTGGAATTATTAGTAGAAGTCATTTTTCACCACAGAAATGTACTGTTAATTATCTTAAGTAGTTTCTGATACAGAGATTAAAGGTAAGGTTGTTATACTTAGCATTTAAGAAATAAGTATACCTTAGCAAATAAACATTTATAAACATGCTTAGTAAGTCTTACTAAGTACTTTGGTCTAAGGCTTGCAATATACTATTTTGAGATATGGTAAGAGTTTCATATTCATGTATATCAGGTGAAAAAAAATCATCCCAAAATGTTTTCACTGTGATTACATTTGTGTGTGTGTACGTGTGTGTATAAAATAGATGTATTCATCAGAAAGTCTGGAAGAATATGTAAAAAAAAAAAAAGTTACTGACCTCTTTGAAGTAGAATTCCTAGAGAAGGATCAGGGTGGGGGGACATGCTTCCAAAATAAGCCATTTTTTCAATTAAAGAAATATACAAAAAACTTGAAAATGCAGGTGAGCAAAAAAGAGTCACTGAGAATTATAGAATTGTTAAATATCTTGGTATACTCAAATATCCCACTGTTTTGGTCATTATGTAATCAGACTATAAATAATCCTAGAATCTGCTTTTCTCACTTAGTCATATATCTTGAGTTCTTTGATGCCCGTTTTTCCTGTAAGTGGATTAGTTCAACTACATCCTCTTTTGATTATTTGCATTTATTGAGAAGATCAAGATGATGGAATGTTTAAATAGACAAAGAAAAATTAGCCAAGGTGAAGCAGAGAGGGCACATTCCAGGAAATAGGAGAGGACAGACCAACAACAGAGGGAAACCTGGAGACTGATGGACTCAGGAAAGCAGCAGAGACAAAAGTGTGGTGCTGCAGTAACCTGTTATGCCAGCAGCATTCAGCAAACGGCCATCTGAACTCCACCAGCAACCAGGTGGAAAGGGAAGTTCACCAGGAGTTCAGGAGGTGAACCTAGACAAAAAACTGCCCATCATGCTGGTTTATTTGATTTGACCAAACAGTTGGTGTGGGAACAGAGCGGATATCACAGCCTAAACTCCACCTTAGAGCCGAATCGTATGCCTTCTTGTATAGGGAGGCAATGGCTATGAAACAGGACTGTGCATGCACTAAGCTGAGAGTAAACTCATTTTGAGCTTAATGAATTACAGCTACGAGGCATCCTTCAGGTTCCATCCAAAATAGGTCTGGGTAGCTGACTAACAGCCAGCAAATCAAGAACTGTACACATTCAAATCAGGTGCCATTTTGTACAGTGTGGCAAAGGCTTTGACACTGCAAGGGCAACAGTGAACTGCGATGTGCTATTATCTTCGGAACTTTGCAAATCAGGACTGGGAAGTGGTACAACAGTGTTGTGGGATCATAGGACATGGAGTGCTGAGCCAGTAGCTGGGCTATTCATACCATGGTGGAAGTTTAACATAAAAGCCCAGATCTGAAATTCGCTGGAGGCAGTGACACAAGTGGTTGCAAACAAAGAACCGGTTGCCAACCACAATAAAAAAAAATCAAACTGCACACCTGTGGGTGATACACCTTGGAAACCTGTCCTAAGGAGAATCTCATAACCAGAAGTACAGTGACCAAGAGCAAAAGAGACAGTGGCACAATGAATATTACTGAAGACTCCCCTACAAAGGAGCAAAACCCTTTGCCAACCTCCGAGTTCACTAAGGAAGACATCGAGAAAATGGGAGACACAGAATTCAAAACACTTGTTATAAAACTTCTTAACAACAACAGGAAGCACATAGAGCAGGAGTTCAAGGAATTTAAGGAACATGTCACACTGGAAATTGATCAAATGAAAGCTAATATATCAAAACCAAGAATACAGTGGAGCCAATTAAAAGTACAGAGGAGAGTCTCCAAAACAGAATGAAAGAAGCAGAGGAAAGAATCTCAGAATCGGAAGATATTTCCTGTCACCGGGGGGAAACAAACAGTTGGAAGCAGAGCTGGATCAGGCCAAAAAAAGTATTCAAGAATTGAAAGACACCCATTAAAAGGCCAAATATAAGAGTTATGGGAGTTGCAGAAGGTACAAAAAGAGAAGCTGGGATTAAAGGTGTAACTCAATGAAATAATAAGGGAAAATTTCCCTAATCTGGAGAAAGAATAGGGAAACAGCCTCAAGGAGGGGCACACAACTCCCAACAGGGTCGACCAAAAGCAGCCTTCACCAAGACATGTGATAATCGAGCTCTCTTCAATTGAACATAAGGAAAAGATCCTTAAATGTGCATGTGAAAAAAATCAATTGGTATATAAAGGAAAGCTTGTTGAATTCATAGCTGATCTGTCACAGGAAATTCTACAGACCAGAAGAGAATAGAGTGACATATTCCAGATTCTAATAGATTCAAAGTTAGCCAGGAGCTTTTGTGAGCCGAAAATACCAGACACAACTAAGTATCTTAGAAGGTTTATTCCAAAGGCACAGGAATGAAATGGAGGTGGTGGGAGATCAACGGGAAAAAGGGGAAGAATGAGGTAATGGGGAAGCCAGAAGGAGAAGAGAGAGAGAGCTTCATTTCTTCAAAACATGTTTTTTCCTCATTAAATTTTTTAATAACTCAGAACATACAGTAGCAATCATTTTCTTCAAGAAGGTTCTTGATTTTTTTTTTCGTTTCTTCAGCAACACATTAGTCATTAAGCTGCATGTTATTTAACTTCATTGTGTTGTTAATTTCTTCTTTTCTTCCTGTTGTTAGTTTTGTTTTGTGGCTTTTTACTGGGAGGGATGTATAATGACTGTGTGATAGAAACTGACATACCCAGATGTGAGGATACAGTGCAGTAATCATCTCTTCTGGATCGAGGATGGACTCCCCGTGAAACTGTTGGGTGTGTCATACAGTGGGATGCTGGATTCCCTGCCATTGTGCATGCCCACAATGATGGACTTACTACTGTTTATGAGGAATTGTGCCATTGTAATGATGTGGGAGAACTCACTGAGGGGGGATGGAAATCAGGGCAAGTGGTAGGGGTAACCCAGGGCCTAAGGAACTGTATCATAAAATAATAATAATTTAAACGGAAAAATTATTTGCATTTATTATTTTATAGACCCCTCTGCTTGTAAATATGTATTTTAAAAAGATCAGTTTTGTACAAATTTAAATAAAGCCAATTTAATCATGAAGTTACTAGAAATTCAGTTTACTATCTTAATGCTGGGATTTTGTTTCACACAGGCAATTAAATGTAAGCTGGCATATATTGAACCATATAAAAGGACAACAAAGTGGTCCAAGAAAGCTAAAGAAAAATTTGAAGAGAAGACCCAAGATAAATTTATGACATGCTCCGTTATTAGTAAGCTATTTTTGTCACATAATCTTATCATTCTAAGAGTCGCATGATCCATCATTTCTCATTCTTAGGGTCAATCCAGTGTACCATCATTAGTAGTAATGAGCACACTGATTGAGAATTATGGAATCGTATCTTCTGCAGGCACTGGAGTCGAAAGCATGTGAGGTAGAAATTATCATTAAAAATCAAGGTACCCTTGGTATGGTCACTTAAAAGCCTGAAAGTCAGGAATCAGGTCAGTTCCTTTATGTTTACAGTTTTGCTAAGGAGCTGTCCCCAGGCTTGACAAAGTATACAGTAAGTAGACCTCACAGGGACAACCCATTATAAACTTACAGGTTTCTCTCTTGATTCTTCTTTCTTTCTCAATTATTTGTTGTATCATTGACAGCCACACATTAGTCATACAATAGTAATTAACCTAGATTGATTTTTAAAAGTGTCTGAGGGCCGCGTCCAACCAAAACTTTATACACTTGCACAATGATAAGATAGGGATATCCAAACCCTTATTATGGTAAAGTGAACTAGCACAGATGAGAAGAGGAGCCACCAATTGATATGATGTGTTACTTTATAAAGCATGGAAATTTTAAATTTAATTAGGGGAGAAAGGAAAATGGTGAAGCTACAGAATCCAGGGAAGTTGACTGTCATGGAAGTATGAAACCAAAGAGCTAAAAGGGAACACGAGGGATTGGTGCTGTGGTGTAGTGGGCATGGGCACTGGTTGGTGCTGTGGTGTAGTGGGCATGGGCACTGGTTCTAGTCCCAGAGAATCCACTTCAATCCAGAGCCTTGGTAATAATGTGCCTGGGAATGCAGTGGAAGATGGCCAGAGTTCTTGGTCTCTTGCACTCTCGTGGGATAACCAGGAAAAGCTTTAGGCTCCTGGTTGTGCCTGGCTGGGCTCTGGCTATTATGGCCATTTGAGGAGTGAACTAGTGGATAGAAATCTTGCTCTCCTCCCCTCTCTCTCTGTATATATCTATATATAGATATATATATACACACATACATATATATATACACACACTCATGTTATTATCTCTTCCCCCATCCCTCCTTCCTTCCCTCCATTCCTTCCTCATTCCAACACTGACTTTCAAATAAATAAAGTAAAAAAAAAAATCTTGATTAAAAAAAAAGAAAGGAAACACAAGAGATGGAACTGGGGAGATCAAATTTTGTTGAGGTTAAACATTGATTAGCTTTTCATTTTGAGTTAAATTTATCTGGTTATTCAAAAGTCAACAGAAACAATTTTTTCACCTTTTGAAAAAAACATTTTCCAAGATGCACTCATATAGCTGAGTAATAGATGTTACACTAGTAATGGTTATCTTTTCTTTGGCGTCACCATTCTAACTAGCTACCAGTTCCTACGGTGTAAAAGCTCTAGGCAGCTCATAATCTCACTGTGGTTCCTAAAACTCGGCTGTGTACTCAGATCATTACTGAACAGATTTCCTGTCAATAAATAGATACACAAAAGAAATAAAAACTTCACCTCTTTGGGGTAAGCATTGTGTTGCAGCAGGGTACCACCTTGGAATACAAATATCCCACAGCAGAGCTGTTCCACTTGTGACCTAGCCTTCTGCTGATGCTCTTGGGAGACAGCAAGTATTGGCTCAAGTACCTGCCACTCACATGGAACACTTAGAGTTCCTGGCTCCTGGCTTTGGCCTCACCCAGTCCTAGCTGCTTGGGGCATTTGGGAAATGGATCAGTGGATAAACCCTTCCCATATCTCTTCCCCTTCTTCTTTCATCACACTGAGTTTCAAACAAATGAAACTTTTTTAAAGTGTTTTTAAAAAAAAAACTTTACCCTCAGTAAATTCCGAGTATACTTTAAGAAATAGTTTTGAGGAGCAATTAGTATGGCAGAGCTTTAGCTGCCACCTGGGACACCAACGGAGTGCCATTTCAAGTTGGTTGCTCAGCTTCCAATCTAGGAAACAACATGATAATTCAAGTGATTAGGACCTGCCGCCCACATTGGAGACCCAGATGGAGCTCCAGACTTCTGGCTTTAGCCTAGTCCAGCTCTAGGTGTTAGTGACATTTGGGGGAGTAAACCAGTGGATAGATTGTGATTAGTCTCTTTTCTGTGTGTGTCACTCTACCTAAGAAAAAAAATAAACAGGACCCGGCATGGTAGCCTAGCAGCTAAAGTCCTCACCTTGAATGCACCGGCATCCCATGTGAGTGCTGGTTCTAATCCCAAAACCTTGGGACCTTACACCCGTGTGGGACACCTGGAAGAGGCTCCTGGCTCCTGGCTTCAGATTGGCGCAGCTCTGGCCATTGCGACCACTTGGGGAGTAGACCAGCTGATCAAAGATCTTCCTCTCTGTCTCTCCTCCTCTCTATATATCTGCCTTTCCAATAAAAATAAATATATCTTTTTTTAAAAAGAATTAGGAATATATGACTGAAGAGTTAGATGATGGATCCTAAAAACACTAAGGAAAAAATTCCAGTTAATTGAGGGTTCTAGATTAAATTTTTAACTAGTTTAACAGTGTGGCACTCTTGTAAAAGCTGCAAACCTTTACAAATAATCACTAGCCTGAGTTAACCTTTTATCCTCTTAGAACTTGATTAAAACCAACAAAACTATTTAAAGGGCCAGCATTGTGGCATGACAGTTTAAGCTGCTGCCTGTGGTGCCAGCATTCAAGTCCCTGTTGCTCCACTTCTGATTCAATTTCCTGCTAGGACACCTGGGAAATAGACAATGGCCCAGATACTTGGGCCCCTGTACCTAAATGGGAGACCTGGAAGAAGCTCCAAGCTCCTGGCTTGGCCTGGCTTAACCCAGGCTGTTAACAGCCAGTTGGGAAGTGAACTAGCATATAAAAGTTTTCTCTCACTCTATTTTCTCTCCCTGTCTGTCTGCTTTTCAAATAAATAAAATCTTTGAAAATTTTTAAACACAACAGAATACTTCAATGGATGTTATTTTTATTTTTCTTGATCTAAAAACTTGAAAGTGCTTTTGGTTAATTAGACAACAAATAGTACATAGGAACATGAAGTAAAATGTGTTAATTTTTATATGCCACAGGATAGTGACAATTGACTTATGTCTGCAAGATAATACTTTAAGCCCCTAGCAAGACTACAGCTTTATTCAGTAAGAAAATCCATGCATACAGAATGAAAGACATTAGGTTTCAGTTTTTAAAAAGTTCCTAATGTATGTTTTGAAACACTTTTATTTCTATCCCAAAACTAGTTTTGATGTTTTTACAGAAATTTTGGAAGATAATGTGCTGCTGGTTGAACTTTATGATGCTGTTGGTATTCCTGGAATGAGTCTTACTAGTATTAACGAGCAGCTAGTCAAAGAGGGCGTAGCATCTTACGAAGGAAGGTAAGTAAGCATATAAACTTGAATTTTTAGTTCTTATGTAACATTTGAATCAAAAGTGTGAAACTGGCATAAATACTCCACTGGATTCTGCTTTGACCATAGACGGAATTTTTTTCTGTTCCTCAATCAGAAAGATGACTGGAATCATTGGTCTAATGGGGAGTAGAATTGTCACTTCTTCACTAAGGTCCCCAGAAGTCAAGAGCACTTCTCAGAAAAAGAGCCTAGCACCTTGTTTCTTGGTGGAATGTCTGCTCTGACAGCCCCAGGTCTCTATTTGAAAAGAATGGGGAGAGAAAAGGCAGGATAGACAACAATGATGGTATACCCTATTCCTTTTTTGAAAGATGTTTTCCTTGTTACAGGTGAATATTTTGAAAGTTAACAAAGCTTAAATCATTGTGCTAATATCCAGTGAGGGTGAGCCAATGGGTGAGTTGACCCAGAATGCAAGAGGGCGTAAGTGGTAGTGAGAAGGAAGATTAGAGGGCAAGACAAGAAGTTCTTCCACAATAGGAACTATGCAGTGGGGTTAGACCCCAGGAGGTTCTAGTGAAGAACTGCCAGATAGCACACCCAGGTAAGCCCGGATCTAGATAGTACCCACATGTGGGCTGTTGGTGTAAGCCAGAGAAACCAGGGTGTCCGGCAGAGGCCTTAATAATCTGTGCTCAGGCTTGTCCCACTATCCTAACACTAAAGCAGGTCAAAGCAAAGGGGGGCCACTCTCAAATGAGAGAGGGAACAATCTTAGGATAAAATACATGCTCCATTGGACTGCGATTTTTCTTTTTAAAGATGGAGTTACTGAGGCATAAGTTACATAGAGCAAAAACTTCAATTTATCCTTCTAAGATACGAAGTTTATTGAATTTTTACAATCATAAAGTCATAACTATCATTATCATCATGCTATATAAAACTTTCTTCATGCCCGTAGTACTCTTCCTTTCCTCTCAAGCCCTTGCAGTCATCAATTAATTTTTGTCCCTGTTCTTTTGGCTTTGCTGGAACTTCCTATGAGCAGAATATTTGTTTCTCTGTCTGGCCTCTTTCAGCACAATGCTTTTGAGATTCATCCATATTGTAGTACATACTAGTAATTTATTGCTAACTAGCATCTCATGTTCCACGGGGTTTTTTTAAGCTGTTGAAAAGTGTTGCTAATTTGATTTTGAAAAATAATAGGGATTTTTCTATTTTTTTAAGATTTATTTATTTTTATTGGAAAATCGATATACAGAGAGAAGGATAGACTGAGAGGAAGATCTTCCATCTGCTGATTCACTCCCCAAGTAGCTGCAATGGCTGGAGCTGCCATAATCCAAAGCCAGGAGCCCGGAGCCTCTTCTGGGTCTCCCACATGGGTGCAGGGTCCCAAGACTTTGGGCCGTCCTTGACTGCTTTCCCAGGCCACCGGCAGGGAGCTGGATGGGAAGTGGAGCTTCCAGGATATGAACCAGTCCCATATGGGATCCCAGCAAGTGCAAGGCGAGCACTTTAATCACTAGACTACCACGCCGCACCCAGTAGAGAGTTTTCTAACAGTATATTCCTGAACAACCAGTGAATGAAGAAATAAAAAAGGAAATGTAAAAGTCCTCTGACAAATCAAAATAAAACAAATGAACATACAGAACTTATAAGCAAAAACAATTCTAAGAAGGACATTTATAGCAATAAAAGCCTACATTAAAGATCTCGAACATAAATTGTATCTCAAGGAACTATAAAAAGCAGGAATAACTAAAGTCAACAGAGGCTAGAAATATTAAAAAGCAGTGTAAAATCAAGTGAAATTGAAACTAGACAAAAATGATAGAAAAGAGTAATAAGACTAAGAGGTTTGTTTTTCTATTTTAAGATTAGTAGATTTGACAAACTTTCCACCAGGCTAAGGAATAGAGGCTAAAATAACTGATTCTACAGAATTATGAAGAATTGGAGCCAGCAGTACAGCATTAAGCCACCAACTGCCACAGCAGCGTCCGTATGGGCATCAGTTGAAGTGCTGGCTTCTCCGCTTTGATACAGCTTCCTGCTCACGCAGATGGGGAAGCAGCAGGTAGCCCAGGTCCTTGGGCCCCGGCACCCATGGGGGAGACCCTGATGAAGCTTTGGCTTCAGCCTTACCTCGCCATTGCAGCCATTTGGGGAGTGAACCAATGGATGGATGATCTCTCTCTCTCTGTCCGCCTTTCAAATAAATAAATACAAAACATTAATGATGTCAAAAATATAACACAAAATGGAAAAAAGTTTAAAAAGTTAATGAAAGGGAAAACCTCCAAATTCATTTTATGAAACCTATAGTGTCCTGATGCCAGGTCCGCAAAAAAAGAACACTATAGAAGGGGAAAAAATGCCAGGATAATATTCCTAATGAACCCCGTTTGCTCTTTACCTGTCTCAACATGATAAAAGTGATGAGTGAAAATCCCGCCTGAGAGATCATATGAAGTGGTGACAGAGTTTTCTCTGAGGTTGGGGACAAAACATGGATGCCCCCTTGCATCACTTCCTTTCAACATGGCACTGGAAGCCCTATCAGAGCAAGCAGGCAAGAAAGAGATTAAAGAGCATCCACCTTGCAGGGGTGGAAGTGCAAAAAGCTCTGTTCACAGGTGATATGATCTGACATGTAGAAACCTAAAAAGATTCCATGAACTATTACAACTAGTAAATGAAGTCAACAAAAGAGCAGACAACAAAGTACAGAAAAATCAGCTGTGTTTCTGTACGTTAGCCGTGAACCATTCAAAAAAAAGGAAATAACATTTCCATTTATGGTAACATGAGATTAATGAAACACCTTAGTTGGGGCCGATGTTGAGGCATAGTGGTTGAAGTTACTGTGTTTCTAGCATGCCATATTGGCACTTGTGTGGATCCTAGCTGCTCCATTTTTTTTATCCATTTCCCAGTTATGTCCTGGGAATAATCGGTGTAACCTGATCCAGGTACCTGAGACCATCACTGTTGTAGGAGATCCGATGAAGCTCCTGCTTTGGGCCTGGCCGAGCACCGGGAGGTGAAAGACTTGTATAATGAAAACTATAAAAGTTTTCCAAAAGAGATTAAAGAGGACATAAGTAAATGGGAAGATGTATCCAATGATTAGAAAGAGAGTTGATATAGTTAACCTGTTAATACTACCCAAATCAGTCTATGTTAGATTCCTAGTGATATGCTTGGTGGGAACAGAAAAATCCACCCTTGGTGCCCAGTACGATAGCCTAGTGATCCCATATGGGCAGCGAGATCCCATATGGGCACCAGTTCGTATCCCAACTGCTCCATTTCCCATCAGCTCCCTGTCTGTGGCCTGGGAAAGCAGTAGAGGACGGCCCAAAGCCCTAGGACCCTGCACCGATGTGGGAGATCCGGAAGAAGCTCCTGGCTCCCGGCTTTCAATCAGCTCAGCTCCGGATGTTGCGGCTGCTTGGGGAGTGAATGAGCTGATAGAAGATCTTCCTCTCAGGCTCCTCCTCTCTGTGTATCTGCCTTTCCAATAAAAATAACTAAAACTTTTTAAGGGCCCGGCGTGGTGGCGCAAGTGGTTAAGGTCCTCTCCTTGCACGCCTGGGATCCCATATGGGCGCCGGTTCTAATGCCAGCAGCCCCGCTTCCCATCCAGCTCCCTGCCTGTGGCCCAGGGAAGCAGTCGAGGACGGCCCAAAGCCTTGGGACCCTGCACGCACATGGGAGACCTGGAAGAGACTCCTGGCTTTGGATCGGCATAGCATCAGCCGTTGCGCTCACTTGGGGAGTGAATCATCGGATGGAAGATCTTCCTCTCTGTCTCTCCTCTCTGTATATCCGCCTTTCCAATAAAAATAATAAAAAGATTTTTTAAAAATCCATTCTTTTGCTCAGATGAATTCTCAAGGAACTTTGCATATCCAAAACAATCCTGAAAGGGACAACGTGAGCCCTTTATCCATTTTGTTTCAAACTTATTACAGAATTACAGTAATCCAAACAATGTGAGAGCAAGCAGTTGGAGAGGTAGTTAAAATGCCTCTTGAGATGCTGGGACAATCACATCTCCTACTAGATAACCTTGGTTCAAGTCTCCACTTCTTCATATTCCGGCTTCTTGCTAATGCACACCTTAGAAGCAACAGTTGATTGTTCAACTTTTTGGGACCCTGCCATCATATGGGAGACCCAAACTGAGTTCCCAGCCCCAAGCTCTGCCCTGACCCAGTCTGGGTTCTTGGCAGCATTTGGGGAAAGAGCCAGCAGATGGGAGATGATCTCTTCCCTGTCTGTCACCCCTTTCTCCCTACCCCCACCACTCATCTCCCTTTCTTCTCCTCACCTTCATGATTTGACCACAGTCCAAAATCATTAAATGAAAAATCCCGGAAGAGGCAAGATGGCGGGTTGGAGTACAGACACGTTTGATATGATGGAGAATCTTTAGAGAAAAGTACAAGAAGCAGATTACAGAAAAAAAAAAATAGGGGTCAGGCAGTAAGCAGGAGGTACCTGGAGACCCCCTAGACACAGAGAAGCAGCAGCAGAGCAGTGTTGCAGTGGACAGAAAAAGCCACCAGCAGTCGGCAAGCTGCAACTCCAGCGATCCCAGCTCCAGTGATCCATTCCCAGCACCAGCCAGACATCCAGCAATGGCCTCCACTTGACTCTTGTGACAGGCAGGCGGGAGCCTGGGTCCGCATGGGGAGTTCAGAAGGCTAGTACAGTCTGGGACCTGCCAGTCTTGCTGGGTGACTTGGGCCAGCCACAGGTGGAGAAAGAGTTGGAGACTCAAGGTGCTATCTTGTGTGGAGACTGAGCGTGGAGTTGATGGAGCGGCACAGAGGAGGCTTGTTCCTGGCTAAGCACACAGAACTGATCGAGTGGTGAGGGTAGCACCGGCTTTGCTCCCTGCAGGGTCTGTGTGGTCCCTGGAGCTGAAAGCCAGCAGCCCCAGTTCTCTAGCAATGTCCCGCCTGGCGCCATCTCGTGTAGCAGGGCAGCAAGTGTGGATTTCAAGTGAAGGTTCAGAGTGGGCTTATTACTAGATAAATGCACTGAGCTAAGCCCACAGAAAAAGCACCCACCTTGCAGCCTGCAGGGTCTGGTGGTCCCTGGAGCTGACAGCCGACAGCCCCCTGATCTTTGTTGGTGCTCCTACGGGCACCATCTTGCACAGAGAGGCAAGAGCTCCAGTCAGTGATAAACTGCAAGAGGAGGAGGGGTACACTGCACATGCGCTAATATTATCAGTAGTGCTCAGATATCAGTGTCACAGGACCAGACACTTAGATGAAGGGAGGACAGCTGAGCTGCCCAAGAACTAAGCTGGGAACAAAATCACCACCATCTTAGAGCACTGCACAGGCTCCGAAGAAAAAACAGCCCCGACAAGGCACGCCACCAGCTTCACCCAAAATAACTCCAGGAGGTGCTCAGACTTATCTGCCAGCAGGGGGGCGACAAGATCAGTGCCGCCGACAAAGTAATTATTCGGGACAATTGTGTTTTCCAAATCCAGGGCACTGATTGAACATAAAAATCAACTTGTAGTCCTGTAGTTAATACATCTTAGAGAAGATTCCATCAACCGGAATGGCAACTACAAAAGGTAAAAGAAAAAACCAAGGCACTATGAATGTTGCTGAAGACTCCAGCAAAGGAGCAAAAGCTTCATCCACCCTCAAAGTTAACTGAGGAAGGCATTGATAAAATGGGGGACACAGAATTCAGAAAACTCCTTATAAAGCTTCTGGTCAACAATGAGAAACACAAGAGTTCAAAGAATTTAAGGAATATGTTACACAAGAAATAGCAATGAATCAAATCAAGGGTGATATGTTAGAAATTAACACAGTGGAGCAAATTAAAAGTACAGTGGAGAGTCTCAAAAATAGAGTGAATGAGACAGAAGAGAGAATTTCAGCATTGGAAGATATTTCTTGTCACCAGGAAGAAACAAAAAGCTGGAAGCAGAACTGAGTCAAGCTAAAGTATCCAAGAATTAAAAGATATGGTTAAAAGGCCCAACATAAGAGTTATGGGAGTTCCAGAAGGTGCAGAACAAGAAGTTGGGATTGAAGGTGTAGTCTATGAAGTAATAAATGAAAAGTCCCAGAAATAACTGATATTATTTGAATAAATTTTCTATGATTTATACTTGTTCTGTTTTGTTATTATCTACTCATATCTTATTGTGCATATATATAGGAAAAAAGAGTATAAACTATTCGTGGTTTTAGGCATCATGGAGACTTGGTACGTACGTCCCTCATGTAAGGAGGAATACCTGTGCTACGAGCTCCAAGGTGAGCGTTGTGCTACAGCAGCTGAAGCCCGCACTTGAGATGCCTGCTTCCCCCATGGGCATGCTTGTGATCAAGCCCCGTCCTGGTAGTTCTCATTCTGGGAGGCAATAGATGAGGACTCAAGTTTGAGTCAGTACCTGCATGAGAGACTTGGCTATGAGTTCCTGACTCCCTGCGTCAGCCTGGCCCCATTCCAGTTACTTTGAGCATTTGGGAAATGAATGGGCACATGGAAAATCTTTTTCACTCTCTCACTGTGCTTGTTAACTAATGTTTAAAAAGATAAAGGCCCAATTTAAAGCAGTCTGCATAGGACATATTGTGCCTTTCTTCTCTCTGACAGGTCTGTCCCTAGCTCTGTCTCCGTGCACACTCAGTGAATGCTTGCTGAATGGTGTGAGTGGAGAAAATGAAAACCTGGGTCTGAAACTCACAAGAGGACCTGGTTAGCAGTGCCCGTTAATGCAGCAGGGTATTAACTGGCAAGTGAGAAGATGAGAATGAAGGAAATAGTCAGTGTTATCATTCGCTTCAGTCTCTTCTGGCGACAATGCAATGCTGAGGATTGTCAGTTACGGGGAGGAAAGGAGAGTCCACAAAGGGTGATTCAAGAACCAGAGTGTTTCCAGGAGGAAAGAATAGCTAATGTGGAGAGTTGAAGGCACATTCCTTGGTTTTAGCAAGAATTATTAATTGCTATAGTCAACTATTCGTATCTTGTGAAAAATAATTTTGTCCTTTATACAAGTAAAAATGCCTAGTTATCTACAATTAACCTAAACGAATTCAGTTTATTAAGTATTAAAACACTTAACTGGAATCTACTGTTGTAATAATATGGGAGAAATCAGTTGAGGGGAGGAAATTTGAGGAAGGGTAAGGGAAATCCCAGAGCCTGTGGAGTTGTATCATAAAAATAAAATAGAAAGTAAATAAATGAATAAAATAATTATTTTGCTTAATACATTTTACTAGCTATTATTTTTCAGCTGTACTCTCACTGGCAAAGAGATTGGTAACTTTTAAAAAAAAATGTAGGCATCCCTCAATATGAGTGCTTATTGAGAGCAAACAGCTCCCATCAGAGAAGCCCACAGTGATACTGTCTGCAACAGCCAGAGCCAGGAGCTCCATGCAGACCTGCCTCGTGGGTGGCGGGAACCCAGTTAATACGCACCATCAGTACTGCTTCCCAGAGTACTCCGTGTAGGAAGCTGTGATAGGAAAAAGGCCCAAGACCCAAACTTGGTGCTCCAGTATGGAATGTGGGTGTCCAAGGGGCACCTTAACAACTGAGCCAAATGCCTGCCCTAATTGATACTTTTTGGCCAAATATTCAAGTTGAAAATTTGAATTATTCTTTTTCTAGTTGAACACAAAATGTCAGTGGGAAGTTATGAGCAAATTTGGTATTTTCAATCATGTTTTGAAAACAAGCTTTGATTTTTAGGGTTTTTTTGAGTTTCCTTTATATTTGTGGGGAAAAAAATGAGTACATTTAGCAACTGCTATTAATATCAAAACTGCAAAGCAACAAATCAAAACTAGAATCTGTTTGTCCATAAATCTAACCAGATCCAAACATTCAAAAAGAAACCTTGTGGGCCTGGCGTGGTAGCCAAGTGGCTAAAGTCCTTGCCTTACACATACTGGGATCCCATATGGGTACTGGTTCTAATCCCAGCAGCCCCGCTTCCCCTCCAGCTCCCTGCTTGTGGCCTGGGAAAGCAGTCGAGGACAGCCCAAAGCCTTGGGACCCTGCACCCAAGTGGAAGACTCAGAAGAGAATCCTGGCTCCTGGCTTCTGATCATCGCAGCTCCAACCATTGCGGCCGCTTGGGAGATGATGAATCAACAGACAGAAGATCATCTTCTCTCTCCTCCTGTCTGTATCTCTGCCTTTCCAATAGAAATATGTTAACCTTTTTTAAAAATACAAACCATTCTGATCTTTTGTCATTTTTCAGATATACCCTCAAGAATAATTGTGAGAAGCACACTGAAGTGTGGGATCCTTCCCCAGAAGAAATTATTTCAAATGAAGTAAACAACTTAAATCCTGTGTCTGCCAAATCTCTGCCAAATGAGAGTTTCCAGTCACTGTACAACAAGGAACTCCCCGTGCATATCTGTAACGTGGTGTCTCCCGAGAAGATTTATGTTCAGTGGTTATTGACTGAAAACTTAATTAATAGGTATAATATATAAATCGTGCATGTGATTTTATTTATTTCAGTCGTAAGTGTAGAATTTTAAAGTAGTAAGAGTATGCTAACTAAATATTCTGTGCTTAAAAAATGTAAAGCTGGTATTGGTCCTTTTTTATTTTTGACTACATTACAGTTTATTCCACAAGCACTTATTAAGTGCCTCCTGTAGGCGAGCCAGTAGACAGTAGTATAAACACAGACCTGTCTTTGCTGTTAGGGAGCTTGATAGAGGGAGAAACAAGGAAGAAATAAAACTTGTAGCATGGCAGATGTCTGCAAATTTGATACAGAAAATAAAGCATTTGGAGAATGTAATTTTAGGGTAGCCAGAAGACCTCACAACATGAAACTGTTCTGAAGGAGGAGGGTGGGGATAGGCACCCAGGCCTTGTGATCGAAGTCCACTCGGGCAGACAGACGAACTAGTTCAAAGACCTGAGGTGGAGGTATGCTTGATACGTTCAGACTAAGGCAAGGTGTCCGGGTGGGCTGCAGGACATCGGAGGATGGGGAGGGCTCAGCAGGAAACCTGTTTTCTGAGAAATACATGAGAAAAAAAATTTAGAAGGTAAAGCTTTTTTGTTTTCTCTTTACGTAGCTTAGAAGAAAAGATGATAGCTGCTTACGAACACTCCAAGTGGGAACCTGTTAAATGGGAAAACGACATGCACTGCGCTGTGAAGGTTCCAGAGAACAATCAATGGCGCAGAGGTCAGGTCATCAGCGTGGTCACAGACACGTTGGTGGAGGTAAAGGCCAAGTTAAAATACATAAAGACGACAGTGAATGCATTTGGCATGTTTCCCCCCATTTTTATTCCTTTCAATTGATAAAAAAAACTATTTTGAGATGATGTATTTCCCTAGACTTAAAATTATTGTTTCTGTAGGTCTTGCTATATGACGTGGGCGTTGAAGTAGTAGTGAATATTAACTGTTTACGAGAACTTGAAGAAAGTCTAAAGACCATGGGAAGATTATCATTGGAATGCTCGCTTGTTGACATAAGGTAGTGTTTAGCTGAGTGAATTTTCTCATTTTTTTGTTATTTTAAATATTAGATGAATTTTTATCAGTTTTAATTTACTAATGTGTCCTGAAGTTTCCATCAAATTAGTTAATTTGAGGTTTTAAGAGGCGATGATGGTAACTATTTTGAGCCCATGAATTTGGTGACATTAGGGAAATGTGTAGGAAAGGTCTAGAATTCCAACTGTTGAATATAAAAAAGATCACTTCAGGAGCAGCATAGCTTTAGCAACTCATGGAAACCTGAAACAGCACATCAGGGGAAAAGAGTGAAATAGAGAAGATCGTGTGAAAGAGTGGAATCGTAAGAGCCAGAGTGGGAACCCAGACACTGTGACGTGAGACGCAGACACCCCAGCAGGTAGCTTCCGTGCTGTGCCAGACACCAGCACCGAGTTGCCAAAGTAACCTTCAGTATAAAGACCACTTACTTACAGGAACACAGAAGGACTCAAGCAACATTGTGGTTAGGAAACTGCTGAGAAATCTGTCAGAGAACAGATGATCAAAGACATCCAAGAAATGTTGACAAGGAACTTAACAGCACCATTTGTCAGACATTCAAAATAGAGCTAGATTGTACTGGAAGGTATACAACACTAACTTGGAATAATATTATAAGGTAAACTTGAGTTCAATAAAGACATAGGTACCAAATCCTATTCCATCAAACCACATGCTGTGTTGATTGGATTAGTTGATGGCTGCAAGCCATTTAACATGGAAATATTGACCATGTTACGTACTTATTTAATGAGTCAATTCAGTGAAATTCTGAATCTGAAAACCATGTTAGAGTCTTCAGGGTGTGCTTGTGTGCCAGGCAATCTAGTGAGAAAGGCAGATTTACAGAGATGAGACAGCGAAAAAGATCTTCCATCCAGTGGCTCACTCCCCAAATGGCTGCAACAGCCAAGGTAGCTGATCCAGAGCCAGGAGCCAGAAGCTTGTTCCAGGTCTCCCACATGGGCGCAGGGTTCCAAATATGTTGGGCCATTCTGTATTACTTTCCCACGCAACAGGCAGGGAGCTGGATGGGAAGTGGAGCAGCCAGGACGTGAATCAGCACATGCAAGACAAGGATTTAGTGACCTAGCCATCACACCAAGCCTACTGATGTCATTTCTAATCATTTGAAATTGCGTATTTATCAAATGATTTCAATTATGCTGAATGAAATCAAGAATTGAAAACAAGATTTTTGTAAACTGTTGCAGATGGCCTTAAATCTAACTTCTAGAAAAGTTCTGAGAGTAGACAATGGAATCATTGTCTCAAAAGACTTTCTGTTGGACATTTCTGGTGTGACATATGTGCCAGACATCATCAAGGAGAAACATATCATTTCTGTTAGAACTTAAAGTCCAATTGGCATGTATAGTTTCAAAGGTCTTTACTGTTGCTGTAGCAGATACACTTAAAGGTATGAACAAAGCTATGAAAATGGACAAAAAGATTGTGAAAATAACATACATCTATGTTTAAATTGATTATTCACTATTTAGTTGATTCAAAATATATGTATATGTTTACATAGTGCTCTTTGTATAAAAACATTGTCATTTTGCTGTGTAGGCCAACTGGTGGGAGTAACAAGTGGACAGCCACAGCTTGCGACTGCCTCTCCTTGTACCTAACTGGAGCTGTAGCAACTATAATCTTACAGGTGGGTAAGGGTGGTCGGTATTAGGAGATAGGTACTGATGCCTTCATTGCTGATCTCGTCAGTTCTGACTTCTTGTTGGGAAAACAGCTGTTTGGATTTTGTTGCGAAGTTTATATTTGGGTTGATCATTTGCGTTTTGGAAGTGCCAGAGTGCTGACCCTGAAATTATTTTCTTAAATATATTAATTTGAATATCAGAGAAGGAGAAAGATCTTTCATTGCTGACTCACTCTCCAAATGCCCACAGCAGCCAAAGCTGAGCCAGGGGGCCCAAGTGATAGCCTGGTGGCTAAAGTCCTCACCTTGCATGCACCAGGATCCCATATGAATGCCGGTTCAGGTCCTGGCAGCTCAACTTCCCTTCTAGCTCCCTGCTTGTGGCCTGGGAAAGAAGTCGGGGACGGCCCAAAGCCTTGGGACCCTGCACCCACGTGGGAGACCTGGAAGAAGCTGGCTTCGGATTGGCTCAGCTCCATCTGTTGTGGCCACTTGGGGAGTGAACCATTGGGTGGAAGATCTTCCTCTGTTTCTGTCTGTATATCTGACTTTCCAATTAAAAGAAAAACTGAGCCAGGAAGAAGCCATAAATTCAGCTGGGGTCTCCCATGGGTTAATCAGTTGATCTCTTTCTCTGTGTAGTAAAAATTTTTAATGACAAATTTAGGTGTAGGCGTTTGGTCTATTGATAAGAACACCCATGTCCCATATTGGGATGTCTGGGTTCAGTACCCCCTGCTCTAACTCCAGCCCATTGCTAAAGTAAGCTCTGGGAGGTAGTGGTGATGGCTCGAGTTGTTAGCGCCAGGCTTCAGACCACACCCAGGGTCCATTGTGGGCATTTAGGGAGTAAGCCAGCAGATGTGAGCCCTGCCATCCTCTCTGCTGCTAAAATAAAAAATTTTTTAAGGGCCCGGCGTGGTGGCGCAAGTGGTTAAAGGTCCTCGCCTTGCACGCCCGGGATCCCATATGGGCGCCGGTTCTAATCCCGGCAGCCCCGCTTCCCTTCCAACTCCCTGCCTGTGGCCTGGGAAAGCAGTCGAGGACGGCCCAAAGCTTTGGGAACCTGCGCCCACGTGGGAGACCCGGAAGAGGCTCCTGGCTTCAGATCGGCATAGTATCGGCCCGTTGCACTCACTTGGGGAGTGAATCATTGGACGGAAGATCTTCCTCTCTGTCTCTCCTCTCTGTATATCCACCTTTCCAATAAAAATAATAAAAATAAATCTTTAAAAAAAATTTTTTTAAGTCTTGGAGCAAAATTTTTTGCAATCCATGCATTGTTTTTTCATAATATGATTTGCCATAAACTTTTTAATGATCTTTGTATTAAAAGTGTGTTTGCTGTCCTGCAGCAACGGACTTGGTGCAAGGAGCCAAAAATCATACACATGGGCTGATGGTCAACAGCCAATGTTTATTAACAGCATCAGACTAAAGACTGAGGGTCAAGTCAGCTTAAGGGAGGAGGGCTTGAGGAATTTACACAACAGCAAGAAGAAGCTGACTTGAGGCACCCTTGCCTGTCTTTGATCAAACCTGAGGAAGCATCTCTCTTTGAGCTGCTACCTAAACATGAGGACTAGGGAGTTCCTGGTCTCTGTATTTCCAAATCAACTGCTTCCAGAATGTTTTCTCAGGATTGTAGCTAGCCCTGGATCCACACTGGCAAGGCTCCCCAGAGTCCTCCTAATCAGTTATCTTCCTACAGATCTAATCAATTATCCTACGACAGTGTATTATGAGATTTGAACATGGATTGAAAAAGATACGTATCTTTTAGGGATACCTAAAAATATTATTTTCTTGAAATTTCTAATTTTTAAATGTTTTATTTTCTTAATGATTATAAAAGTCTTAGATTTTTCCCTATGTATTTTGTTGTTGTTTCACTTTTTATAGGGCAAATAAGGTATCCCTTATAGAATACATTTTGATTTTATGGTTCACAAAGAGTTCAAGGCAGTAGAGATACCGTATTCATTATTGTTTACCTTCCATAGTTTGATGGGGAATATTTTCAGATTGCTTTTTGAGGTGGAGATTGGGCAGGGGCAGTGAATGGTAAGTTTCATCTTGACCCTGAGATCTTGCATATTTCAAAAAAAACAGCTGTGTGTCCACGTTGACTGTCTTCCATGCTGTCTTCTCTCTGAAATATTTGAATGTGTAACTTTTCTCTGTTGGGAAATTTTTTCTTGCTTACAGAGTATTTCATTTCCATGTCTCATACTTTGACTTATCACTGCAGGACAACAGTACGACGTGGCCTTTACCTGTGAAAATCTTCTGCAGAGACGAGAAAGGAGAGCGTGTGGATGTTTCTAAGTATTTGATTAAAAAGGGTTTGGCTTTGAGAGAACGGAGGTACCGACTTTGACATTATTTTACATCAGTTCGTGGTGGATGCATCTCATTTACCTGTGAAAACTTCAAACATGTGTTCTTTCAGAGATTGCGTCTTACTTGCCCTTACAGATCATTTGCCAATTAATTGCTCAGGAGTCAACTCAGAGGCAGATTTCCAAATTCCCTACTGATATGTTAGCTGTTAACTTTTCCCTGAGTGTTTACATTGAAACCAAAGAGAGAACTATATAAGGCAGGTAACAAATCAGAGCCATTCGCATCTTGTGCTCAGACAGGTTTGAGCTGAATGCTGAAAATTCTGGTGGTTATATACCAAAATGTATTTGTACTAAATAGAATTAATAAAAGAATGAGCAATATTTGTACTTAAAGATTCTTTTGCATACTAAATTTGGGATTAAGCACCAGTGGTGCAGAGGGTGTAGGGGTGTACTGGGATTACAAACAAAAGTTCTGAGTGGCTGCTTTGCAGCGTGCATGTGTATTTAGTCAGTTTTTCATCACTCTGATTGCGGTACCTGAGACAGGCACACGGTTTCAGAGCTTGCAGTCCAAGGTGTGGCTGCCTCACTAGCTGGGCAGAAGGGCGTCATAGGGGTCATAGCGCCAAGCAGCAGGCAGAAACCACACAGCTCCCATCGTGACTTCACAATAGGGTTACTGCCCTGATCACCTAACCCAGCTTAGTCACTCAGCAGAGCCCCAGCTTCACATATAGTAAATGGATTAAGGTCTATCCTGCAGGAACTAGAATTCTGGGGATCCAGCCCTTTAGGGGACACCCAAGTTGTTATCCAGCTTACTCGGGCCCATTCCCGATGCAGGTTGAATGGCCAGGACAGTCAAGCTCATGCTTTTAATCTAAATCAAATTAGTATATCCTAGCTTATATATGTCTTTCCTGGGTTTTTCTGGCTTTGGACTACTGCAGTTCCTTGATAAAAAGTAGTTAAAGTAAAAAAAAAAAAAGCTAGGCATGTCAGTACTAAAGTTGCCTCCACTGATGTTGGTGTGATGTTTTAGAGGATTGTCACTTATGGTGGGTGTTTGATAAGTTGGGAGAGGAATTCGCATAGCTGTTAAATATAATGTTGATTCTAAAAGAAAAGCACAGGAAATTAGAAGTAATGAATATCTGTTATAATTCTGCTAAAACAGCATTGGCAATGCTCTGAGGTTTTTATTTATTTATTGTGCAGTAGGCATGCTTAAAGAAAAAAGTTTATGTACTTGAAAGACTGAGTTAAATAAAGCTAGAGAGGCATTTTTCGGCTGCTGGTTCACTCACTAAATAGCTGCAACCAGCGGGGCTGGACCAGGTTAAAGGCAGAAGCTTTTCCAGGTCTCCCATGTAGGTGGTGAGGACCCGAGCACTTAGCTCATCTTCTGCCGTTTTCTTATGTACTTCGGCAGGGAGCTAGATAAGAAGCAGAGCAGCACCTTTACTCACCGACGATACCACTTTTACATGATTTATTTCCTTACTTGTTTAAAAGGCAGAGTTCCAGAAAGAGGAACAAAATTTTGCTTCTGCTGGTTCACTCCCCAAATGGCCACAGTGACCAGGGCTAGACAAGATTGAAGTCAAGAGCCTAGAATTTCTGACAGGGTGGCACTTGGGCAGTCTTCCACTGCTTTCTCAGGTACATTAACTGGAAGCAGAGAGTTGGATTAAAAGTGGAGCAGCTGGGACTTGAACTCCTGCCTGCATGGGATGCCAGCACCATTGGGAGAGGCTTAGTCTGAAATGCTACAGCATCAGACACAAAGGATACTTTTTTCTAAATTTTCCATGATACAGTTTTGTAGGTATAGGGATTCTTAAGTGTGTCATGGCATTGTAGGTATAGATAATGGTAGAAAATCTAGTATCATATTATCAAGGTATATTTAACCATTTCATTGGGAGTCCTTTTTTTCAGGAATAGAGATGCATACTGCAATGTGTCTTCACTTCCCAGTATGCTCAGTCTCCATTATACAGTTATTCTATGAGAATATGTGTATATACATTTTGAGCCATTTATCTATTTGTTTTGTATTTTTGCATGAATGATGCCTTATGTTAGAATATATTTTAGAGAGAATATATGTCTTTGGGGGATTGGCTTATTTCTCCAAGCATAACATTCTCTAGTTGGGACCATTTTGTTGCAAAAGTAGAATTTTATTCTTTTTGGTGGCTGAGTAGTATTGTACAGAATAAGTATAGCGCAGTTTCTTTGTCCATTCCTCTTTCAGTGGGCATCTGGGTTGTTTCCATGTCTTCACTAGTGTGGATTTGACTGCGATAAATGTAAGGTGTCAGGTCACTTTGTCTCATGCAGATTTCACTTCCTTTGGATGTGGTCCCAGGAGTAGGTGAGCTGGGCCATGTGATAGATCCGTTCCAGTTGTCTTAGCACCCTGCATACTGACTTCCATAGTGGCTGTACTAGCACACACTCCCAACAACAGGGGAGTAGGATACCTTTCTCCCCACTTCCACACCAACAGATGTTGCTAGTAAGTTACAAATGCAGGCCAGTCTCGCTGGAGTTAGGTGGACCTCAATGTGTCATTTCCTTTGCCCATTTCTTCACAGGGTTAGTTGTTTTTGTTGTTGAATTTCTGAAGCTCTTTGTAGCTGCTGGGTATTAATCCCTTATCGGTTATGTAGTGTCAAAGATTTTCTCCCATTCTGTTGGTTGCTTCTTCAGTTTGTTGATCGTTTCCTTCACTGTCCTTTTTTTTAAATTGAGAAAAAAATGAAGTAAAAAAAATTAAGCCTGGTATTTTAATAATAGCACCTTACTTTTAATTAGAAATCATAATTTCTTTGTATTGTTTTTTAAATGTTGATAATTTGCCACATGCATATGTTCTGTCTGTGGAACAGATTGTAATTTCTTAAAATCAACTTGCAGGTGTTATATTTTCCAACAGTAGTAATTAATTGTACAATACTTAGGATTAATTCATGTGAATATTGGAGAGTAGTGTGAAAAGAGGCAACACTAATTTAAAACACTGAGATGAAGTTATACTGTCATTTTCATCAATTTCTAACTTAAAATCTTTTTTATAGCATATTATGTTCATGTACAGTATGTAGCAAACAGTTTGTTTCAAGTTTATTTGAGAAATGTTTAGTTTTCTGCATGTTTTTGTATTTATTCATGCTCAAATGAGTTCTTCTTGGATATTACAGAGTTAATAAATTAGCTGACAGTTGTTCAGCATCTGAGAAGTCTCTGGAATTGCCCCCGGAACAGGAAGATTCAGTAACTACCAAGTGTACTAAACTTAGCTTCGACCCTGACAAAACATCTGTTGACACAACCGATGAACCCAGCATGAACACAGTTGATGAGTTTAAGGAAAAAATCTCAGAACCAAGAGCTCCTGGATGCTACAAACCACCAGCTATCCCGAAGATGAAAGTATTTGATGCAATCGTCAGCTGCATTAGTGATGATGGAACTATATTTATAATACCCAAATTATCAGGTAGATGTTTTATTCTGTAAGGTTAGTTGGTGAACACATACTACACATCTCTAGTAAGATAGATATGCATGATATATGTTGCCAAGCAGTGAATTTCTTTGAATCTCATTTGAAAAGGATTTTTTTTTTAGATTTATTTATTTTTATTACAAAGTCAGATAAACAGAGAAGGAGAGAGAGAGAGGAAGATCTTCCGTCCGATGATTCACTCCCCAAGTGTGCCGCAACAGCCAGTGCTACGCCGATCCAAAGCCAGGAACCAGGAACCTCTTCCAGGTCTCCCATGCAGGTGCAGGGTCCCAAGGCTTTGGGCCGTCCCCCACTGCTTTCCCAGGCCACAAGCAAGGAGCTGGATGGGAAGTGGAGCTGCTGGGATTAGAACCAGCGCCCATAGGGGATCCCGACACGTACAAGGCGAGGACTTTAGCCACTAGGCCACGCTGCTGGGCGCTGAAAAGGATTTTTAAGAAGGTTAAATGATTTTTCTGCAAGGCATGCAATGTGCTTTTAACAGTGCCTAGCACAGGCTCGGCACCATGGCCTCGTGGCTGGCTCCTCACCTTGGTTTTTGTGCCTGCTGCTCCACATTTAACTCAGCTCTCTGCTGTTGTCCTGGGAAGGCAGTGGGGGACGGCCCAGGGCCTTGGGACCCTGCAGCCATGGGGGAGACCCAAAGGAAGCTCCTGGCTTCAGATTGATTCAGCTCTGGCCATTGCAGCCACTTAGGATATGAATCAGCAGGTGGAAGATCTTTCTCTCTGATCTGCCTTTCCAATAAACATAAATAAATCTTAAAAAAAAAAAAGAAGCTAATTCCTTGCACATAATTATTTGGATGTTTTGTTGTTTTAGCATAGCCATTTATGTTATAGTGAGGACGTTCTCAGTATAAGAAAATACTATTCAAAAATTCCCATTTCCTCTGTTATGGCAAATTGAATGACGCTCCCAAATTAGTCAGGTAAAATGACTCGTAAATTTTTAAATCGGAGAGAGTACACATGAAGCTGTTGCTTACTACTCTGTCTTCCTTGTTGGCCCACGTTGGGGTTAAGATGCACAGGCATGGTGGGGAGATGGGGGACTTCCAGATTTCCTAGACCTGTCATTCAGACAGGTTCAGGGGCTCTGTAAGACAAAAATTAAGTTTACGTTAGAAAATAAATAAGGAGAAAAACATAACAAATGACTGGAGATTCAGAATCCTTTGAAAACATGTAGACCCATCCTGATATGTCCTTGGGCTTTTATGCAAATTCTCCCATTGGGTGGGATATATTCCGTAACTCAGGTGACAGCACTCACAGAGCTTAGGTGCCACTAACTCCCTGAGTCCATCTCCCCCAGGAGGGGATGGCAGCTAGAAATTCACTAAGACTTCTCCTTTGTTTATCTCCTAAATACTACTTTTTAATTAAAAAAGAAAAAAAGAATAAACCTGTGCATTTGGCTGTTACAGAAGAAGTAAACAGTGTTTGGAAACCTATAATTATAGTACTTGAGCCAGAAGCTGGCCTTGACAAGTGCAAATACTTACTTAGTACTAAAATGGGTGGGTTGTTCTAGTCGAAGCATTGTGCTGAATGCCATGCTGATAATTAAGAGGTAGGGTTGCCAGTTGTTTATAGAAAAAAATATACTGAGGCTCATGGGAGAAAAAGAACTATTCAGGGTCCCACAACTGTTAACAGAGCTTGCCTTTTGTGATACTAGTTATAAAACTAGACTTACTGTAGAAATAATGGACTTATTAGCAGTAAAGCAATTTCAGTTTATACCCCCAGAATTGTACCATAATTTAACATCAAGCAACATATAGCTTGTACTGTTTTATTTAGATGTGTTATCAAACTTACAAATTACTAATTATTTCCTTCTAGGCCATCTGGTACATTTAGAGCTCTTGATATTTGCACTGTCATATATGCTGTTGGTAATGTTTTGAAACAGACTAAGAGTTCTATGTGACTTGTTTTTAATTCCTTATTAGCAAAGATATAAAGAGCTTAAATAAGATTGATAATGACTTGTTATTGCAAAGTAGTTAGAGAATTGTCCTAAACGTTTTCTGGTTCGAATCATTTCTTCAGAGCTTGAGCTGTCCAAAATGATGGATGAAATTCAGAATAATCTAAAGTGCCTGGGTCTTTTGGAACCTTATTTGTGGAAGAAGGGAGAAGCCTGTGCAATAAGAGGATCTGACACTCTGTGGTACAGGGGCAAGGTCGTGGAAGCAGCAGGCAGCACAGTCAGGGTGAGTGCCGTGTGGTTTGTGACTGTTCTCAAATGAACTGCTGGAACATAAGTGGTCTTTGAGTATAAAGACATGAGGATGTGGTTAAAAGATCTTTTGATAAGTTCAGTTTAAAAGTTCACTCAGTAGATGTATTATACTTTGATTTGTAGTTAAATTTTTCTTCTTTTTCAAATAGAATGTCAACCTAGAAAATTTATTTATGACATAGCTGATGCTTTGAGAGAAAGGGCTGACTTATGAAGTATCACTCAAATTTCACCAATCCTCAAAAATAGTTTAAAATGCATTCATAAAAATATAGACTAAAATAACTTCATTTAAATTGAATTTTCTAAAATAAAGCAACAAAAATAATTAGGTACTTTATCAGATAATGAGTACCTGAAATTTTCAGATTTAATTAAGTTAGTAGGAAGAAAATACTTTTGTTTCTTTACTTGGGAAGTTTGTTTTCTGTTTGATGCGATACCTAATAAGTATATACTATTCCATGTATTTTACCTATGTGCTTTCATGTTGATATTTTGTTCATAACAACTGTTCTGGACATAGCTATCATTATTATTTTTCCAGTTCGAAAATTAAAATTTAGGTTCTGTGACCTACCCTGATCCATGCCCCCAGTGCATGGCTGTCCCAGACTTGCCATCCAAGCGTGTGCTTCCTGACTGCTGAGCTCTTGCACCAGAGCCTGCAGACAGCTGGTGCTAACCGGGCCAAAGTCAGAGCCAATAACCCCACAAGCCTCCCAAGTGACTGGCAGGGCACTTGTGTTTGAGCCGTTCTCTGCTGCCTGCCGGGAAGGGCTGGTGGATGGCAAGCAGAGTAACCAGGTCTCAGCCCTGTACTCAAGCGGAGTGCTGGCATCCCAAATGACACGTTAAACACACTGCACCACTGTGGGCTGCTGGGACTCGAATGTTTGGATTTGGGGTGAAGATGAGCATCTGCATGCTGACAGAGTCATGTCTGCAACTGCCAGTGATCATTTGCATATGGGTCGTTCTCTTCTTGAATACACAGGAAAAGTGGAACAGTCTTAATCAGCTCATAGCTTTATGTGAAAATCAAATACTTTTTTAAAATTCTCGTATCTGAGTTTCTGTTTCTCTGACACATTGAAGAAGTATTTCAGTATTTTTCTGTAAGGCCATTTATAAAATGAATTTTTGATTCGTTAACTTGATACCCTTCAAAGTTTATATTATGATTTCTCTGAAGAAACATACATTTCATAGTCATACTCACCATACCTGTGATAAACTCAGGTATTTCTTATTCACTTCTGTTCATTTTTTAAATGCTGACTGCCAGGGCCAACATTGTGGCATAGCAGGCAAAGTCAGCACCTGTTAGGCCAGGATCCCAGCAGTCTTCTATTGAAGGCCTGGAAAAAGTAGTGGAGGATGATGGCAGTGTTAGGGCCCTGCCACCCACATGGGAAACCCAGATGTGGCTCCTGGCTCCTGGTTCCTGGCTCCTGGTTCCTGGCTCCTGGTTCCTGGTTCCTGGCCCCTGGCTCCTGACTCCTGGCTCCTGGCTCCTGGCTCCTGACTCCTGGCCCCTGGCCCCTGGCCCCTGGCTCCTGGCTCCTGGCTCCTGGCCCCTGGCCTCTGGCCCCTGGCTCCTGGCTCCTGGCTCCTGGCTCCTGGCTCCTGGTTCCTGGCCCCTGGCCGCTGGCTCCTGGCCCCAGGCTCCTGGCTCTGCCTATGGTCATTGGCCCTTGCAGCCATCTGAAAAGTAAACCAACAGGTCAGCTGTCTCTTTCTCCTCTCTCTCACAATCTCTGACTTTCAGAATAAATGAAGTTTTCTCCGGCTTGTTTCAGGTACAGTATTTGGATCATGGATTCACTGAGAAGATTCCTCAGTGTCATCTTTACCCTATTTTGTTATATCCTGATATACCCCAGTTTTGTATTCCTTGTCAACTCTATAAAACCGTACCGGTGAGTACAGGATAATTTGTGGATGATTATTTTTAAATACTTTATTAATGCTTTGTTAGAAATAAAAATGCAAAATAAAATCCCTTTCGCTGTTACAAAATTATAAATATCTACAGTTAAGTTTGTACATTTTTATAATAAAAATTAAATAATGAAAACATTTTCTTTAAAAAAGGCATGACATACATCCACCATGAGATTCATCTGATAGTATTTCAATGTAATGTTTAAAAAATACTTTTTAAAATGCTGATTGCTAAGCAAACTTCAATTAAGCACTGATGTTTTCGTTTGGGTACATTGGAATAGGAGTACCTTTTTAGCTTTCCTTTTTCTTAAGATAATGTAGAAAATGAACTATCAAAATCAAAGAATTCCAAAAAAAGTAATTTGTAGGTCTATTAAGATAAAAAAAATAAATTTTATTTATGGTTTCCTATAAGAAAACCTTCTTATAGGAGTGGGCATTTGGGGCCTGGTGCAATAACTTAGCAGTTAAAGTCCTCACCTTGTACACACAGGGATCCCATATGGGCACAAGTTCTAATCCCGGCAGCCCCGCTTCCCATCCAGCTCCCTGCTTGTGGCCTGGGAAAGCAGTTGAGGACGGCCCAAAGCCTTGAGACCCTGCACCTGAATGGGAGACCTGGAAAGAGGCTCCTGGCTCCTGGCTTTGGATCAGCTCAGCTCTGGCCATTGCAGCCACTTGGGGAGGATGCATAATGTTTCTCTCTGCCTCTCCTTCTCTCTGTATATCTGACTTTCTAATTAAAATTTTTAAAAAGTGGACATTTGGCAACCAGCACGAAGACTTGGGACAGACTGGCTACATTGCTGGTTCTAACTCCCCCCTGGTATATGTACAATTGGATGAAGCAAGCAATGGCTCAAGTATTTGGGAAACCAAAACTGGGGCTTTGCTCTGGGCTTTTGTTTGGCCCAGCCACTGCCATTGTGGCGTTTGAGAGGCCATCTGACAAACAGGGTGTGTCTGTGTGTGTTTCTCATAATAAACATTTACTGCAAGTTGAGAGAAATTCCTTCATGGAAGTATTCTCAAACCCAGACCTTTCGGCGTCTTCCTGGGCTGTGTGCGTCTGTGGCCCAGCGCCGCGGAGGGGCCGAGCTGCGTGGCTTTACCTTGGGTTCCTCTGTGTCGCTGCGATCAGTTAGACGGGCCACTTCCGCACAGCTTAGTTCCTTGAGCGTGAGCTTTAACAGAGGCCACCCTGTCACTGCTCCTTCCAGAATGGTTGCAGGACTTCTGCCAGCACTGCCTTGGCATATTGCCCTGTTGTAAAGTTTTAAATGTGAGGTCTTCAGTGTATGTTTTTAAAGCTTAAAATGTGGTAAGTCCTCTCTAGGGAGCTCAGCCAAGTTCATGGTAATACTTTTATCATATTACCATTGTATTCTTTGAAAAACATGTATTTTATATTATTTAGTATTACCTGTTTTGGCTAACGTAGCATATCTTAATTTGCTTCCTGCTGTTATTTGTGAAAGTGAGAATCTAAATTTATTATTTCCCAAATAGGTGGGAAATGTCTGGCAATCTGATTCAATAGAACTTCTTCGGGAATTACTTTCAAAGAGAGAAGTGGAAATTCATGTTATGGTAATTTGTATTTAAAACTAGTTTAAATTGTTCACTATAAGATATTATAACAAACATAATTGAAGGAAATTTTTGATGATACGCAATGTTGCATATATTCTTATATGAATATAAATTATTTACATAAAAAAGTTTGATTCCTAGGCTTGTTTTAAATAAGTGTAATTTTGAACTTAACTTCCAAACCTATTATAGTAACTTGGAAGACTCTTGTTTTGATACGGAAAGCAGTATTAAATTATGGAGGTTTTTTAATATATATGTAGCAGCTTGCAGGCTGCTGTTATTGCTGTGTGTGTAGCAGTGGGTTAGATTAGAATAACTCAGAAGGAAACTTGTATGACTCCCAACCCCTAGACCTTATGTTCTAGTAAGAGAAGATGGGACCTTAGGAAGGTGACCCTGAAGCTGCAGTCTGACTTACTGTGGGTCTAGTGACAAGGGGAGAAGGAGTAATAGCAATTTAGAAATGGTATGAATTGAGGTGTCCCTTTAAAGAAAATGTAATGGAGTTTTTCAGACTGGGGGAAATGAAATGCACAGAGAGAAGCTTCTAGGAAACAATATTAGCAGTTTGGTACATGATGAAGTTTTATAAGAAGAAAAGGTGAGTGGCATTTGGTAGTTAGAGACCATTGGCGGGACCCCAGTGGAGGTTTCTGGACAGGATCATTAGACTAAACCATAGCTATGTATGAGATGTCAAAATGGTAAGGAAAATCCGTGGTTTAAAAGGTAATGATGGGAGAATTGAGACCTACAAAGAGCCCCCATCCACCAAACTATGACATGGCGTATGTGAAGTGCTAAGAGCCCTCCCTAGCCACTCGGTCTCCAGGGCAGGCCATGAAACAAGGCACAGACAGTCAAAGTACTGTCTCAGTGTTGCTCAGCTTAGCATAGCCAGCAGGAAATTGGTAGTGTTAGCAAAGGCTGTTCAGTTTCCCGGTTGTGAACGTGCGTTCCAGTAACCTACCCAGACCCGCTCTGTGACTGCTGAGGAGAGATGACCACGGCTGGGCTCTTCTCTTGGCATGGACACGCAGTAAAGGTCTACCCTGCCTTTGCGGAGCCTCTATTGTAGTGATTTGCCCAGAACAAATGAAAACATAAACTCAAGAGTCTATCAGTGCCAAGTACTAGGGGGAAAAAAACAAAGCAAGGAAGAATGGTAGGGTGTGGCCAGGGAGGAGTCCGCCTCCAGCACAGCCCTCAGAGAAGACAGCATTGCAAGGTGCGCTAGAGCCAAAGCCCAAAATGGTCGTGGGAGGATGTGTCCAGGGTGGAACCAGATCAGAAGGAGCAAGCGCAGGAAAGTGGACAGCGGGGACCAGGCTGAGATGTGAACGCCCACTCTGGTATTCCCTCTGGCTGCTGTGCTGACTGAAGTCTGGGCAGTAGGGAAAAATAAATAAATAAATAAATAAATAAATAAGAGATATCTGCAATTCAAGGAAGAGGTGAGTATGGAGGAACGTGGGCCCAGTAGAAGAGCTTTGCCCAGTTGGCTGACAGGTTATAAACACAGGCAGTACCTGTGGTTGTCAGAGTTTCAGAGACGTTCTCATGAGCCGTGCTATTTAGTCTGTTAACGTCTTCTGATTCCTGTCATGTGAGGACTTGTTGGTTAAACTTATCTTCCCACCCTCTGACAGTACCTTTTATTTCTCCTACTTACTGTAAATTATTAGAATCATCTAAACATGCTGTGTAGAATGAGTTGATAATAAGTTGCTTCCTAGTAATAAATTCTATCCTTCTGAACATATTTTGTATAAACCAAAATAATAAAGTTACTATTTCTTGATCTGCCAGAACACCAGGAAATAACTTTTATTAAATGGGTCGCTAATCAAACTAACTGGTAATGCTGTGATTATCAGAAGCCTAATTATGTTTTCTGAGTAGAACTTTGTTCATCAGATAGACTTTATATATAATTACCTTATTTATTAAATAGGAATTACCTGAAAACCCATGGGAGAAATTATCTGTTCTTCTGTATTTTGATGGAATGTCACTTTCTTATTTTATGGCACATTATAAATTTTGTACTTCTGACCATTCTGAAGAAATACTGAAAGAAGTAAGTAAATTAGTTTTCCTATAGAAACTATAGAAAAATCTTAGTTAAATGTCAATATTTTCTGTTACACCTCATATTTATTATGATTCTGGTATGTTAGAAAATCCAGAGAAGTTCTAAATTCTTTGTTGAGAAACATTGTTCTGTTTGTGCTATATAAATGTCCTGAACAATTAATGTTTCTGTACCTTCAAACCCAGTAAGATATCCATATGTTACCCAGTATTGCTTAAGATATGGATACGTATTGGGCCTAGCACGGTGGCCTAGCAGCCAAAGTCCTCGCCTAGAACGTGCCAGGATCCCATATGGATGCCGGTTCTAATCCTGGCAGCCCTGCTTCCTTCTCCAGCTCCCTGCTTGTGGCTTGGGAGAGCAGTTGAGAACAGCCCAAGACCTTGGGACCCTGCATCGACTTGGGAGACCCGTAAGAGGCTCCTTGGCTCCTGGTTTCAGATCAGCTCAGCTCCAGCCATTGCAGCCGCTTGGGGAGTGAATCAACAGATGGAAGATCTTCCTGTCTCCTCTCTGTATATCTAATTTTCTAATAAAAATTATTTTTTTAAAAAGCTAGGGATACATGTTACAACATTTATAGAATTCAACAAGGCTCTCTACCCAGATGAAATATTTTTTCTTTTACTTGACATAAAAACCATGTATTGCAACCTGTCTTATGTTATGGCTGATTCAGCCACATTTTCAGCTTATCCAACAAACAGCTCATTGCCAGTGCTTCTATTTTTAATGTTTCTCAAAACATAATTCACTTGCTACAGATAGTTTCACATTTTAGGCAGACAAAGTCCCTGTGTATTAATAGGCTATATAGATAATAATGGCATTTTTAAATGTCTAGATTTTTTTAATTCTAGACTTAACTTGTTAGATTTAACTTCACTTGTTAGATTTTATGGTATTCATTTGGGTAGCCACACACAACCAAACATTGGATATTTTCTTTTAAAAATGTATTCATTTATCTGAAAGACAGACAAAGAAAGATGTTCCATTCATTGGCCCACATAGCCATAGTGTCTTAGACCAAGCTACATCCAGGAGCCAGAAACTCCATCTGGGCCTCCCACATGGGCGGCAGGGGCCCAGGTCCCAGTGCCTTCCAGATTAGCAGGGAACTTGATAGCAAGCAGAGCAACTGAGACTTGAACCAACACTAGACAGCAGCGTAACCTGTTTCTCCACACAGCAAGCCCCAGAATGTTCCAGGCAATAATAGAAAACCAGTTTGTTCTCTCAGACAGACCTTGTATGTATAGTCTTGACTACCAGCTTTTTCTTTAAAACAGAGACATGGTGAGAGTTATAAAAGGTGCTGCATCTGTTAATCTGATCTTATAAAGGTTACTTCATCTCTTCCAATTTTCTCATCATATTTTAAAGGGGAAAGTAAAGGTTTCCATTCTTATTTAATTATTTATTGGCATACTAATTATCTTAGCATTATTTTGAGAAGTCTTATAGTTGAAGTAGAAGTAGTAAAACTATTCAGGATTCTGTGTTAAAATGAAATAACTAGATGATTCCCAGTGAGGACATGCTCCCAGTTTTTATGGATTTAAACTCTAGATGTGCATTAAAACAGAAGCAGAGTTAAAGATGGTTTTATTCAATGGCAGTATTATGTGATTTCAGAGGCCAACAGATTACGATAAAAACTACGAGGCGGAAAAATGGGAAATAAATTTTGAGGTAAGTTACAATGCAAGTATTTGGGAAACTGGATGCTTCATCAGTATAAAGGATCTGATGCTGAAAGAGAAAGTAAGAGTTTTATTTATTAAGTTAAAATGCCATAGAAAGTGTACAACTCAGTAGTTTTATTTTATGTTCAATATTGTTTACATAGTTAAGAGGGATACACGCCCATATGTGTCTGATTAGGGTGGGTTAGGTCGATTTATAGAGAAAGGTGGATTGAGCCGATGTTTTCATTTTTTTTCCTCCTATACCCACAAGGGGGCAGGGGAAGGGGCCACTCCTTGCTGTCAGACTATATCAGGTCAGCCATCAAAGGACCGTCCCTATCTGTGGTCCCCTCCTTAGAGACCATACAGGGGGAAGAGTGCTGAGGGCGGTACTTGCACGGTTTTCATAGCTCTGAGACATCTTGTCAGTTTTGTTGCTCCGGGGTTGAGAAAATCTTTCCAAGCTCTCTTGGCTGACCAGGTCTGCTTTAACGCATCCGCAGGCCCAACAACATGTTGTGAAGCACAGTGTTCCAACCTGTTCTGTTTGCCAACCTCTGACAAGCCACTTGACGTCCTCTGCTGGCCTAGATGAGCTGGCTGTCTGGGCGTGCCGTCCACAGCTCAGGCATCAGCAACTGAGGAGGCCCAGTCCTGGTCCATGCACTCCCAGGTCATAACACACATATTGTGATTTTCCCTGTGGCTAGGAGGATTGGAGTCCAGCCATCTACTTGAGGAATCTTATAAGAAACCTCTCCTGGGGTGACGTCAGACTTGACTCGGGTGTGCGCCAGCCAGTGCAGAGTGAGGTTTGGTCTGTCTCCTGCACCAGGCAGTGCACCTACCAATAGATGCAGTTACCTGGCCAGCCCCCTGCGCTGGCACTCACCAGTGGGAGCTACACCTTAGCAGGGTCTACTTCCAGCCCCAATTTGGCATGTGCAGGCACAAGTCAATAGTTTATGGTATTATTTAGTGACTTTTGCAACCATTACCCCTTACATAATTCCAGGATATTTTACCACCTTAAAACAGAAACCTCATGGCAGAAACACTCATCTCCCATTCTTCCCTTTCCCAGCTCTATGACCAGCTAATCTCTGCCTCCTAATTGGCCTATTCTGTACGGTTCCTGTAAGTGGAATCATACATACTTTATTCCTTTTTATTGCTGGATTAAACTTCATGTTATACATGATACATTTTGTTTATGCACGTAGGGATGGATGGACATTTGAGTGTTATGCACATTTTGTAAGTCTTTAAGAAACAGTGAGACTATTTTCAAAAGTGGTTTTCCACAGTCAGGCTGGGAGTTGCTTCCTCAGCATCCTTGCTGGTGTTTGATATCTGACGTTTTTCCCTAGCCATCCTGTGACAAATGTGAAGTGGCTCTGATATGCACTTCCCTACTGATTAATAATGTGGAGCATCCTTTCACATACTTATTGGCTGTTTCTGTATTTTCTTTGGCAAAAATATTTATTCAAATCCACTGCATATTTTAGAGGGGTTATTTATCCCGGGTGTGTGTGTGTGTGTGTGTGTGTGTGTGTGTGTGTGTGTGTGTGTGTGATTTTGGTTTGGTTTGAAGAGCTGTCGATATATCTTGGATCCATGACCCCTACCAGACCCATGATTTGCAAATACGTCCTCCCATTCTGTGTCAGTGTAATTTCTTGACAATATCCTTTTAAGCACCAGAGTTGAAACTTTAATGATTAAAGTCCAGTCTATCTGGTTTTTTTTTTTATTATGTCACTTGTGGGGTGTTTTGTGTGTGTGTGTGTGTGTGTGTGCAGTAAGAGTTTTAAAAATCAGATTTTATAGTCAGTGCAATTTCATTTTTTTAAGGTTTATTTTTATTGGAAAGGCAGATACACAGGAGAGACAGAAAGATCTTCTGTCCAGGGCCTGGTGCGACAACGTAATGGTTAAGGTCCTCGCCTTGATTGCGCCAGGATCCCCTATGGGCGCTGGTTCTAATCCTGGCAGCCCCACTTCCCATCCAGCTCCCTGCTTGTGGCCTAGGAAAGCAGTGGAGGACGGCCCAAAGCCTTGAGACCCTGCACCTGTGTGGGAGACCTGAAAGAGGCTTCTGGCTCCTGGCTTCGGGTCGGCGCAGCACCAGCCATTGCGGCCACTTGCGGAGTGAATCATCAGACAGAAAATCTTCCTCTCTGTCTCTCCTCCTCTCTGTTTATCTGACTTTGCAATAAAAATAAATAAATCTTTTTTTAAAAAAAAAAAGATTGTGGTACAAAAAAAGGCCTAAAGATGTTTAGTCATCACAGTCTGTTCATATTTATTCAAAATTGTATTGTATTTAGTATCTGACAGCTTCATTTCTGTTCATTGAAAGTAAATTGACACTACAGTAGATCTTCTATACTATATTGTTTTATAGTTGTCATTTTCAGATCTGAATATTTTTTGTCTTGTTCTAGGAATTGCTTCTGTCTGAAACAGAGACCCCCATTGTGCCACCTTACGTGTCTTCGTCTCTGCCTCCCCCAGGAGAACTCTTTGCTGTTCAAGTGAAACATGTGGTCTCGCCAAATGAAGTATGCAGGAACTCAAAATGCAACCACAGGCTGGGTCTCACACACAGCTCCATCTCCCTGACTTTAAATAATTGAAAATTGGTAACCTCTGATTTGCCCACCCTGTACTGGTACCCACTTCAGACATGTAGAAGCTGTGACATTTGATTGGGTGAACATTTCTCAGCCATCTGTGTGTTCCTGGTGTAGCATCACATGTGTAGATTTTTGTGGAACTTTCCGATGTAGGATATCCTTTACATCTCGGTCCGTGAATTCTGGTGCTCTTGGCCCTGCTCTGTGCATTTCTAGACCGCTGCTCGCTTCCTGGCAACCTGTGCCACAGTTCTGTGTAGGGTTATTTGTCTGCCTTCTCCCCCAAGTTGCTCCGTGGACACGCGGATTATTTTCTCGTATTCAGTGACATACCCCTAGAACCTACAATAGTGTCTGACCTAGAGTGCTCAGTCAGTGAGTGACTGTTGACTGAAAGAGAGGAATGTACTAAAGAAAATGCAGTTAACGTCTCCTTGGCTAACAAGAAAGAAACGGAGAAGTGATGAGTAACATTGACAACTTCTTCAGCTTTCTCCACAGAAAACCATTCTCTAAAGGATGCTTTTATCATGCAGGAAAGAATTTCGTGTAGCTGTTACATGTTTTATAATTTCTCAATAGCTTATGTGTTATTTATTGCTGTATAGCAATTACCACAAGCTTTACAGCTGAGAACAGTACGAGGCTCAGGAATCCAAGAGCTAGTTCAGATTCTGGCACGGGATCTCCCATGGGGCAGTGGTTAGGACTTTGAGGGGGTCAAAGGGATGCAGAGTTCACTTCCAGAACCAGCCATGAATGTGACAGTTCTGCACCTGGCCCAGGGCTCCTGCAGGCTAGACTTCCTGAGCATTCAGTCCCTGACAGACATCACACCCAGAAACCCAGGCTCTCTTACTGCCTGGGCTGCATATCTCACACCTTCACCTCAGAAATGTTCCCTGTCCAGGAGGGAATTCCTGGAGTGGGGCAGAGAGGTGGGCGCCGTGGTGGGAGGCCCTCTCCATGTCGGTGAATACTAGAAATGACAGTTTGAAAGTTGCTTCCTTCTCTTCCTCCCGCTTAGGTCTACATTTGCCTTGACTCTGTAGAGAGCTGTAATCAGTTTAACCATCACAATGACACGGATGACAGCGGAGTCAGCTGGGACTCGGAGCCTGAGAGCCTTGAAGAAGCGCTGCGGAGGTCCAACAAGAATGTAGACACGTTTCCCCCTCTGACTGACTTTAGAACAGGTCGGCTTGTTTTTATGTTTTGTTTGTTTGCTGAGGGTGTGACAGATGGGCTGCTGGCGATCACGTTCGGTGCGTGAGCTCCATCCCCAGGGCACCCCGGGGCTCATCTCTCCCACTTTCCAGACCATGAAGGTGAACTAAGACAAGCGAATCCTTTGTGTCCATTTTTACCTTCCAAAGATCAGGCTGTGTTGAAAAAATGCATGGAGAAGACTTTCTTTTAAAGAAAAAAATCAATTTCTTTTTTTGAAGATTATTTTTATTTTAAAGGCAGATTTTAAGAAGAGGGAGGAGAGACAAAGTAAAGATTTTTCATCTGCTGGTTCACTCCCCAGATGGCTGCAGTTGTTGGAGCTGAGCCAGTGCTAAGCCAGGTTTCCCACATGGGTGCAGGGTCCTAAGGACTTGGGCATCCTCTGCTGCCTTCCCAGGCCACAAGCAGGGAGCTGCATCAGAAGAGGCCAGGACACGAACTGGTGTCCATATGGGATGCTCGTCCTTATAGGCGGAGCATATTCAACTATCGTACCAGCCCCACGAGGACTTTCTAATTGTGTAATTTTATTGCTAGCTCAATAAAATGAGGCTTTTGTCACCTACACTGATCACTTTAGTGTCGCTGTCCTGCAGCGATGGACTTGCTGCACAGAGCAATAACCCGCATGGACTACTGACTCATGATCAAAACGAAACTTAATAGGGACAACAGACTTTATACACTGAGGGTCGTATAAGATTAGGGTTCAGGTATTTAGCTCATCAACAAACCCATCAACTATTTCTATGCTTTTGTTTGGAAGTCCCTTTGTCTTGTATATTCCACCAAGGGTTCTCATACACATGCTGTCCACTCACCTGTTATACAAATGATGTCCCATCAGGTATACAGAAGGTAGCCATTCGGTTGTTCATCCAATCAGTCACATAAAAGGCACCCATTCAGTTGTTTATCATATAAATATTGTCCAATCAACTGTAAATCCTGTTCTGGCTGACCTTCTAGGGTCACAATGTCCTCCTACACTTTGGAACAGTTTCCTAGCTCTTTCAGGATAGGCCAGATTCCCAATCTTTCTTTCCAATCTGTTTTTCACACCATTATTAAATAGGTGTGATTGTTCTGTGAGGACAATGGACCTAGTTTGTGGCATTGGGGGGGTCCTTGAATGCTCAAAGTGAAGTCTGCATTTTTATCAGTGATAGATAGAAGAATGCATTTGTTCTTCCCACTTTGCACGTATCAGAAGGCGTTTTCATGGGATAAGGAGCACATGGGTTTAATGTCATAGCTGACTTTACTCAGTGATATTTTACTTGACTGTGACCTACTGTGGGCTGGTAAGTTACACTTGTGGTTCCTTCTGCCTGGAAATAGCCTCCCCCAGATAAGACCTCCACTTAGCTGTTGTCCTCAGGTCTGCCCTGATCTTGCTGGAAGTGTCTGCGCTATTCTCTGCTCCCCACCATTCCTCTTGCAATAGTATTGTGAGTGTGTGGCCGTTGGAGTCAGGAGCAGTTAGGTGGGCACCTGGCACAGTGTAGTGCTGAATATGTATGTAAATAATGAATAGACTGATGACAGTCCCTTGGTCTGCTCAGATTTGTAGTCTGGAAGGGAGAATTCCTGCCTGTGTTGCTGTGGATACAAATTCATTCTGTGTGCTCTGGAATCCGGGCGGGTATGACAAAGTGAAGGTGTATGCCATCTTGATTTTTCCAGATTTACTCAGCCAGTGTTCATTAGCACTTTAGTTTGAGCATTGCTTGTACCAGGTGCCACATTGGGGATACAAAGTACGTTTCTTTTTTTTTGTTTTTTACATTTTTTAATTATTGCTATCATTTTATGAAACAGTTCCATATCCCCTTATTCCCTCCCCAATTTCCCCCCCCCACCTAGTTCCTTTATGTCATTATTAACATACAGTCCTTCATACTCAGTCATATGTCCATCATTGTGGGCATGGACAATGGCAGAGAGTCCAGAATCCTGTTGTCAAGATATAGTAAACAGTTTCACTGTAAGTCCATCTTTGTTTGGAAGCAGAAATGCATACCACACTGCATCCTCACATCTGGATGTTAGTCTCCATTTCACAGCTACTATATATCCCATCAAATGAAAAGTCATGATACAAAATCAACAATAGAAACAAAAAAATAAATTCACAATGCCATGAAGTTAAATGACATGTTACTAGATATGACAGTCTCCATTACACAGCTACTATACATTCCCTTAAATGAAAAGCCACAAAACAAACTCAACATCCGGGAGAAAAAAGAAATTAACAACACCATGAAGTTAAACACATTCTATTAAATGACTAACATGTAGCTGAAGAAATGAAAATCAAGATCCTTCTTGAAGAAAATGTTGCCACTGTATGATCTACGAGTCATTGAATGAATTAATCAGAAAAGTGTTTTGAGATGAAACAAACAGAAAACAACAAAACCCATGTGATATAGTTTCCGCTGATCTTTGTTGGTGACATGTGTCTCTTCTAGATAACAAATGGATCAGTTTTTGTTTTTTAATCCAGTCTACTAACCTATGATATTTGAGCTTAAGCCATTTACATTAAGGGTTAAATATACGTGGATGGTGCTTTGGTCCTGTCATTTTAGGAATGGGTTGTTCATTGCTTTAGTCTTCTGTTGACATTTTACTGGGATGTTCTTCACATTTGCCTTTGGTTTTGGTAGGTGCTATTCCTCTTCTCTGTCAAGAGAACATCTTGAAGTAACATTTGTAGGGCAGGTTTAGAAGAGGCAAATTCTTTTAATTTTTCTTTACTCTGGAAGAATTTTATTTCATTTTCAAAGACAAAAGCAAGCTTTGCAGGGCATGTTATCCTGGGCTGACAATTTTTTCTTTTAGAATCTGGAATATGTTGCTCCATTCTCTTCTTGCCTGTAGAGTTTCCTGTGAGAGATCTCCTGTGAGCTTAATTGGCATTCCTTTATATGTCAATTGATGTTTTTCACGTGCACATTTAAGGATCTTTTCCTTATGTTCAATTGAAAAGAGCTTGATGATCATGTGTCTTGGTGAGGAATGCTTTTGGTCAAGCCTGTTGGGAGTTCTGTGTCCCTCCTGGGTCTTGTTTCCCAATTCTTTCTCTAGATTAGGGAAATTTTCCTTTATTTTTTCATTAAATATTTGTAAAACCAGTTTTTCTTTCTGCTCCCTCCGAGACTCCCATAACTCTTATATTAGGCCTCTTAATAGTGTCTTTCAATTCCTGGATACTTTTTTTGGCCTGATCCAGCTCTGCTTCCAGCTTTTCGTTTGCGTCTCCCTGATGACAGAAATATCTTCCAATTCTAAGGTTCTTTCTTCTGCTTGCTTCTTTCTATTTTGGAAACTCTCCACTGTACTTTAAATTGCTCTACTGTGTTCTTAATTTCTGATATGCCAGCCTTGATTTTCTTTACTGCTTCCTTAAATTCTTTGAACTCTTGTATGTGCTTCTCATTGTTGATCAGAAGCTTTAAAATGAGTTTTCTGAATTCTGTATCCCCCATTTTCTTGATGTCTTCCTCAGTGAACTCTGAGGTGGGCATAGGGTTTTGCTCCTCTGCAGGGGAGTTTCCGGTAATATTCATTGTGCCTTTGTCTCTTCTTTTGCTCTTGATCATTGTGCTTCTGGTTAGCAGAGTCTTCTCCTTGGAGCACGTTTCTAAGCTGTGTCACCCACAGGTCTACAATGCGTTTTTACTTATTGCAGTTGGTACACAACTTTTTGTTTGCAGCCACTTGTGCCACTCCCTCCAGTGAGTTCCAGGTCTGGGTTCTTATGTCAGATTTCCACCGTGGTCTCCACAGCCACAGCTCTTGGCTCACCACTCTCCACCTCCTGTGATATAGTGCAGAGGCTGTACCATTGTCTGTACAACCTTTCTCCCACTTCCGGTTGGATCAGGTCCCAGGATTTGGGAGACACCAGGTGTCCTATCTAGTTAGGTTGTTGGTGGCGCTGATCTTGTTGGAACCTGTTGGATGTTAGGTCTGGGTGCCACACGGACCAATTTGAACAGTATGATGCCACTGTCAGTATTATTTTCCTATGGGACTTCAGCGAGTTCTCGCTGAGCTCAGCACATGCGCAGTTCACTGTTGTCCCCTGCATTCCCAAAGTTATTGCCACAGTGTACCAAATGATGCCTGATGTACCACTACTAGAGTTCTTGATTTGCTGGCCGTCAGATCTGAAGGCTACTCAGACCTGTCTTGGGTGGAACCTGTAGAATGCCACATTGCCGCAGTTCACTGAGTCAGAAATAAGCTCACTCCCAGTTCAGCACATGCTCAGTCCTTTCCTTTGCCCTTTCCTCCTAACGCAAAATGGCGTCCAATTCAGCTCTGGGAACTGACTGGGCTATGAAATCCACTCTGTTCTTGCACTCTCCATCTGAGATTTGGTGCTCTGTCTCTGCTCCTGGTCAAATCAAAGAGACCAGCAGGACGGACGATTCTTTGTCTGGGTTCACCTCCCAAGCTCCCAGTGAAAGTCCCTTCCCACCTGGTTGCTGGTGGAGTTCCAGCTGCTGGTGGAGTTCAGATCGCCATTAGCTGAATGCCACTGGAATATCAGTCACTGCAACACCACACTGCTGTGTCCGCCTCTTTCCTGTGTCTGTCAGTCTCCAGGTACCCCCTCCCTCTGCTGTCGTTCTGTCCTTTCCTCTTTCCTGAAATATGTCCTCTCTGCTTCATCCTGATTAAATGTTTCTCCATACGTTTAAACCCTATTCTGCCATCTTGATTCTCCTACAAAGTACATTTCTTTACTGAGGAACAAATTACCAAAAAAAGACAGTAAATCAAGTATAGCATGGAAATCACCAGCCCTATTAAGGGCTGTGTAAGACCGCTGACCAGTTAGTCCCCAGGGCTTCTGCAAGGTCATGCTGGAACTGAGTTTGGAAAGAAGAGTAGATGTTGGCACCAAAGTCTCATGGGCTTCAACTCGAGTCCCCGCTGCTCCACTGCGGATCCAGCTCTCTGCTTCTCCCACTCGAGTCCCCGCTGATCCACTGTGGACTCAGCTCCCTGCTTCTCCCACTCGAGTCCCCGCTGCTCCACTGCGGATCCAGCTCTCTGCTTCTCCCACTCGAGTCCCCGCTGCTCCACGGTGGACTCAGCTCCCTGCTTCTCCCACTCGAGTCCCCGCTGCTCCACTGCGGACCCAGCTCTCTGCTTATGGCCAGGATGGCAGAGAGGATGGCCCAAGTCCTTGAGCCCCTGCCAACATGTAGGGGACATGATCAGCTCGGCTCCAGCTATTGCAGCTGTTGGGTGATTGGACTAGCAGATGGGAAACCTTTCTTTGTCTCTCTTATCTCTGTAAAAATCTGCCTTTCAAATAAGAAAAGCAAAACTCTTTTTATGGACCCTGCACGATAGCATAGCGGCTAAAGTCCTTGCCTTGAACGATCCCATATGGGTACCAGTTCTATTCCCAGCAGCCCTGCTTCCCATCCAGCTCCCTGCTTGTGGCCTGGGAAAGCAGTCGGGGATGGCCCAAAGCCTTAGGACCCTGCACCTGCATGAGAGACCCAGAGGAAGCTCACGTCTCCTGGCTTCAAATTGGTTCAGCTCCAGCCGTTGTGGCCGCTTGGGGAATGAATCATCAGACAGAAGATCTTCATCTCTGTCTCTCCTCCTCTGCATATCTGCCTTTCCAATAAAAATAAATAAAGCTTTTAAAAATAAACTTTTTTTAAAGGAGTATACAAATTAATCATAGGGGGAACTCAGGAAAACATTGTAGATGGAGGGCCAGACAGCTAAAGCAGAGGCATGAGGGTTTTCAGTTATTCTATTCAGGTAACTGATTTGAGGGTGTGTGATGGAGATTGTTGAGAGTTGATGATGAAGCCGCAGTGCTCAATACTGGATGTTGCAGGTGGTTCAGATGTCATTCAAGAACTTTAAACCACAGAGCAGTGTAATTGAACTTTCAAAATGTAATTCTGGTGGTCGTTGCAGAGCAGATTGGGGGAGCACAGAGTTGAAGGGAGGGAGAGCAGACTGTATTGATTGTCCCTTGCCAAAAAAAAAAAAAAAAAAGTGATGTCCCCAAATGAGGTTTGTACCAGATTTAAGCCATGGGCAGTGAGAGACTAGGAGCTTTAACTCATAGGAATTAGTAAAGAAAAATGTAGGAAATATAACAGAAAAATAGGAGAAGCCAGTTTCCTGATGTTTATTTCAGGATAGTGGACATATGGTTGCTATGACTCCTTCTTTGTATTTGTAATTAAAAATATCTTTAAGAAAATGGCAGTGTGAACACAGTTGTTTTTGTGTCTTTGCAGAAATGCCTTGCCTTGCAAAATACGATGATGGCTTGTGGTATAGAGCAAAAATTGTTTCCATTAAAGAATTTGATCCTTTAACTATCCTGGTACAATTTGTTGATTATGGATCAACGGAAAAACTGACAGTAAACAGGTTAAACTTTTGATTTAGCTGAGTCATTAGTTTTGTTTTTCAGATGTTTTCTTTTGTCGGTTTGTTGGTTGGCTTTTTGTGGTTCTTAACTGGGGAGATTTATTTCATCCTTTTAAAGAAAAATGCTGTTTATGTGTTAGGAATGTTTAACATCTAGGAGTTTGTGGTGTATTTAAAATACACATACAGTTAACCATTTTAGTGGTTTTAAAATATGTACCCAAATGCATTTGCATACCTTCCTTATCCCCAGTGGCAGCAGTGCTGTCCCCTCGCATTGTTCCCCAGCCCTAGTAATAATCTGTAATCTAGTGTCTGTTCCCCAGGACTTGACTCTCACATAGCATTTGCTTTCGTGACTGGCATATTTCACTTAGCGTGACGTTTGCAAGGTTCATCCCTGTTATAGTATGTTCCCTTCTTAAGGCAGAATGTCTGAACAACAGTCTGTTGTGTGTATGTACCACATTTGGTTTGTCCATTCGTCCATGAGAGGACTTGGACTTCCTTTTGACTAGTGTCAGTGGTCTGCCTATGAACTGGACTGTACTTTCTGCTCCCAGTTATTTTAGGTAAATGCCCAGAAATTGAATTGTTAGATTATACACTAATTGTTGTTCGCTTCTTGAGGACCTACCATACTCTTCTGTAGCATTATACCATTTTACTCTTCTGATTTCTGCCAGTAGTGCCAAGGATTCCAATTTCTCCATGCTTCTCAAGAAAACATTAATGTTTATGTTTGGGGGAGCTTTTTGGATTAATAGTAGTCATTCAAATGAGTACATGGTGATAGTTTACCGTGGTTTTTGTTTTATTTCTCCAATAAGTATCTCATGTATCTGTGGCATTTATCTCTCTTATGGAGAACTGCCTAGTTTTAGATGTTTTTTCTCCTATTTCATGGTAATCACTGTTGATTGTCTCTCTCAATACATTTCATTTAATTTGGGTGAAGTCCACTTTATCTGATTTTTATTTTGCCTGAGTTTTCTATCATAGACCAAAAAAAAATCACTATGGAATTCTGTCATGAAGCTTTCTCCAAATGTTTTAGGAGTGTTTAAGCAGTAAGGGAATTTTAATTGAAACATTCTGAACACTAAACATTTCTTTTGTGACAGACTGCGTCAAATTCCACTCCATCTTATGCAGTATCCAGCCCGAGCCATAAAGGTTCTCCTGGCTGGGTTCAAACCTCCCTTGAAGGATTCAGGAAAGACAAGAATACCATACTGTCCCAAGTGGAGCATGGAAGCCCTGTGGGCGATGATAGACTGCCTTCAGGGGAAACAGCTCTACGCTTCCTCCATGGTAAGCAGGTGGACGTTAGCCAGAATGCCATTACCCCTGTTAGCTTTGTAAAGTGTTTACTCTATGCCATTCTAAATGCAAAAATACAGTAGGATTAACTTCAAGACTTATAAAATGGTGTAGTTTGTAATGATGCATCACTGATGTAATGAGTAAGAGAAAGGATCAAGATATGAGCATCCTATCATCAAACGCCTTATAAGCTAATAGAGAACGCACACACATGACTGGGGAACCAACACAAGTAGAGTGAAGTCAGTACGTGGCCCAGGTGGCTTGGGAGGGAGCGATGACAGCATCAGGCGAGGGTGATCACCTGAGTGAGCAAGCCAGCCAGCTGCGTCAACAAGAGGGAAAGCTTGATGTACATTGGTACTAAGTTTTAATTAATAGAATTGAACTTGAATGTATCAGAAGGTCAGATGGGACGGTCCAGATGGTGTTTGATGCAGCTTTCTCCCCTGAGGTTCAGTGTGTCCCACAGCAGCAGCCCACGGGTGGACTTGGCCTGGACGCTATCTTCTGTCCAAGCATCATGCTTTGGTTTTGGTTTTATATTCTATTTTTATTTATTTAAAATGTAAAGTCAGAGATCATCCAGCTGATGGTTCATTCCACAAAACAGAGTACGGGCCAAGCTGATGTCAGAAGCGTGACAGTCCACGTCTCCTGTACTCAAGTACTCGAACCGTTATCACCACCTTCCAGGGTGCATGTTACCGGGAACTGCTGTTACAAAGCAGGACTCGAACCTAGGCATTGAGGTGTTAGGAGGTGTACATCCAGTGTCTTCAAGCACTGCGTCAGACACCAGCCCCCATGCATCATGTTTTAACAATGGAAATGTTATACAAAAAAACTGTAGCTGACTGATGGAACCATGACTCCTTGTGAAGGACTATACCATTGTAGCAGCATGGGAAAATCAGTCGAGGGGTTGGATTGGGGGTGGGAAGAAAGTCCCAGTCTCTACAAAATTGTACCATAAAATTCAAAATTTCAGAAACGGTTGTTGATTTAACAGACTTCTTATTGAATATCATAAAATCAGCGATTCCTGGATCCCCTGGGCAGTTGGCTGGAGGGATGGAGAAAGGGCTGTTCTCTTCCAGTCACCCTGTTACTCAATGCCCATGCTTGGCCCAGCCTGCTTCCCTCCTTTGCCATACCTGCCTAGACTTGTGATCCGGGCTCTGGGTCTCCTATGTCGGTGCAGAGGCCCGAGGACTTGGACTCTGTTCCATTGCTTTCCCTGGCACACCTGTGGGGAACTGGATTAAAGGCAGAGCAGCCAGGACTCAAGCTCGTGCTCCTGAGGGATGCCGGTGTCACTTGCAGAGGCTTAACCAACACTGACCTCTGAAAAATGTTTTTGAAATCCATATACTCTGCTGTGTGTAGTGGTAAGATTAGCTCATGTAGGAATTCTCCAGAAACCAGAGAAAATATAGACAGGCACAGGACAAGCAAGGATTCCTTTATAGCTACTTTTCACCTCTACGAATAACAAAACTTGTTTGGGGGCCTGGTGCAATAAACTAGCAGCTGAAGTCCTCGCCTTGAATGCACCAGGATCCCATATGGGCACCGGTTCTAATCCCAGCAGCCCTGCTTCCCATCCAGCTCCCTGCTTGTGGCCTGGGAAAGCAGTGGAGAACAGCCCAAAGCCCTGAGACCCTACACCCATGTGGGAGACCCAGAGGCAACTCCAGGCTCCTGGCTTTGGATCAGCGCAGCTCCGGCTATTGCGGATGCTTGGGGAGTGAACCATTGGACAGAAGAGCTTCCTCTATGTCACTCCTCTCCTCTGTATATCTAACTTTACAATAAAAAAGTAAATAAATATTAATGAAAAAGCTTGGTTGGTTTATGCATGAAAAGCATACTGCCTCCTGTGTGGAATGTGGTGACGCTGTGGAAGTCCTGTGGGATTTCAGTTATTACAGGGAAGAAGGAAACAACTGCAGACATGTTCTGGAAGTAGTGTAAATTACAGATAAGCACAGGGAGCAACTTCCCCGCTGTGGGAGTGGCCAGACAGAGGAAGGGGGGGAAGGCAGCAGTGACTGGATTTTCTTGACAATTCTGTCTTAATTTTAGGCTCAGACACCAGAACAAATAGTGACTTTATACGACGACGAGCAGTATCCAGTTCACATGTCGTTAGTAGAGATGGGGCTCGCAGACAAAGATGACTAATGTAAGTACGGCCCTCCCTCCCTCCCAAGAGCTGTGAAACGGCCCGGCAGGGCACCCCTGGGTCCCTTGGATTCCTCAGAGGGCTCACCACAGGCCTCGCTCACCTGTTGAGCCTTAAGTATCCAATGGGGCATCTCAGAAATGTTTGGGGTGCTGTAATGACGGCCACAGCACCACACAGGTGTGGCACTGGAATCAATGAGCACACGGAACGTGATGTGCAGCCAGCACCGGGGCCAGCGGCTGACCCTCTCCCGCCCAGGCAGGCTCTGATTGCACAGCGGCTGACCCTGTCCCGCCCCAGGCAGGCTCTGATTGCACATTTTGTCTTGCAGGCGTGTGTGCAGAGCACCTCCAGCACCCAGAAGGATATTTCTGTTACATTTGGACTATTTTCTTGAATTGTTCTGCAGTTGGCCATCTTCCACACTCCTGTCCCATTCTTTGTTCGGCTGTTACAGGTTGTATGAGAAACGCAGGAAAAAAATAAATACTTGCTTTCAAACATTGTCCTGTTTTACAATCTGTCCTGTTTTATAATCTCAAAGTGAAATATTTTAGGCACATAAGAACTTTGAGCTAAGAAATGAAATGTTGCCAACCTAGATGAAGGCCCCGAAGCCCCCGCTCCTTGAGGAATCCATCCATAAACGCGATCCCTGCTTTATATTTTTGCATTTTATTGGAAAGGCAGATTGATAAGGGAGAAGGGCAGGATCTTGCATTTGCTGGTCTCTCCCCAGCAGGGCTAGGGCCGGCCAAGCCAGGACCTCTGTGAGGTGCTGCTTCCCAGGGGCAGCTGGAGAGCGCCAGAGTGGAAGCGGAGCAGCCAGGACTCTAGGGCTCTTTGTTTTCAGAAAAAAATGACCAATTCTCCCTCAGTCCAGGTCCCTCTGTCATGAGCTGCTGTGGCAGCACCTTTATTGGGCAGAATACAGTAAGTGGGGGGCACTGTCGCACAACAAGCAAAGTCAGGACTTGGGGCGCCTACCTTCATCATCTCCTCCCCCAGCCTCCTGCTCACGCGTACTGCGGGAGGGAAGATGGAGGCTCAAGCGCTCCTGTTGCCCAAGAGGGAGGCTTGGAGTTCTTGGCTTCAGGCTTTGGTCTGGCCCAGGATCAGCAATTGTGGGTGCATGGGGAGAACCCAGTGGATGGAAGATCTGTCACTCTTTCAAGCATTTTGTTTCAAGATTGATTTTTATTTAAAAGGCAGATTTACAGAGAGGAGAGGAGGTGTTCCATCCGCTGGTTGACTGCCCAAATGGCCACCAATAGACAGAGCTAGCCAATCCAAAGCCAGCAGCCAGGAACTTCTCCCAGGTCTCTCACATGGGCACAGGGTCCCAAGGCTTTGGGCTGCCCTCTGCTGCATCCCCAGGCCTCAGGGAGCAGCCAGGACATGAACTGGCAGCCATATCTGATACACCACAAGGCAGGGGATTAACGTGCTGTGCCACTGTAGCAGCCCCCAAATATATTTTTTGATATAAACGCTGGTATAAAAAGGTATCTCATTGCCATTAATATGCATTTGCCAGCCTACTTCTTGTTGATTGTTTTGGTCCATGTTTCTGTCGAGTTGTTCGCAGTTACCTACTGACTCAGGATTCCTTTAATGTAGAGGCAGTAAGACTCAGGTGCGAATGCTCCTAGGCCGTGGCTTGTCTTTCACCCTTTTTTAGTATCTTCGGACAAACTTGGACTCCTCAACCTTTTCCTTGTACATCTGTGCTTTCCCTTCTTACTTAAAGCACTTCCGTAACTGTTCCGCCATCTGGACTGGTTATGTGGTCATCTTTAACTCACCGTCCACACTTGGAGTCCTGCTGCTCCGTGTGACAGCAAGAGGTCTGCAGGGACAGGTGACTCCTATTCCTTCCAGAACACCTTGCACGGACAGCCACGAGGCAGCTGTGGCCCTGACTGGCCAGTTAAGAGTTCCCCTGCTCCTGGGGTGACACTGGCAGCCCCCCTGGTGTGCTCCTTGCAACCTGCCCTCCTGTTTCAGTGAGCCGCTGTGGACGCTTACCGAACACGGTGGCATTTTGCCTGCAGGGATGACAGTGTGTGTGCACGCCAAGGCTCTATGGCTGCTGTGCATGTGGGCATGGAGGTGAGCTACGTGTGGGCCTTTACGTCCTTGTCCAACCCATAAAATAACCCAACTTAAAAAGCTTTCGTAAATCGTAATAAGGCTTCCTCTGACAGAAAGGTGCACCAGAAAACTCCCCTTATCAATTTCAAAGAGCGTGCAAATGAAGAAGCTAAACTTTTATTTTAGAATTCGGTCTTCTATTTATACACACAAACACACACACTCACACACCCCCCACACACAGGCATGTTCTATATAAATTAATCCACACAGTACATTTTTAAACAAAATCAGTGTTACTTCATGATCTGTCACCGTTCTGTGTCCATGAGAATGTTGCCATCCTTGTCCTTAACGCGGATGCGACCAGAAGCATACTTCGTCTCCTGCCGCCCGTCTGTATACACGGTTTTAACGGTGCCGTCCGGATACTCCCGTCTCTTGAACTGGGCAGTGTGTAGTTCTCTCTGGCCATTACTAAACTGGATGATTTTGTTGCCATCACTGTGAAATTTAAAGGATTATCTCCTTTAAAATACTGTTTTCTTAAAAATACTGTTTCTTTAAAATAACTGTAGTACGCCTGCCCTTAACTAGCACTGGATGGGTAAATGGAGCTGTCCTTACATTTACCTCTTGTTTTCGAAGACAAATTCAAATGTAAAAGTGAAATAACTTGGAAATATCTGAATTCTCTCCAACTGAAGCTCACACAGTCTGTCCTCGGACTGTAACTCCAACTGGCTGAGCATGCGCAGACTCTCAGGCCGCTCGCCTGACCACAGCTGTCCTAACTCGAAAGGCAGATGACACTGACAGAGAAAATGACAGACAAAAAGATCTTCCAACCTCTGGTTCACCCCCCCGATGGTTGGCCGTGGTCACGGCTAAGTCAATCTGAAGCCAGGAACCAGGAGCTTCTTCCTGGGCTCCCACACGGGTGCAGGGTCCCAAGGCTTTCGGCCATCTTTGCTTTCCCAGGCCACAGGCAGGGAGCTGGATGGGAAGTGGAGCTGCCGGGATTCCGCACATATGGGATTCCGGCAAATTCAAGGCGAAGACTTGAGCCACTAGGCTACTGTGTTGACCCCTAAAAAATGGCTTGAAAAGAAGCTCCTTATCATGGACTGAAGAACTCTAACACTCAGGAAAATGAAAAGGGTGGTTGATTTTTAAGAAACTGGGTCAAGAGCAGAGTAAAGCACTTGCTGGCTGGGTACAGAGGTCCAAAAATTCAAAATAAGGGAGAGATGTGGTCTAATTTAACCCCTGCCACCTCTGTTGCTCATCCTTAAGAACCAGCAGGGTGGGTCTCTCTCTCTCTCTCTCTCTCTCTCTCTCTCTCTCTCTCTCCTTCAACTCTCCCTTTCAAATAAATAAATCCATCTTTGGAGGCCAGCACTGTGGCTTAGCAAACTAACCCTCTGCTTGAGCAAGTCCTAGCTGCTCCACTTCCAATCCAGCTCCCTACTTACAGCCTAGCAAAGCAGCAGAGGACGGATGGCTCAAATCCTTGGTCCCCTGCACCCAAGTGGAAGACCTGAAAGAAGCTCCTGGCTTCGGATCAGCTCAGTTCTGACCACTGCAACCATCTGGGGAGTGAACCAGCGGGCGCAAAATCCCTCTGTGTCTCCTCCTCTCTCTAAATCTGCCACTCAAAAAGAAATCTATTATAAATAAATAGATGCCGCTTTAGAAAACAAGAAGCCTCAAGTGGCAGTCCGCCTTCTTTCTGTCTTAACTGTTTCCAAATTTCAAACATCTGGAAAGGAACACCGGCTCCGTCCCCGGCTGCTGCGTGGGCGCCTCCAAGGTCAGTCTGCGGGAAACAGAACTAAGAGACGGGGGTGTTCCATAAACTTTTGGAAGTCCTTCGAAATCTGCAAATCTAACTGGTTCTAAACTCCAAAATGCCGATAGTTTCACTTCAAAGGTGTTTGTTCACCTCAAAACCCACTGAAATTTTGACCGGGAAGAATATGAATGCTTTCATTTAAAAAAAAAAAATCCAATTAGTCATAAAGCTTGCCCCATGAAAACTGGAAAAATTCTAGAAACAAACTGAATCGGGGTTATACCATTGAATCCTGACGACTGTACCATCGGGGAAAATGCTTTCTTCTTGTCCATCAGCAAATAAGTTTTTAACCGTCTGGTCAGGAAATGTGATTTCCTTCCTTCCATCTGGGAAATGTTTTTCTGTTAAAAAAAAAAAAAAAGTGACTCTAATTATTTTTTAGGGAAGGAAAAAAAAACGGAGTAAGTGGGGAGCGGGCGCCGAGCAGGTGCGCACCTATCTGTCCGCTGGAGAAGTGCAGGACCTGCAGTCCCTCCGGGTACGTGGTGTGAGTGGTCCGGGCAGAGGCGTAGTAGTACACCTGCAAGGCACAGAGTCAGCCCCTTCCCCACGGCGGCCGCCGGCCCGGGCCCCGGGGCCACTCACCACTCTCTCATCCGGCATGACCTGCTTCACGTCCCCGTTGCAGAAGGTGACGGTGACAGTCCTGTCGGCACTGACTTCCTTCCGGGTTCCATTGGGGAACAGGGTAACACGGCACCCGTTCTTATAAACCTTTTCCACCTAAAGACACAAGATGCAGAATAGGTTCCGTGTCCTGAAGCCATCCAAGCAGGGCGTGTTCCCATTTTACTTTCACGTGTTTATAAGACAAAGGGGAACAGTCTGAAATCTCAGCAAGGGGTTGCAAACCCCATTTTCTTTCTCTTTCCTTTTCCATTTGTTAGGTGTGGGGGAGTCTAACGGCTTCCTCCAGGCTGCTGCTGTCTCAGTGCTCCAAGTTAGCAGTGATCTTTGCCCCAGAATTTCAACGAAAAGGGATCCGTTTAGGATATTTGAAAGAATTTTCTTTCCATAAACCTAAGGAAAAGTCCCTCAACACCTGCCAACTACATCCTGTCTCTTTTTCTTCCCTCTAGCAACAACAGCCAAGCAAGTATGCCCCTTCACCACCTGCCCCAAGGAAGGGGAATAAACTCGCAGGCCAGAAAGAAACGCAGGGACTGGCCAGGAGGGACACAGGACCGGCCGCCGTGCTCAGGATGACAGAGGCTTCTTGCCAGAGCTCAGCGGAAGCACGCTGTGCTTGCTGTGAGCGCTCAGGGCCTGCATTCCCCAGCCACCGTCTGCAGTCCCGCAGACCCACGACTCCGCTGAGCTTCCTGACCTTCCCGTCAGGATGACTGATGGCTGTCTCGATTTCTTCGTCGTCGTCGTCCTTGTTTTCCTTATCGTCAGACTCTGGGAAGTCCGCTGGCTCCACCTGCTCCCTGGGAGAGGCCCTCTGTAAGCAAACACACAAGGGGCCGTCAAGCCACGGTGCAACGGGACAGAGTTCGTACAGGCGCCGGCGTCACACATAAAATGTTTACGGTGGTAAGTAAGAAGCCTCCATTACACAGGTTTAATGGCCTGAGCTCTTCAGTCTGAGTCATCCATGTTTGCAAATAGAAAAACAGAAACAGATTTACTTGTCTCTTATCTGAACTGCTTAATTCACGAAGAGGTACATCCTTGGATTCACGAGATGGATTTCCTGTAAGATTAAAATTGTCAGAGTTGGTTGCAGTCTTTCATTGGGAACGTTCAGGTTACTGCTATAGCCAAACACGCCCTTAGTTCGTACCCGCCTTGCGTGGCCTGCTGTCTATGAGGAAGTCTTGACCATTGCTCTGAGCTAACCTGCATACATTCTGATCTGCTCAGGCTGGGGGCTGTGACAGACTCTGCCTAACCTCAGAGAGCTGGGAGTGTGCAGGAGGAGGCAGACTGGGCCAGCCACGCAGCTGCCAGGGTGTCCTACAGACGGCACTGCAAAGGGTGTGGCACAGGGCAGCTGAAAACACGGTGCCCTCACCGACACCCGGCCCAATGCCCCAGCGGCTGCAGGCTCCCCTGTAGGCCGGAGCAGCACACCAGCTCCGTGCAGCCTAAGCGAGACATGACACAACAGGCACATGCTTACTACAATGAACTCAATCTCGTGTGCTTCCTGCATCCCCAGTGGGTCATGTGGAAAACACTCCCAACTTCCAACGGTGCTGATGGAGCCCCAGCATCTGCGCGCGTGTTGGAAGTATAGAGATGCTGAGTTCACAGCCTGGCCTGGGGAAGCGCAGACAAGCCGGGCCCTCAGGCCGTGACACCTGCTGGGTGGCCCAGGGGCAGCAGGGACACCAAGGCAGACACAGTGCTGCCCACACTACTCAGCATCCCCAGGGGATGGTCCCAAGCGCCAAGTGTCAGCAGCTTCCCAGGGCGCAGCACAAGTTAGGAGGAATTCGGGAAATATCGCCTTCGGAAGGACCAGCACAGGGACTGCGGGGACTGCAGGCGAAAAGGAAGCAGCCAACAGGAACCCGGGTTCTTGAGCCCGTGGGCAGAGCATGAAAGGATTCTGTGACTAAGGCGCTCTGTGGACAGCACAGGAGCCCACCTGCCTCCGCCTCAGTGCTAAGCCCAGCAGAGGAGAGAGTAACACTCCCACGGGGCAGGGAGACAACCAAGGCAGTCACGGACAGAACTCAAACTCTCTACCAAGTTTCGGGCTGGGGATGAGCTGACAGGTAAGTCAGCCAGCAGGCTGTCCGCTCCCCGGGCAGAGTGTGGGCTGACCCCTGGGGGACGCACACTACCTGCAGTGCGGCAGACACACACCTGGAACAAACCAGCTGGGTACTTAGAGCCCGTGTTGTGGTACAGTGGGTAAAGCCACTATCTGCAAGTTGGGGATCCCACAGGGTCATTGGTTCGAGTCCCAGCTGCTCCACTTCCAACCCAGCTTCCTGCTAACACGCCTAGGAAAACAGCGGACGATGGGCCAAGTGCTTGCACCCTACAACCACAGGGGAGACACCAGGCCCTCTTTATTTAAGATGTATTTATTTATTCACTTGAAAGGCAGAGTTACAGAGGGAGAGTTAGAGATCTTCCACCTGCTATTTCACTTCTCCCAATGGTCACAATGACCAGAGAAGGGCCAGTCTGAGGTCAGGAGCCAGGGTCTCACTGGGTCTCTGACACAGTGCAGGGGGTCAGACACTTGGGCATCTTCCACTGTTTGTTCAGGTCCATTAGCAAGAAGCTAGGTCAGAAATGGAGCACCATGGGCCTAGTGCAGTAGCCTAATGGCCGAAGTCCTCGCCTTGCATGTGCCGGGATCCCATAGGGGTGCTAGTTCGTGTCCTGACTGTTCCACTTCCCATCCAGCTCCCTGCCTGTGGCCTGGGAAAGCAGTTGAGGACGGCCCAAAGCCTTGGGACCCTGCACCCGTGTGGGAGGCCCTGAAGAAGCTCCTGGCTCCAGACTTTAGGTTGGCTTATCTCTGGCCATTGCAGTCACTTGGGGAGTGAACCAGCAGATGGCAGATCTTCCTCTCTGTAAATGATCTTCCAATAAAAATAAAGTAAATCTTAAACAAAAAAAAAAAAAAAAAAAAGAGCAGCCAGGACTCAACACATGATGATGATACCACAGCAGCAGCTTTACCCACTACGCCACAGCACCAGCCCCCAACCATCTAGTTGTTCACTTTAGTGGTGGTCACCCGACTGCTGGGCTTGGTAATCGTATATACATTTTTAAAATTTCATGAAACAATCTTAAAAATTTCTAAGTAGATTAAAAACATTTGTGAAAACAAAATTTCCTGGAAGAAAACAATGAGATTAGAGGGAATCTCTCCATGTCATAAGAAAAAAAAAAAAACCTCACTTTCAAAAAATCAATACATTCCATGCCAGAAAAGGAAAACCAAGAATGGGCACTTGACAAAGCAGTGCCCCCACTGTGGGGGACCCCCACAGCCCGTCCCAGGGTCCCGGGGAGCAGCAGCGGACCCTGGCGCCCAAGGGCTGCTCGCCTGGGAGGGGCAGGGGTAGGCAGCCACCCACCTGGGACAGCGCCCAGAGCTTCAGGCCTGGGGGTTCAAGCCAGCCCAGGCTGCTGCTGGCATTTCAGGAGCGAACCAGCAGATGGGGGGCTGTCTAAGTCTCTTTGCCTCTCGAATGAAACATAAATTTCATTAGAAAAAAAAAAATACTATACTGAACCACGATTGCACATCTAATTCACAATATATTAATATAACCAAAAGGTGCAAGCAGTGTTGTGCAGATGGCGAAGAACCATCGCCCGCACCCGCGGAGGCAAGGGGCGGCCCGGGGCACACGGACGGGCGGGCCGGCCGGCGTCAGCCCAAGAGGCGCCCCTGGCAGGACAACGGCCCGCACCTGCTCTCACCGCCAGCAGGCATCGCACACTGTGCCACACGCAGGGCCAGGAACACGAACCTGGCAGAGTTTTCATGATTTCACGTGGGACAGCGATGACGAGAACAGCACAGGACACCCGGCATGAAGCGATGCCGCATGAATTTACATGGGGAAAAAACAACGCACCCTCCGCAGGCCACTGGCGGGCTAGGAGGAGGCAACTTTTTTTTTCAAAAAGATTTTTTATTGGAAAGCCAGATACATATATAGAGGGAACAGAGACAGACAGACAATCCATCCAGTGGTTCACTCCCCAAGTGGCCACAGTGTCTGGAGCTGAGCCAATCTGAAGCCAGGAACCCAGAGTCTCTTTCGGGTCTCCCACTTGGGTTCAGGATCTCAAGGCTTTGGGCCATCTTCAACTGCTTTCCCAGGCCACAAGTACGGAGCTGGATGGGAAGCTGGGGCACCAGGACATGAACCAGTACCCAAATGGGATCCCAGTGCATGTAAGGTAAGGACTTGACCCACTTGGCTAGTGTGCCAGGCCCACAAGATTTCTTAAATTAGGCGTAAATTTGCTATTCTTCATAATCTGAAAGGATTTATAACAAAAGATCATACAGCATCTTACCTTGTGTCGGCAAGTAGATTTTCTTGGGTTTGTCTACGTGGGTTCCAGGAGGAATATGACTCTTTTGAAATCGAACAGATGAGTTCTAAAGTATAAGAGAGAATTTTAGGAGAATCAAGATGGCGGGATAGGGTAAGGTCACGTTTAAACGGATGGAGAAACATTTAACCAGGATGGAGCAGAGAGAACACATTCCAGGAAACTGGAGAGGACAGAACGACAGCAGAGGGGTACCTGGAGACTGACAGGCACAGGAAAGCAGCAAGCACAGCGGTGTGTTGCAGTGACTGATACTCCAGCACAGCGATCTGAACTCCACCAGCAACCAGGTGGGAAGGGACTTTCACTGAGAGAATGGGAGGGGAACCCAGACAAAGAACTGTCCGTCCTGCTGGTCTCTTTGATTTGACCAGGAGCAGAGACATAACAGCAGATCCCAGACAGACAGTGCGAGAACAGTGGATTTCACAGCCCAGTCAGCCCCTTAGAGCTGAATTAGGCGCCATTTTGCATTAGGAGGAAAGGGCAAGGGAAGGGACTGAGCATACGCTGAGCTAGAGGTGAGCTCATTTCTGACTCAGTGAACTGCAGCAATGTGGCATTCTACAGGTTCCACCCGGGGCAGGTCTCAGACCTGATGGCCAGCAGATCAAGAACTCTAGCAGTGGTACATCAGGCATCATTTGGTACACTGTGGCAATAGCTTTAGGACTGCAGGGGACAACAGTGAACTGCACATGTGCTGAGCTCATGAGAACTCACTGAGGTCCACGGATTGCACTGGTCCCACAGGAAAATAATACCAACTGTGACATTGTACTGTTCAAAATAGGTCCATGTGGCACCCAGACCTAACGTCCAACAGGTTCCAACAAGATCAGCGCCACCAACAACCTAACTAGATAGGACACCTGGTGTCTCCCAAATCCTGGGACCTGATCCAACCGGAAGTGGGAGAAAGGTTGTACAGACAACTGTGCAGCCTCTGCACTATATCACAGGCAGTGGAGAGTGGTGAGCCAAGAGCTGTGGCTGTGGAGACCACGGTGGAAATCTGACATAAGAACCCAGACCTGGAACTCGCTGGAAGGAGTGGCACAATTAGCTGCAAAGCAAAGAGTTGTGTACCAACTGCAATAAGTAAAATCAAACTGTAGACCTGTGGGTGACACAGCTTAGAAACCTGCCCCAAGGAGAAGACTCTGCTAACCAGAAGTACAATGACCAAGAAGAAAAGAAGAGACAAAGACACAATAAATATTACCGGAAACTCCCCTGCAAAGGAGCAAAACCCTATGCCCACCCCAGGGTTAACTGAGGAAGACATCGAGAAAATGGGGGATACAGAATTCAGAAAACTCATTTTAAAACTCATTTTAAAGCTTCTGATCAACAATGAGAAGCACATACAAGAGTTCAAAAAAGTGAAGGAATATTTTACCCAAGTAATAGCAGCAAAAAAGCAAATCAAGGCTGATATATCAGAAATTAAGAACACAGTAGAGCAAATTATAAGTACACTGGAGAGTTTCCAAAATAGAAAGAAGCAAACAGAAGAAAAAATCTCAGAATTGGAAGATATTTCTGTCATCAGGGAGACGCAAACAAAAAGATGGAAGCAGAGCTGGATCAGGCCAAAAAAAGTATCCAGGAATTGAAAGACACTATTAAGAGGCCTAATATAAGAGTTATGGGAGTCTCGGAGGGAGCAGAAAGAAAAACTGGTTTTACAAATATTTAATGAAAAAATAAAGGAAAATTTCCCTAATCTAGAGAAAGAATTGGGAAACAAGACCCAGGAGGGACACAGAACTCCCAACAGGGTTGATCAAAAGCATTCCTCACCAAGACACATGATCATCAAGCTCTTTTCAATTGAACATTAGGAAAAGATCCTGAAATGTGCATGTGAAAAAAATCAATTGACATATAAAGGAATGCCAATTAAGCTCACAGGAGATCTCTCACAGGAAACTCTACAGGCAAGAAGAGAATGGAGTGACATATTCCAGATTCTAATAGAAAAAAATTGTCACCTAGGATAACAGATCCCACAAAGCTTGCTTTTGTCTTTGAAAATGAAATAGAATTCTTCCAGAGTAAAGAAAAATCAAAAGAATTTGCCTCTTCTAAACCTGCCCTACAAATGATACTTCAAGATGTTCTCTTGACAGAGAAGAGGAATAGCAACCACCAAAACCAAAGCCAAATGTGAAGAACATCCCAGTAAAATGTCAACAGAAGACTAAAGCAATGAACAACCCATTCCTAAAATGACAGGACCAAAGTACCACCCATACATATTAAACTCTGAATGTAAATGGCTTAAGCTCAATCAAACGTCATAGGTTAGTAGACTGGATTAAAACAAAACTCATCTATTTGTTATCTAGAAGAGACACATGTCACTAACAAAGATCAGCCGAAACTATATCACATATCTCTTTAAAACACTTTCTTCTGATTAAATCATTGAATGGCTTGTAGATCATACAGTAGCATCATTTTCTTCAAGAAGGATTTTGATTTTCATTTCTTCAGCTACACATTAGTCATTTAGTAGCATGTTGTTTAACTTCATGGTGTTGTTAATTTCTTTTTTCTCCCAGATGTTGATTTTGTTTTGTGGCTTTTCATTTAAGGGAATGTATAGTAGCTGTGTAATGGAGACTGTCATATCTAGTAACATGTCATTTAACTTCATGGCATTGTAAATTTCTATTTTTCTTTCTATTGTTGATTTTGTATCATGACTTTTCATTTAAGGGAATGTACAGTAATTGTGTAATGGAAACTAACATATCCAAATGTGAGGAAACAATGTAGTATGCTTTTCCACTTCCAGATAAAGATGGACGTAAGATGAAACTGTTTACTGTATCCAGACAACAGGATTCTGGACTCTCTGCCATTGTCCATGCCCACAATGATGGACATATGACTGAGTATGAAGAACTATATGTTAGTAATGATATAGAGCAACTGTGGGGCGTGGGGGAATTGGGACAGGGATAAGGGAAATGCCAGGGGTCTATGAAACTGCATCATAAAATAATAATAATAAAAATCTAAAAAAATAAAATAAAGAATTTTGAATATAAAATAAGCAACAGTCTTCCTTATATCAGAACACTAAGTGCAACGAGCAGAACTGAGTCAGTGATGCAGATGCTGCAAGGCTGTTCATTCCTGCTGCAGCATCACCACAGGGACGCTGGGACGGCCTGGCAAGGAGCATGTCTGTGGGCACGCGTGTGCGCACACACACAGAGGCACACACAGACACAGGCACACGCTGAGACGGCCTGGCAAAGAGCATGTCTGTGGGCACACATGCACACACACACACAAAATGAGATGACCTGGCAAAGAAGCATGCCTGTGGGCATGCGTGCACACACAGAGGCACACACAGACACAGGCACATGCTGAGACGGCCTGGCAAAGAGCATGCCTGTGGGCACGCGTGTGCGCACACACACAGACACACACACACACACAGGCACACAATGAGATGACCTGGCAAAGAAACATGTATGTGGGCACACGTGTGCACACAGGCTACACACACACACACACACACACACACACGATGAGACGACATGGCAAAGAAGCATGTCTGTGGGCACGCGCGCGCACGCACACACACACACACACACACACACACACACACTCTCTCTCCTTTAGAGGTCTTCATAAGCCTCAGGGAAAATAAACGTTACAACAAACGACATGGGAATTCCAAATTTTTGCACCCAAATATCATTTCACTCTAATGTCCCCAAAACTTCCTGAAGTCCCCGTGTACGTTCAGTTCGGCATGCGAGGACAAAGTGCATCATCACACACACCGCAACCTAGCCAATCTCCTCGGATTGTTCAGGATCAGCCAGAGGGAAGAGAGGCGTGGGTCCTGACGTTCCAGTGGTGAGGGGTGCACTGCGCGGCACACAGCCCCCCGGAAGGAGGCTCAGGCGCTTCCAGCTCGACCGGGATGGCCAGCTCATGCCGACGGACACCGCTGCCAGCCACGTCACACAGCCGGCCTCGGCTCCACACACAAACCCCCCGGAATGGTCAGGAATAGATCCAGCATAAAACTGACCGATGGCTGTGAATTTTTTTTTAACTTTGAAGTATTCTTCTTGAAAAGCTCCAGAATGTGACACACCCTACAATTCACTGGATCTTTTCAAGAACATCAGCGCCATGAGAGAATAGAAAAGGGGCCACGGCCGTAGCACAGCTGACTAAGCCACCCTTTTACACCAGCATTCCAGATCAAGTGCTGCCTGCGCTGCCCTCCATCCAGCTCCAGGATCGCGGGCCTGGGAGGGCAGCCAAGAGAAAAGCCTGAGGCCTCAGAACCTCTCCGACCCACAGGGAAGAGGAGACGCATCTCACTCTCCTGGCTTCAGATCGGCCCGTCCCCAAACGCTGCAGCCATTTGGGGAGTGAACCAATCAATCGACCTCTCTCTCCCTTTCTGCCACTCCACTTAAAAAAAAAAGATTGATTTTTATTAGAAAAGCAGATTTACAAAGAGAAGAGGATACAGAAACATCTTCCACCCGCTGGTTCACTCCCTAAGTAGCCACAATGGTCAGAGCTAAGCTGATCCAAATCCAGGAGCCAGGAGCCTCTTTCAGGTCTCCCACGCGGGTGCAGGGTCCCGAGGCTTTGGGCCGTCCTTAACTGCTTTCCCAGGCCACAAGCAGGGAACTGGATGGGAAGCAGGGCAGCTAGGATTAGAACTGGTGCCCATATGGGATCCTGGCGCTTCCATGGTGAAGAGTTGGCCATTCAATCACCGTGTCACGCACTCAGTTACTTTAAAAAAAAAAAAGTATTCAGGGAGAAGTGCCAAGATTTGCACCATGACCTCCAAACGCTTCAGAAAACCCTACAAAATAAGGCACACATTCACAGCATTTAAGTCAGCTGGGGGCTCAGGTGCTCACCGTGTTGATCTGTCATCTGTTCTCATCTGAAATCTGAGGGTGGGGAGGTAAGAAGTGGGGAGCAACTGTTTAGCTTAGTGGTTAAGACACCAACATCCAAATCAGGGTACCCAAGTTCAATTCCCAGCTCTGCCCCCAAGTCGGATTGCTGCACGCTGATGCTCAGACGCAGCAGTGAGGGCTCAGGCTGCCGAGTCACCAACACCCACGCGGGAGTCCTACGAGTTCCTGGCTCCCGGCTTTGGCCCACCAGGCCGGCCCAGGTTGGGCCTCCGGGGAGTGAAGCAGCAGATGAGCCTCCCAAACACGAAGATGTGAGATAAGATGGGACAAGGGAGTACCACGCTCTGACTGCCGTATCCAATCCTTCCAGTTCATTCCCTGCAAAACCCAACACCCAGACAACGCCCGGGTCACCAGGTCCTGGGCTGAACCAACCCACGCATGTCTGCCATAGCTCCCAGACCCGCAGCTTCTGCCCGACTCAGGCTCTACAAACCGCGCCCCTCCTACGTGGGTGACCACATCTCAGCTGAAATCTATCTCCCACCCTACAACCTAAAAGCTAACCGGAACAAACATGAATGTGGACAGTTCTCTGGGTGCAGGCTCTCTACCCCAGGGAACTCCGTGCGGCCCAGGCTCGCCCTCCGCCCTCCATCGGCACACATTCTTTGCTCCTTCCGACTCCCACAGGCCTCCTTCTCCATGCTCACTAGCTGAGCGGTGTGCCAGCCTTCTGAGGACGACAGATCCCTGGGTCCAGGCTGAGGGCCGACGGTGGGGTGCTGGTCAGTCGCCTTCCTTCCCAGGCCCACCTGCTCACTGCGCCAGGACTTCGCTCCAGCCATCACCCTACTGCCTCATTTTCCCCTCCACTTAATTCTGCGCGTGCACACACACACACACACACACACACACACACACACACTCACCTTCTCCTCTTCAAAAACAACACACATGCTTACTGCAGAACTGCTCCCTGAAGTATTTCCGGGCTCAGTTGTCGGTCCCCCCGCTGACATCCCAACAGCCCCCGCACCCCTCCTGACTCCACATCTTCACATGGCATCCAGTGGGCATTTCAAAGGAGGCCTGCCCACACTTGGGCTCCCAGACCCACATTCTCAGAGCATACAGGTGCTACATGCATGTTCTCTTCCCGTGGTCTCTCTTGATCATCGAGGCCAAAATGCAAAACCAAACCAAACTGGGATTGGCGAAGACTCCTTTCTTGCTGTCAAACCCTTGCCCAGTCGGAACCAGATCCAGACAGCTGTTCAATCCTTGTAATACCACTCGGATGGGGCAGCTGCCAGGGTCTTAATTCCTGCAACAGACTCTGTGTTGCCAACTCTTCCCAGGTCCCTCCACCTGTTCTCAAGTCAGCGGCAGACACAGCAAGTTCGCTGAACTTCAAGGTCAGGCCAAAGCCTTCCAGGGGCTCCCAAGTCAGCAGGCGAAGGCCGGTGGCTCACAGCACTCATGAAGGCTGAACAAACTGCTGGCTGCAATCCCCTCTGACTCTCCCCAGTGGCTTCCCGCCTTCCTACTTGCGTGCAGGCCACTGACTGCTCTGCCAGTCCTGTCAGCCAGCCCCGGCTGTGTCCTTGCGACATGCCACTGGCCAGTTCCTCCCATCTTGTTTTTCCTCCTAACTTCATCACATCTCACACCCCACACAGCGTATCGCTCTGTCCTGCTTGGGCCTTCCCCAGCTGCCCTTGCAGCTCGAATCTAAGTTCCCTGAGAGCAAGGAATGCCATCTGCCTGGTTCGCTGCTGCACCTCTGGGGCACAGACCAGTGTAAGGCAGGTGAAGACCGTCCCAGGATCAGAACAAACCTATCCAAGTGACTAGCAGACTCACCCAAGCTGCCCACACCGAGATCAACCGCCTATGAGGGAGAGCTCCTTTAGAAGACTTAGAATAACGAGGCTGAAAAGTCCTTGCAGAGAACAGAGCAGGGCTTTGCAACTGTGGTAGAACACGCATCGCATCAAAGGCCTCGTCTTTGCTGCTAAGAAGATGGCGCAGGGCATGACACACGTTCACACTGCGGGCAGCCCTTCCACCACCCGCCTCGGGACTGCCCAGTCCCCAGCACCCCAGCACCATGCCGCCCCACTGCCTGACCACCAGCACTTCACTCCGTCTTGCTGGATCGAAGTGTCACATGTTCGTCACACGTTCGTCACATGCCCACATCCCCCCAGAACTGACGGGGGCAGCGGTGCCTGCAAACCTACCACGGCCTCGGGCAGCTTTCCGGCAGTGGCACGCACGTGGGCCCTGGGGCTGCTCTCCAGGGCTTCCGCCTTCTTCCAGGCGTCCAGTCGGAATCTTTCCATCACCTTGATCTCCTCCCGCAGGTCCGTGTTCTCTCTGACTAACATTTCAATCTGGCTTCGCAGACGGCCGTGCGCACTCGACCATTTTGCTTCTTTCCTTTTCAAATCTTCCTGCAAATCTGCTACTTGCTGTTTCAAAGCCTCTCAAAAGAAACACACACACACAGACAGTGTTACAGGGTAAAACAGACATGTCAGCTGCAGCAGGACAGCTCTGCTCAGCAGACACAGAACTGGAAGATCCCAACTCGGGGCAGGAAGGAAATCAACGGACACCTTGGGGCCGTTCAGGGAGCGCCTGGGAGCACAGTGGCTCTCCCTGAGAGCTGCCAGCCAGGGGCCTGAAGCTCCCCACTGCCGAGGAGGCAGGAGGCTGGCCAGGGAGGCTCTCGGGCCAGAGGGGATGCGCCAGCAGCCAAGGCCAAGGCCCTCAGCTCCAAAGTGGTGACTCCACTTTCTGACAAAAGAGCATGCAGCAGAAGAGAAAGCCAAGCCCCAAGAACAGTCGCAGGCCTCTGGTCCCAGGCAGGAGCAGCCAGTGTCTGACGCCCTCAGCTCCTGGTGTGCAGCATAGCAGCCACAGACAGATCACAGCAGTGGGTGCAAGGGGAGCCGGGCCAATGCAGGACGCCAGAGGCTGGAGCCACCTGAGCCAGGAAGCTTGGAGGAGCCTGTGCACGGGGAGTCGGCAGGCTGCCTCCAGGCACCCCTCACAGGGCCTGGAAGTCCAGAGGCCAAGTGGGGCATGTGAGGGGCAAACCGGAGCGTGCAGACGGACAGCACCTCCAGGGAGTTCTGCACCTACACCTCCGGCTGTAGCACCAAGCCTACGCTTTCAAGAAATGACAGCATATCTATAACTGATAACCATTTGGCAGGGGACAGTAAAGGGACAGGGTGTGGTGGTGGTGTGAGTGTTGAGTCTGGTGTGGGAGCAGAAGCCACTGCCACCATGGCAAAGGGAGAGACTGGATGGGAAGTAAGGCTGCAGGCACAGCAGGGCGAGAGGCTGTGGGGGGGAGGCAGGGCACGAGGCGAGAGGTTGGGAGGGAGGCGGGGTGGGGGGCACGAGGCAACAGGCTGGCAGGGAGGTGGGGGGCACAAGGCGAGAGGCTGGATGGGAGGCAGGGTGGGAGGTGGGGTGGGGGGCATGAGGCAACAGGCTGGGAGGGAGGTGGGGTGGGGCACGAGGTGAGAGGCTGGGAGGGAGGTGGGGTGGGGCACAAGGTGAGAGCCTGGCAGGGAGGTGGGGTGGAGGGCATGAGGCGAGAGGCTGGCAGGGAGGTGGGGTTGGGGGCACGAGGCGAGAGGTTGGCAGGGAGGTGGGGTTGGGGGCACGAGGCAAGAGGCTGGCAGGGAGGTGGGTGGGGGGCACGAGGCAAGAGGCTGGCAGGGAGGTGGGGTTGGGGGCACAAGGTGAGAGGCTGGCAAGGAGGTGGGTGGGGGGCACGAGGCGAGAGGCTGGCAGGGAGGCGGGGGGCACGAGGTGAGAAGAGAGAGGGAGGGGAGCAGTGCTAAGATGTTGGACAGAAGCAAAGTCGAGGTGAAGCAGGCGTGCAGAAGCTGACGTCCACCGCTTGCACATCCAGATTTCCAAAAAGTCAGTCAGGAGATAGACAAATGTGGGGAAAGAAGAAGGTAGCTGGAGGCAGCCAGGGCCGGCAGCTGCACGCTGGCCATGTGGACAGGGAGATGTGGAGACAGCTACCTGCAGCAGCACGTGGCTCAGCAGGCTCCAGAAATGACAACATAGCCTTCCGAGTCATCGCGTTGGAAAAAATGGGTTGCAATAATCAGAAGTCAGGAATACTTTCTCTTTTTTTATGATTTATTCATTTTTATTGGAAAGTCAGATACACAGAAAGATCTTCTGTCTGCTGGTTGGCACCCCAAGTGACCACAATAGTCAGAACTGAGCCAATCTGAAGCCAGGAGCCAGGAACTTCCTCCGGGTCTCCCACGCAGGTGCATTGTGCCCAAGGCTTTGGGCTGTCCTCTACTGCTTTCCACGGCCACAAGCAGGGAGCTGGATGGGAAGCAGGGCAGCCAGGACAAGAACCAGTGCCCATATGAGATCCTGGCGCATGCCTGGAGAGGGCTTTAGCTGCTAGGCTACTGCACCGGGCCTGGTATCTGTATTTTTGTACCTGGTTTATTTTATTTAACATAATGTCCTCTAGTCCTATCATGTTCTTGCAGGATGACAGGTTTTCTCCTTGTTTGTGGCTGAATATTACCCCAAAGGGAGCAGACACCGCGCTCTGTGCCATCATCCCACCGTGATGGGCATTCGGCCAGCTGTGTTTCTCGCCTGTAATCGTACCACAGGCAGTCTCTGCCCGAGGGTCGTTTCATTTCCTCTGAACGTACGTTTGGTGGGAGCACAGTTGGGCCTTGCGATAGTTCTGTTTGCAGTGTTTTGAGGAACCTTCAAGCTGTTTTCCACACTGTGCTAAAAGGCACCCGTGTGCACGAGTTCCGCCTTCTCCATGGCAGCATTTCAGCCAGCTGACTCAGGATCCACTGCAGCCCTGCGGGGTGCCGATGGAGCGTTGCCGCTGTCCTGGCACAGACATTCCCTGTTCACTCACAACCTTCCCAAACCAATTTTACTTTAGGATTCCCTTTAGATACTCAGCGTCCCCAACTTGAACACTGGGACCTTTAGTTCATGGATTCCATTGTCCCATAGCCTGTCCTTAAAGGTTTGAAAGTAGCCCCGCATGGGGCCCAGCGTGAACTCCTCGACTTGCCTTGGGACCCTGCACCCATGTGGGAGACCAGGAAGAAGCTCCCAGTTCCTGGCTTCAGCTCGACTTATCTCCAGCCACTGCAACCACTTGGGGAGTGAACCAGAGGACAGATCTTTCTGTCTGTCCTCCTCTCTGTAGATCTCCCACTCCAATTAAAACAAGTAAATGCTTTTTAAAAATAGGCCTGGAGTGGTAGCCTAGCAGCTAGAATCCCCACCTTGCACACGCTGGGAGCCCATATGGGCACCAGTTCTAATGCTGACTGCTGGGGTCCGTGCAGTGGGTGTGGATGGCACGAAGGTGTGAAGAGAATAGCTCCCCTGCTTGCCAGGGCCCGGGGGAGCTTCCAGCTATTTGGCAGGGCCCGGCGTATTTCTCTCTGACCACCTTGACGCAGTCTCACCACCTTTTTGCATGAAAACTCAAGCACCCCACTAAGAATTCTGTAATCTATCGAGGCATTGTTTGCCACTGATGTGAGCTTGAGAGTTAATGCCACTGATAATGTCTTGGTGAGTGGGCCTTTGACAATTTACACACAGGAACACAATTAAGCCCATGCCATTTCTGGACACCTTATTGTGTACCTACCCATCACCCTGAAATCGGGCCCAGACATATACCATGCCTTCTGGGAAATGGCTTAATAAGAATTTTACAAAGTAATGGAAGTGATGGGAGTGAGAGCTGAAACTGCTATGGCAATAAATATAGCTATTGTTATCTCTAAGGCTAGCCTGTCTTTGCAATTTTTAGGAGTGTAGGAAATACAATTGTTTTACCTGCTTTTATAATTTTTAGCTAGAGGAATTAAGGATGCTTTTATTAAAGAAAAAGCTTTTGATTATTGTCCTATTGTTTATGAGGTTGTAGGAGTCTATAGTTGTAGGGGGATTTAACATTTGAAGTTTCTGTTTTAGATTTTAGGTTTTTCCCTTGTAACCTATTTTCCCATTAAATGATGGATAAATTGTAGAAATAGAAATGTGGCAGGAATGCACTACTGATTAGCAGGTAATCGCATGTCCTTGGCCTTGGAGTCCTAGCTGTTGCTCCACGGCTACTACTAAAGAATGAATAATGGCTTGCTTTGAAGAATATGAATACAGGATTTTGCAGATTTATCTTTAGGGGCACCTGCTTAGCCCTGAAGTGCAGACGGAATGATCAAATGTCTGTACATGCCCCCTTAGTCTTGAAGTAAAAACAGAATAATTAGTTGCTTGTGTAGAAGCTTGGGACGTGTCTCAGTAAATAAAAAGGACAGTTTTTTCTTGAGCGGTGGTGAGAATGCACCAAGTGTCTGTGTCTGTGTCTTTCTTTATTGCCGACTCCACGCACCCTTCCCAAGCTCCGAACTCAGCTGGAGCTGGACTCCGGCAGCTGACGGTCCCGCTTCCCATCCAGCTCCCTGCTTGTGGCCTGGGAAAGCAGTTAAGGATGACCCAAAGCCTTGGGACCCTGCACACATGCAGGAGACCAGCAAGAGTCTCCTCGCTCCTGTCTTTGGCTCAGCGCAGCTCTGGCCATTGTAGCTACTTGGGGAGTGAATCATCGGACGGAAGATCTTCCTCTCTGTCTATCTGACTTTGCAATAAAAATAAATAAATCTTAAAAAAAAATAGATGAGAATGCTCCCTCTGCCTTTCCATCTCTGTCTCAGAAATAGTAAGTGGAAAACAGGCAATTTTTCTTTTGAAAAACGTGTTGAAGAAGTCCAATATACCCAACTTTCTTTATTGTCAGTTGTGACTTTAAAAAAATCTTTGCACATATCAATGCTACAAATATATTCACAATTTTTTTTTTGTAGAAGGCTTACAGTTTTACAAGAAACACACTAGTTCCTTTTAATTGCTACATTTTCCGGCCCACAGTCCGTTTCTAGCTGTGAATAAAGCATCGCTGTAACTTGGCCTATGGGTTTTTAAGTTTTACAGTTAAACTCAATCCAGTATAGTAAGGCCTTCTACTGTTATAAATGAACACAACTAACAGTATTTGTGCGCAGTGGGTCACAGAGATTAACACAGCACGGTGCACTGACACGCCTGGCTCATCAACTCACCCAGATCACGTCAGCGTCAAGGAAGCTTCTAGCAATGGGAAAGAGCTGGTAATTTGTAGTCTTTGATACCAAAAAAAAAAGGTTCTCGATGCCATGTTTCTAACACAGTATTTGCTGAATGAATAATGAACACCTATTTTTTTTTCCTTGACACATCAGATAACCCCAAGAAAAACATAATTTAAATGAGCAAATGTAAAGAACTGGGCATACCTGTATTTCTTCGCGTTCTTTTTTATCTGGAAAAGTTCTGGCAACTGTAGTATACTTTTCAAATACTTTACGTTCCCTTTGTAGCTTCTTTATTTCTTCCTTCTTAAATTCTTCTATTCGAGCCAATTCTTTCGCTTTCTGTTGTTCAAAGTCTGCAATTTCTTTCCTAAAACAAGCAATATGGTCAGCTCCAGGGACCAGCTCACTGCAGTAATCCTGTGTGGCATCACGGCACCACCCAGTGGGCAGCTAAGGAACTGCAGTCCTGGGGAATCCTCCAGCCCGCAGGGCACTGACCCAGCAAGCATTGACTGGGCAGCCCACGGCGAGGCTGGCACTCCACTAGGTGGTAGGGAAACCAGAGCGACGAGAATAATGAACAAGTTAAACATTTAGACTTAGAAGCATCAAGGAGAAATATAAAGCAAGGGAGAGGTTAGGAAATACGAGGGTGGGAGGCTGTGGTTTCGGTGGCGTCACACCCAGGGTGAGGCAGCGCCAAGGGCCTGCTGACCGGGTCCGATGAGGCTAAGCCAGGGGGGCAAGGCCCACGCAGGAGATGCCCCACGGTCGGGCAGCCTCGGGAGAGGCAGACACCAGCCTTGGGGAAGGCTGAGGACAGCAGCTGTGAGGGCTCGGCCAGCTCTGGCTGCCGTGTGCAGAGCCCGGGCGGGCAGCAGCAGCACACGCCGCTCAGGATGCCAGGTGGAGTGACAGGTGAATTGAGAGCAGGAGCGTGCCCGGGCCCGTCAGGAGAAGACTGCGAGACGACCATGGCTGCGGGCAACAGCAGGAGCTAGCTCTTCCAGAAATGATCCATTCAAGATACTCAACAGCTCTTTGAAGACAAGTAGCCAGTGGGATACGCAGCAGACCTGAGATTCTGAGTTTGGATGGCAGCATGAGCAACACTTACAGGCCTGAGATGGGCTGGGCACTCCATACACACGTGTGCGTACGTGTATGAATATAATATTCACATCTGATGTAACTTCTATACTATATACAAAATGTTAAAATTCAAAGCAGAAAAAATGGGACAACTGTAGCACTTTTGCGTCCTTCATAGATCTACAGATCCGCAAACAGTAAGGTGGAACTCCCCCTGGATAAATGAGCAAAGGTCATAAAGAAATTCACAAAACAAACATAAACACCATTACACGTAAAACTATGCCGAACTCAATCATTTGGACACATCCAAGGGTCAGGGTTGTGATACCGGGAGTTAAGCTGTAACATCAGCAGCTTGTATCGGAGTGCTGGTTCAAGTCCCACCTGCTCTGCTAGCAGCGGGTACCTGCTACCCATGTGGGAGACCCGGAGCAAGTTCCTACATTTAGCCTGGTCCAGCCCTGACAACACAACCATCAGGGAGTGAACAAGCAGATGGAAGATTCATTCTCTCTCTCTCTCTCTCTCTCTCTCTCTCTCTCTCTCTCTCTCTCTCTCCCATCAGGGAGTGAACAAGCAGATGGAAGATTCATTCTCTCTCTCTCTCTCTCTCTCTCTCTCTCTCTGTTGTTCTAGCAGCACTTCAGAAACTGCCACCACTCAGTGCCCATGATGGAGAAACAGGCAAGATGGACTCTCCGATGCTGACCAGAGTGGCAGAGATTTGTAAAATTCTTCGCAAGATCTCTTTTGTTTTTTCAAAGCTACCACGTGCAGGCAATCCGTGACAGTGACGCAGGTGCACTGACACACTCCCAGGCAGTACCGCCACGGTGAGATGTTTAGTATGCCGTTGCATTCAAAGGCAGGTGAACGAACAACACGGACAACGCAGTCCAGAGCTGGAGGCGGCCATCTGGGGTGCAGCTGGAGCCGTCACTGACTAAAGGCACGAACTTAACAGTGCCTCAGTTTCCACATCTGTAAGATGGGAAGGAAAACACATGGCCTAAATTCAAATTTTGATTTGTCCTTACAACAGAGCTTACCACAGTGAGACTGCTCTCCAAAAAGCCATGGGCAGCAGTGTGGTGAAGTGGGCAAAGCCACCCCCTACAGCACCAACATGCCACGCAGGCGCCAGGTTCAAGACCTGACTGCTCCACTTCCAACCCAGCTCCTCGCCAACGCACTTGGAAAAGCAGTCAAAGACGGCCCAAGCGCTTGGATTCTGGCACTGACATGGGAGACCCAGAAGAAGCTCCTGACTCCTGGCTTCAGCCCAGCCCAGCTCTAGCCGTTGTAACCATTTGGGGAGTGAATCAGCAGATGGAAGATCAATCAATCTCTATGTATGTGTGTAACTCATTTAAACAAATAAATAAGTAAACATTTTAAAAAGATAATCATTATTTTAGGATGTAAATGTCCTTTGTGATACAGATATGTAGATAGAGAGATTGATAGGCAGTTACAGAGAGAGAATGGAGACAAAGAATCTTCCATTAACTGGCTCACTCTACCAAGTGGCTTCAACAGCCAAAGCTGGGCTGGTCAGAAGCAGGGAGCCAGGAGCTTCTTCTGGGTCTCCCACATGGGTGCAGGGGCTCAGGGACTTGAGCCACCCTCTGCTTCTTTCCCAGGCTCATTTGCAGGGAGCTGAATAAAAAACGGAATAGTCGGGACTCAAACTAGCACCCACGTGGAATGTCACCGCTACATCAAAGTACCAGCCTCAGAAATTTATATTTTAAAATAATGAAGTATAGGTATTTAATCATTTATCTTGGATAATGAAAGGGCTTGGGATAAGTTCTCCCTTTTAATGACCACATTACTTATAACCACGTATTTACGTTTGTTAGCAGGACTGGCACTTAGACACTCACAATGCACACCACAGTAGCTAGGCTCGATTCCCAGCTCCATTCCCGATTCTGGGCCCAAGGGGCCAGCACCTCAACCCTGGCAGCCAGCAGCTGGGTCCCTGTCACTCACAGGGAAGACCCGGATGGAGTTTCTGGCTCCTGGCATCCGTTTTGTCCAGTCCAGGCTTTCGAGGGCATTTTAGGAATGAACCATGAGATAGAAGCATTCTCTGCGTTTCTCTGTCTTGCAAATTCAAAAGAATTTTCTTAAGGGGGGTGAAAAGAAAAGTTAGCATTGGTAAGACACAGAACATCAGAACCCTTGTCAATTACCAGAGGAGGCACAAACTAGCGTGGGTCCTTTTCTCAAAGATTACATCTACAGCGGCCATATGACCCAGTCCTTGAGCCCCTGGACACACACTCCCAGAATTCACAGCAGGCATTCGCGGCAGGCATGGTACAGCAGCAGCCTGCACCCTAGTCCCACCTCCACCCAAGCTTTTGCTAATGCATGGGGGGGTGGGGGCAGCAAATAATGGCCCAAGTGCTTGGGTTCTGCCATCCACGTGGGAGATGAGCTGGAATTTCCTGCCTTCAGCCTGGCTCAGCACCAAATGCAAGGAAGGAGTCAGTGAATAGAAGAATCCACTCATTTTGACCCTGTTATTCTGCCCTTCAAAAAAAAAAAAGAAAGAAAGAAAATGAGATGTGTACACAGTACGCACAGCCACATCCTTTACAACAGCCAAAGGTACATCCAGGCCGGAGCTGTGCTGCAACGAGTCAAGCTCCCACCTGTGGCACAAGTGCCCCACTTGAGCACCAGTTTGAGTCCCGGCTGCTCCACTTCCTATCCTGTTCCCTGCTAACGCTTCTGGGAAAGCAGCAGCCGATGGCCCAAGTGCCTGGGACCCTACAGGCATATGAGACCTAGATGAAGCTCCTGGCTCTTGCCTCAAGCCTGGCCGAGCCCTGGCCATCGTGACCATTTGGGTAGTGAGTCAGCAGATGGAACATGGAGCTCTCTAATTTTGCCTTTCAAACAGATATAATAAATATTTCCCAAAAAAAAAAAAAACAAAGTGCCCCTTGGAGTAGTGCCCGGATGCAAGTCCAGGTCAGTCCCCAGGACAGCCTCCCACTGGCGTGCACCCTGAGCAGCACGGGTCTCTGCCGCCCACGTGGGGCATCTGGATGGATGTCGGTATCCCATGTGGATCTGGGCACACTCACCTACTACCGACTCCTCAGATGCAAAGGTATTACTGTGGTTCAGGTTTTGCCACACAATAAAATCAGGCCTACGTTGGAAAATAATACTTGCCACGCTTCTCACCGTTGCTAGTGGAGCTGTGTCTTTCAAAACCTAAGTTCTAGGTATTCACGCCTACGAATGCGACCTTCTCTGCAAGTAGGATCTTCGTAGATGCAGTTAAGACATAAAAAGGCAAGATGAGGTCATTCTGGAGTAGAGTGGACTTTACTCCAACAACACTGCTGTTACAAGAAGAGAAAGGACACAGCGACACACACCAGGGAGAACCCCAGTGAGACAGGGACCACAGCCAAGGGACCACGGACACAGAAACCAGCAAAGAGACAAGAAAAACAGTACGACCTCGCTTACACCCTGACTCTGGGCTTCTCACCTCCAGACCATGAGAAAATACATGCATGTCTATGGCGTTGGTTGGGGTGGGGAGGTTGTTTTTGTAAAGATTTTGTAAAGACCTTCCATCCACTGGTTCGCTCCCCAAGTGGCTGCAACAGCCAGAACTGAGTCAATTCGAAACCAGGAGCCTGGAGCTTCTTCCGGGTCTCCCACGCAGGTGTAGGGTCCCAAGGCTTTGGGCCATCCTCTACTGCTTTCCCAGGCCATAAGCAGGGAGCTGGATGGGAAGTGGAGCAGCCAGGACATGAACCAGTTCCCATATGGGATCCTGGCACATGCAAGGCAAGGATTTAGCTACTAGGCCATCTCACCAGGTCCCACATACATCTACTGTTTTAAGCTTCCCAGTCTGTGCTACAATAACCCCAGGAAGTGAATAAAATAGCCACGGTACCATTTGAATTTGTGACTTCAAACTGCTTTTCCAATTTCAATTCATAATCTCACCAGTCAACAAATTCCCCCTTTAGTACACTGTTGACTACACTGAGCCATTTAATTCTATGCGTAACATTTCATTTCTTTTTCATTTACAATAAAATGTTTTGGAGTGGGTTAGGCTGCTACCTGGGACCCCTGCAACCCATATCCGGGTGCCCTGAGTTGAACCCCACCTCCACTTTCATTTCAGCTTTCCCTCCTACACCCCCTGGAGGCAGCAGAGGCAGGCCCTGCTTCCTGCTTCCAGCTGGGTTCAACCCCAGCTGTTACAGACATTTGGAAAATGAACAGGTAGACAGAAAGCCTTTTAAATAAAGTTAAATAGTCTTGTAATGTTTCAAACATTTTTTAAAGATTTATCTTATTTATTTCACTTCTATTTGAAAGGCAGAGTTACAGAGAGAGGGAGAGAGGAGGAGAGAGCAATATTCCATCTGCTGGTTCACTCCCCAAATGGCCACAACAGCTGGAGCTCAGCCAACCCTAGAGCACCCCAGGAGCTTCCTCCAGGTCTCCCACATGGGTGCAGCGCCCCAAAGGACCTGAGCCATCTCCCTCTGCTCTCCCAGGCCACCAGCAGCAAGCAGGAGCAGAAGCAGAAGCAGAGCCGCCAGAACACAGACCGGAGCCCACATGGGATGCCAGTGCCTCAGCAGGAGGATTAGCCTACCACACCACAGCACGACTCGTCTTAAATCTGTAACTTGGGAATTGGCTTTTTTGCCCAGCTTGTACCTGTAAACTTACCTGAGTTTTTCCAAGGCACTTTCTCGTTCGATGCGAAGTTTAGCTAAGGATGTGTTCTCAGCCTTAAATTTTTCTATTTCTGTTTCCAATTCAATGACTTTCTCTCTCAGAATCTGGGATCGGGCACTGTCATCTATAAAATAGGCCATAAATATGGAACTTCACAAAGGAAGCACCAGGAATATGATAAACATTTACGGCATCAAAATGCACCAGGCTTATCTTCCAGAGGAAACCAGTCTAGATGGAACAATCAATCACGCTACACGCTACCACAAAGGAATAAAAGACTCACGCTAAATACACCAGAACAAATAAAAACACTACATATGCAAAGAAATCACTGAAATCAATGTTTAAAATAGCAGGGAATAGCTGAAGAGCATGAATCACTAATCCACAAAGAAATCTGAGTAGATAATTTGATATTCAACTCAAGTTACCTTCCACTGTTAATCAATCCTTTACCCAAGTATATGTATTATTTTTTTTTAAAGTAAAATAAAGAAAAATAAATAAAACAGTCAGGCTTTCTGCCATCAATTGAAAAAGGCCTTTTATTAACTGTACCTTTGGGGAAAACAAACCTGATCCGTACCACAAGGCTAAAAGGAAATGACACGTTCGGACTCTGTTAGCAAAGTTAAATCGCTGGAAGGGACCATCCCAAAACGACACAGCAGTTTGAAAGTTCTTACCTGTTTTCTTTACCTCAGATACATGAAGGAAACAATATGGAAATAATAGTCTTACCCACTTTCCTGTAGCCCTTGACCCTTTTTACCCCAATTAACTATGTAAAGATTGTCAAAATAAAAATTTAAATAAATAAATAAAGTTCTCACATGTTTGCTTCTACTCCTTTTTTATCTCAACTTCCCAGCTTTCTACAAAAGTATTCCTTTAAAATCAGAACGGTGTTTTGAATTCCTGACACCAGAACTTCCATCCATGCTCCCTCCGGTACTCAAGCTGTGAGGTTCGGATGCAGCAGGAGGCTTTTCGAGATAAGTCTGAGAAATCCGCCACAGCAACTGGGTCCAACAGTCAGTGAATCCAGCAGAGGAGGTGTGCGTGAGCATGGCAACGACCTCCAGCACGGATCCCGAGAGTGTGCGGTACTTCTAGGAAAGGGAGCGAGCACCAGGTCCAGGAAGGGATGGACACTTTGTGGGGGGGTCCATGCTGCTCTCAAAGGTCTCACGTTCCATGGTTTCTACCGCCCAATCAACCAGAATCTGAAAACATTATGTGGACAATTGCCAAAATCGTTCACAAATTTCAACTTGCACAGCACTTTGGGTAGAATGATGAAATCTCGCTGTCCCACGCAGGACATTATCATCCCACACGCTAAGTGACACCATCAGGTCACTCGGTACTCATCTCTGCTACCAGACCAACCGCCACAGTTCTGCAGAATCTGTGTTCAAGTGACACCCAGGCCATTACATGAGTCCTCTAAGAGAAAGGCACAGAGCCCAGCAACACGCAGTAAAAAGAAGGATCTGGGATCTTCCAAGATTCCACTCGTGCACATGGGGCTCCAAACCACACCTCCCACAGACCCAGGGACCACCGGACTGCTGCTTTAAGCCATCAGGGGCTCGTCTGACAAGCTCATGTAAGAAGTACACAAATATCAACGTCTTAACAGTCACTAAAAGACTCACCTTGAGGGACATAACACCATCATGTGGGTCCTCCCCTGCTGTGAAAGGAACTTCAATATTATTTCATTTCATCCTAAAGTAATTTCAAGCATCGGGAAAGCTAAAACACAAGTTGGAAGAACTTGAAGGCATAATGCAGCTGCATGTCACGCTAATGACTATTACATGCTTTAGACCAACAAAACAAATCAAGGTTCTCCAAATCAATCATTGATTTCATTCGCTGGGCAACACTGACGTCAGCATTTTAACCACCTTAAGGGCACGGCGATAAAACAAAGGTAGACTTTTTTAACACTCCAACGTGCAGTTTATAAGGCTGACTCACCAGGTAGCTGGTCTCGACTCGTGTTTAACTTGGGTCCATTGTCCAAATGCGAATCTGCTTTTGGTCTCGGTTTCGGCTTCAAAGAGGGGAAGATTTTCATCATGAGTTCCGACGCAGGAGGAGGGCTCCGGCTCCTGCCTGCCTTGCTCGAGTCTTCTCCCCTCTTGACCGGTGCTACCTTCCTTTTTAACGTTCTGTCCAGGACACAGATGTCACCTTTATTCAGGGAGCGTGTCTGGGGTGTCCCATAAACAGCTTCATCCCCAAGAACAGCATTGTGTTGACACAGATTCTCTTCCAGGTCAGTCCAAGTTCTTTCATCATCAAAGTCAATTGTACTCAGATTCGGAGATGAGGGTCTTCGGGCAGAAGTCTCGGACCCCAGGTTTCTCACGCTCCCTGCCATGATGCAGCCATCACTGCTACAATCTTTATCAGACAGATCCAGTTCCACGTCTCTCTTCTCCTGTTGAGTCGGACTGTCCCCGGAAGGCCCCTTGCCATCGCAGAACTGTGGGCTCTCCTCCACGCCGCTCAAACTCCTCCCTGCCTCCTCAGGCAACGGTCTTAGGGTCACATCAAGCTGCTCCTCGGAGTCAGTGCCACCATCACTGTCGCTGACGCCGTCCTCATCGCTTGCTTCCCACGGGGCTTGGTTTTCAGAACTGCTCAAAGTGTTTTTCTGGCAGGCTTTGCTTCGGATGTTACACGACCATTCCCTCGGGCCCTTAGGTGAGGACGCTGGGCCCCGGAGGTTGGGAGCCACCTCACACTCACTTCTGTTTTCACGGGCAGCATGGTTGGGACCCTCCCTGTGGTCACCCTGACCATCAGCGCCCCCTGGACGTGCCCTCTCTGGCTGCGCAGCCTTCATAGGAGTGGAAGACAGCCGGTGACCTTGGCACGTCTGTTGATCCCTTGCTAGGATCTTCAGCACAAATGAGGAATTACTGGAAAATGAGATTTCATCAGCAGCTTGCTCTAGGAACAAAAACTCATCTAGTTCCAAATTTTCCTTTTCCTTTTCTCGTTCCCAGTTGTCCATTTTCTTCTGAAGAGAAACGTCCAGAGAAGAGTCCAGCTCTTTCACAGTCTCGCTCGCGGAGCCTTTGGGAGCCGCGGACCCGAGCTGGCCTGGGGAGCCGGGCCGTCTGTCTTGTCCCGGTGTCTTACCCCGCACTCTGCAGCCGGGATCAGAAGGGTCTGCACGCTCGGGTGCATCTTCCTTGCTATTAGGCAACTCCACCTTTTTGTCCAGTTTGCTGTGGTCTCTCGGTTGCCCGTCACATTGCTTGCCTGCCTGTAGTTTCAATCCTGACAGAGAGAGACTTTTTTTATTATTATTATTCTTGGGCACATGTAGCTTCTGACCGAGTGTGACGGCAGCACTCCTGCTTCGGACTGTCCTGAGCCTTTGAACAGCAGGGCCCTCGCCGCCCAACTCTTTACTTCTAAGAGCGGTCTTCCGCTGGCACTGGGGTCTGTCCATCTGAAACCCGGGCTGGTCTTCCACAGCGCTCTGGCCACACGCTGGTTTGCTCTCCTTCCCTTTCTGAACCTTAGCTTTGGCATTAGAAAATCTAGCTAAACCTTCTCCTCGTTTTAAGAATGGTTGTTTGGGCTTTGCTTTGGTTAGCCCTGGTCCTTCCGCTTCCTAAAAGAAAAGGACAATAATTGAAATCATTTAGGTACAGGACAAGTCCTCTCAAAGTCATTTTTTACAGCAACTCATAAACAAATCTCTAAAGTCTTAGAATAATTTATTCAAAATGGTGCATTTACTAACCCTCATCTGTTTCTGCTTCCGTTCTTGCTCTTCTAGCCGAATTTGTTCTTCCAAGTAATCTTCAAATGTCTGTTTCCTTTCTCTTAGAACAGCTTTAATAGGCCTAGTCAAAAACAAAGTTATTTAGCACACAAACTCCAGTGTGTGACTATTTTACTTAACATGCCTGATTACACAACTTCAACTACACTGGAAGTTGAAGATGCACCCCCACCCCCCGCCCGCTTTGAGAATCCAATGAAAGCAATAATCTCCACCACCCCTAAAAAAACACAGGTATTTAACCTTCTGCACATGCCTGGGCCCGTGCGGACTCCATCCAGGGCCTACAGATTCACTCATCATAGAACTTCAAAACTTCTTTCAAAAACTGCCCACTGATTCAGGCTCTTTCAGTAAGAAAGATCGTGAATGTAAACAGAGCCACGCGTCATTCTGCCCATACATGATGTACATGAAAATATTTCAAATATGTCATAATTTATCTAAAAGATAAAATCATCGTCACCATTTTTAGCTCTTTGATTATACAATTATAATCTGCAAGAGACACCACATGTGAGACCCCCGCTACTTCCTCCTCCTTTTCCAAAACAGAATTTAACTACACTTATCCAGATGTGTCTGTGAAGTGCAAAAACCTTGGCTCAGTTCCTCCAGTACAATGCCAAAGCTTCTTTCACCAGGACCTCCCAACCTCTTCCTGTCACCACATGTGGCGGGTTAGTCTTAAAAACACTCAAAAGCACATTCAACTGCAAACAAAAGTATAGCTCTTCCAAAGAGCTCAATAACAGCATCAACCATGACACTGAATTGCTCCGTCTCTTACTCCTTTCAACGTTTATACCTTTCTTCAATATTAATGACTCCTGAGGGATCATCGACTTTCTTAAAATTCATCTCACTCTGTCCCAGAATCTGTTCCGTCATCGATAAAACACCTTCTCCTAAGATAAAAATTAAGCGACAATTCAGTCCAACAAAGGCAGGTGGCAGGCTGGAGGCACAGCAACTTTACAACTTACTAAGCTAAAACTTCATATGTAATTAACAATCATGTATGCCAACAATTTTAGAATACCCAAGCATTTATTTAATAAATGAAAACCATAAAACCCAATAAAGACACTTGATATTCTTCAAAAGATAACGCCATGGGGGCGTTGCAAAGGCTTTTCTAGAATAAGAAGTTCTAAAAGAGTCTTTTGGGGGTTTTTTTGGCTTACTTGGGGTTTTGTTTTTTCAAGATGTATTTATTTTATTTGGAAGGTAGGTTTAGAGAGAGAAGGAGAGACGGAAGGAGGGCTCTAGAGCTTGCTGGTTCACTCTCCACGTGGCCACAACAGCCGGAGCCCGGCTTCTTCCGGGTCTCCCGCATGGTGCCAGGAGGGGCACATGTAGCCGACTGCTTCCTTTTAAAAAAAAAATGTTATCTATTTATTTGAAAGGTAGTGACAGAGAAAGGAAGAAAACAGAAACAGATCTTGAACGTGCCAGTTCACTCCTCGGTGTCTTAATGCCCAGGGTTGGACTGGGCCAGCGGGAAGCCAGGAGCGAGGAGTTGCACCGTAGTGTCCAGCACGGAAGGCGTGCCATCGCTGGTGCTTTAGCAGGAAGCCTTAGTGCAGACAGAGGAGCCAGCAAGCAAACTGGCAACCCGGTACGAGATAGGGGCATCCCAAGGCACCTGCGCCCACGGTGCCACGGTAACCCCACCAGTGTCCCCCCTCTTTCATGACCTCATGTTACCAAGCAAAGTTTCGGCTGAGCATCAACAATGAGACGATTTCCAGCAAGACAAATGCTAGCATAGCTTTGAACCCAATTCCAACTCGGCAGCGATGAAGCACGTGACATTATCACGATTACAAGATGGGGAAAAACATCACAAAGAGCTTCTCCTCTCTGAGGCCACCCGGTAACCCTGCGAGTTCAGCACCGGGACACACCTGCCGCATGGTTCTGCCGTTGCTCCCCTGCGTCGCTTGTCACAAGCGCGTCTGGACCCTGCGCCTCACAGAACCAACTGGGAGAAGCGCTTCGGGAGGCGGAGCCATCCTGCTGAGTACGCGAGCTGATGTGGTCATCAGGTAAAACACTGCAAGTGTGAGCTTTGTCCTGGCCTTGGTTCGAGAAGACGTAAGATGGTAAAAAGGGCACGGCCTTCTCTCTGGCAGCTGGATGGCCTGGCGAGCCGTACTTCCGGTTCTGCTCATCGGGCAGTAAAGCTTACAATGAAGAACACCAAAGAGGTTACCAATTTGCTACGACATCGTGTTTTCTGCCTAGTAGACCACCCCCTGCCCACTCCCGCCCTGCACGGACGTCTCCAAGTCTATTTTTCATGTGAGGAGAAGATACTCCAGCAAACCATGAAATTGTCAGGTTCCATGGTGAACCTCACATAATTTCAAGTGACAGCACATTCACAGGATGCTTCCCACGCAATCAGACCGTGGAGGACAGAGCTGCAGCTCCACGAGCTCCCACAGCGGACTCCACAGCAGCTGACAACCTGCGGCCCTGTGGCGGCAAACTCCTCGTGCACCAGGCACAGCTGCCTCCACACCACCCTCACGTGGCACCAGGCACAGCTGCCTCCACATCACCCTCACGTGGCACCTGGCACAGCTGCCTCCACATCACCCTCACGTGGCACCTGGCACAGCTGCCTCCACACCACCCTCCACGTGGCACCTGGCAGTTATCTCAACAGCACGTGCCTGGAAAAGTACTCTCCCCTTCCAAGGGCCCTTGAAGTCTAGTTCTCACATCGAATCGCTGGTGACTTTCTCTGGCCTCTAAGGATCCCGGTTTTGTTTGTTTTTGCTTTTTTTTTTTTTTTTGGTCTGATTTCTTTCCTATGTTTCTGCTTTAGAAAGAACCCGACAGAGTTCCCCTGTTCGATGTTTCTAAACTCCTTAACAGAAAGATGGCACGCTAGCCACCCCGCTTGCGGTGGCAGCCATTGAAATCCAGTTGCCAGCCTCCTCTCTCCAGAAATCATTACATTCGGACGTGAAAACATACTGGGAAGTACTGTCAAAACTGCCACTGTCCCCGCCACTAGACACCTAAACCTTGCTACACAAACAAAAATAGAAGATGGGGCCCGGCAAAGTGGCCTAGTGGCTAAAGTCTTTGCCTTGGACGCGCCGGGATCCCATACGGGCACCAGTTCTAATCCCAGCAGCTCCACTTCCCATCCAGCTCCCTGCTTGTGGCCTGGGAAAGCAATGGAGAACGGCCCAAAGCCTTGGGACCCTGCACCCATGTGGGAGACCTGGAAGAAGTTCCTGGCTCCTGGCTTCGGAGCGGCATAGCATCGGCCGTTGCACTCACTTGAGGAGTGAATCATCAGACAGAAGATCTTCCTCTCTGTCTCTCCTCCTCTCTGTAAATCTGCCTGTCCAATAAAAATAAATAAATCTTTAAAAAAATAAAAAGCAGCATTGGGGCAGGCCTTTCGCAGAGCAGTTAAGATGCTGCTCAGCAATGCCTCCAACCCACTTGGAAACAGCTCGGTTCTGCTTCCAATTCCAGCTTCCTGCGGATGCGCACCCCACAAGACAGCAGATGATGGGCCAAGCAGCTGGGTCCCTGCCACACACAGGAGGCTCAGACTGCGTGCCTAGCCCCTGGCTTCAGCCTGGCCCGGCCCTGGTTGCCATGTGCTTTTCCAGGGTAAACCAGTGGACTAAAGACACACATATTTTTTCTCTCTCTCTCTCAACATAAAATATATCAATGAGTTACAATTTCGTTTTTGTGACTACTAAATGCAGTGAAAGGACTCTTCAAGGGTGGGGCATCTTTTCAAGGATTAAGATGCTTGCACCTGGTCTCCGAGTATCTGGGATACAGCAGATGATGGAAGACAATGGTGACGGTTCAAATCCCTGGGTTACTGACACCCACGGCAGAGTCCCAGCCCCTGGCTTGGAGGCGGCCCACCTGCTGCTGTCATCAGCATTTAGGGAATGAAACAGAAGAGAGCATCTGTCGATCCCAGCTCTCTGCTTCTCGAATCAACACTGTGTACACATGGCTGGCGCTAGAGACACAAACTACTGATGCACACATTTCAACAGTCTCCCCCCCCACACACACACACAGGCAAGACGCCTCCCGTTTACTGACGCAGCAGCAAGCGAACACTGCCACGCAATACCACCGACAGAATCCATCCACTGACCAGGGTGGCTGACTCACGCGTTCATGTTTTAGACTCAGTTTTCATTCATCAAGAAGGAGTTGCTCTAGGTCAAATTTGGCTTTTCTTCTCTTGGGCCTTTTCCTACTATGATTGTTTTTATCTCTAATGGGAAAGCAATTACACGGGACACATGCACTCCAGAATTCCAGGGCCCCCTCTTGTCCCAGCTCTATGACACCACCACCTGCTTGCTGCATACCTGCCCGGTCCCTAAAGGTTGGAGGAATGGTAGAAAGAACGTGTGAAGCAATAAAACAGCAGAACCACCTGCCACTGTGTCTCGGGGTGCTGTGGAAGGCTGTGTGTGTGGACACGTACCAGGCAGTGCGTGGGGCCCCGGCACCATGCTGAGCAGCTTCTCCTGCTCCTCCACCAGTCGCTGCAGCTGCTCCAGCTGCTGCCTCTTCAGCTGCTCCTGCTTCTTCTGCTGCACCTCCTTGAGCTGCTCAGCACACAATTAACTTATTACACCAGCCATGCGTTACCTCACAGACCCCCAGCCCACACATAACCTCCCCGTTACACAGCTCCAGAAAGGAATCCTTCAGGAACTAAATCTGTCTTCAGAACTCTAAACATCCCACTTGCTTATACCAGAAATTGGTACCAACGAAGAAATACATGTGAAGCCATCTGAAGCCTTTGATTCCTAAAATAAAACAGGTATCAAGGTATCATCAATTTCTCTTTAATAATTGATCAATTAACTCTGAGTTCTTCCCCAGTGAGGTAGCAACTTAAAGCCATTAATTCACATTAAGTATACGATGCATGCCCCTCCCACACATGCAACGCATTTCAATGCTTCACGTTAGACAAAAGGCAAAGACGAGTACTTGGAGAATTCCAGAGTAAACCAGAAAGACCACCCAGAGGCTGCAGAGACGACCTCCGCATCAACGGAAGCCCCCAGCGACACAAAACCACACAAAGCCAAGTTCTACTGCACCTGTTCCAGCTTCTTCAAAAGTGGGTCTTTATAAGCCACTTCTTTGAATTCACTCCCAAGAGGCGGAATAAGGTCATTTTTGCTATCCTCCTGGGATCTGCAGACATCCTGACAAACCACCCTTTGCGGACCCTTCTTGATTGCGGGGAAGACGGTGCGGGCTTCGGGCGTGTCCGCCTGCGGTCTGCGAGGGCTGCTGCGATCCAGCTGCTGCTCTCCCCGAAGGGACTCTCCCTCACTGACGAAGCTGAAGCTGTCTGAAAGTCGTGTGGCTTTCACAGGAAAACTGGAGCAAACGTCTTCACTTGCTCGCTTTTCTTCATCGGCTTCCAACACAGGAAACCCACGGTTTAATATGACCCCAGCCCGGGAGGGATTGGTCATCCACTGGCTTAGGAAGTTCTGCCCACTGCTGAACTCTGAGGCTGGTGGCAGGAACATTTCAGTGCGGTGACACTATTACAATAAATAATGTAAAAGCTAGAGAAGTCGATTTCCAACACCTAGAAACACAGACAGACACAAAGAACTATTACAACTATTACATATTCTACCCAAAACTAACCCAAACTTCAATCTCGCGTGAAAATTTCGTCAGTATTTCATACAGCAAAGTCTCGAATCAGCAAAGCAATCAAGCATTAAACTACTACGTTCAAGATGTCCAAACACAGCAGATCAAAAATTTTAAATTCCTCCTATGGGCCTGGCGTGGCAGCCTAGCGGCTGAAGTCCTCACCTTGCAAGCACACTGGGATCCCATATGGGCGCTGATTCTAATCCCAGAAGCCCCGCTTCCCATCCAGCTCCCTGCTTGTGGCCTGGGAAAGCAGTCGAGGACAGCCCAAAGCCTTGGGACCCTGCACCCACACGGGAGACCTGGAGGAAGTTTCTGGCTCCTGGCTTTAGCTCGGCGCAGCACTGGCCGTTGCAGTCACTTGGGGAGTAAATCAATGGACCGAAGATCTTCCTCTCTGTCTCTCCTCCTCTCTGTATATCTGCCTTTCTAATAAAAATAAATAAATCTTTTTCAAAACTAGAATAAATCTTTACAAAAGAAAAAAATTCCTCCTTCAAAAATGTTTAATCCCTCCGTACCTAATCATTCAACTGCACAATGATATTATGCAAGTGCTAAATCAGTTGACCTAAAACACCTTCAAAGCTGCTGAATTTTCCCAAAAGCCACCACGGGGGCCACGAGACACAGCACGATGAGCCGCACACGCAAGTCCTGCTTCCCACGTGGGAGTGCCAGCTTGCGTGCTGGCTTTCTGCTTCCAACCCACCTACCTAACGATGCACCTGACAAGTGCTCAGGGCCCTGTTATCCGAGTGGAAGAGTCAGATGGCTTCCCCTGCTTCAGCCCTGACTACTGCAAGGAACTGGGGCAGTAAGCCAGCGCATAGAAGATCTCTTTGCTATTGAAATAAATTTTTTTCTTTAAAAAACCACTATCAAAAAAAAAAAAAAGCCACTAAAAGCACTCACTTTCTCCCTAATTTTTTTTTTAATTAGGCTTTCTTTCTAAAGATCTTTTTTTATTGGAAAGGCAGATTTACAGAGAGAAGGACAGACAGATCTTCTGTCTTCTGGTTCACTCCCCAAGCGGCCGTAACAACTGGAACTGAGCCGATCCAAAGCCAGGAGCCAGGAGTTTCTTCTGGGTCTCTCACACAGGTGCACGGTCCCAAGGCTTTGGGCCGTCCTCGACTGTTTTCCCAGGCCACAGGCAGGGAGCTGGATGGGAAGCGGGGCCACCGGGATATGAACCAGTGCTCATATGGGATCCTGACGTGTTCAAGACAAGGACTTTAGCCGCTAGGCTACCGCGCCAGGCCCTCTCCCCTAGCTTTCTGTAGCACTGAGCCCAGTTCCTTCATGCCCCATTTTTCTCCTAACCCCTCATCATCAGACAGACTCTCATCTGTGTTGCCAGAGGGCTTTGGCATCATTGCTATAGCCCTTCTCTCACTGACACGGGGTATCCTGCTCTCAAGCTCATATTCTACCGAACCTCGGAGCTTCCTGAAGACGCCTGCATGTCCGCCACTGCCCGGCCTCACATCTGGCTGAGAGTAGGAACATCTGCCAAAATCAAATGAAAAAACAGATCACAACGAACACTGGCCTGAAAACTAAATCTAGCACTGTAAGAAGCTGTCTGTGTGTGTTCATTCATTCAACACTCAACAATAAAATTACGTCGGCTCCTGCCACAGGACAGCTACTGTGCCTGGATTCTCAGACTTCCAAACATTCCTAGGAACTCCCATCAAGATGAGAGAGTGCTCTTCAATCGGACACCGCGGGGGAGATAAGCCCTTCCCCGTAATAGGTCTGCTATTACTCAACAACCATCGGCGGAGTCCTTACTCCGAGCCGCCTTGTTACAGGTGCTAAGGAGACAATACCAGCGTGTGGGAGAAAGAGGCTGCAAGCACAGGCCAGGTGCACAGGAAGTCCTTACCTTTAACACTACAGGCTGGCTGCAGGGCACAGCATGGGCTGTGCAGCTCCCACGGGCGGAGCAGGACCAGCTCACCTGCAGGAGAATCCCATCAGTGCCCCGTTGTCCTAGGGACCCAGCATCACCACCACTCCCTACCTAGACCTTCTGCAGAATGAATCCAGCTAAGTAAACCTATACCAGCAACCACAGAAGTCCCCCGCTCTGAATCCTTAGAGTCTAAAAATTCTAATAGCCAATTATGTCCGAGATAATGTACGATTCTGATGATCCATTCTTCCACACTAATCCCAAAATCAACTTTGGATCTCTTATGATCAGCCTGTAACACCAAATATCCCTCCTCTCTCATCTCCCACACTTCATTCCCCAACAGTCCCCTGCTGACCCACTGGGAAAACAGAGCTGTCATTTACTGACATGAGGAAGACCGAAGGGCAAACAGGTGCGGGGCAATAACACACACCAAGATGGACTCAGGAGGGCAGGCAGGTGCCTGCTGGTTAAGACACGCAGCACTCACACACAGCGTCTGGGCTGCACTTCCTGCCCCAGCTCCCCACTGCACGCTCCCAGGAGGCAGCGGGGGTGACCCCAGTAATTGGCTTCTCGCCACCCACGTGGGAAACACGAAACAAAGCCCTGGCCTGCAGGCTTGCCCAGTAGACCCTAGCCAGCAGACATGTGGAAAGAACCAGCAAATGACAGCACTCATGCTCACTCCATCTCAGCTCCACTTTCTCTTCATAGCTCTGAAATGTTTCCTTAATGTTTGAACAAGAGTTTAATTGCCGGCAATTTAAGATGGCTTATTGCACGCCCAAGCAGAGGCATTTTAATGGATGCAGCAGAATAGAATGCACAGAAGACATCAAAGCTGCAAAGCATCAATCCGGGCATCCTTAGCACAGGAGCAACCTTTACAGCTGTGTCCCTGTGGCTGCATCCTATGACTGCTGGCTCAAGGTGATGCTCCACTTCCAATCCAGCTCCCTGCTAATGCACCTGCGACAGAAACAAGGAAGACTCGAGTCCTTGGTCCCCTGCTACTCAAAGAGGAGATCCAAATGGAACTCCAGACTCCTGGCATCAGTCTGGGCCCACCCTGACTGCTACAGTCATTTGGGGAATGACTCAGCAGATGAAAAAATTCATTCATTCATTTTTTTAAAAGCCTCGCCACTGGCACCTCCCTCTCGGGTTGCCACTCTGACTGGTGAGCATGAGAACCAGGACTGGGGCAGGTATGGCTAGACAGAGTGGCACCTGCCAGCAGGTATAGTGGCTGAACAGTGGGGCTGGATATCACATATCTGAGAGCTGAATGGGATATAGCTCAGACTGGACCAGTCTGTTATACATATTGGCAAGCACGGGAACCAGGGCAAGGGTGGGCCTGGTGGGGGTTATTGCGGGTCACTCTGAGTAGGCTACAGCTCCCATCAGTTTATGTGGCCGAGTGTGTGGTGGGTAGAACTGGGCTGGGCTGGGCCGCAACACCCATTAGTTTGTGTAGAAGACAGCGATGGAGACGAACTGACTCACCTACTGCAATCACCAATGTGCATGTAAGCTGATCAAGGCGACACACTGTGCCAGTCCCTGTATTGATAAACACACACAAGAATCAGGTCTGGGATCGCCTCAGTGAGGTTTCTTTGGGGGTCCCCCAATGGAACCAGTGGACTCAGAACTTTAACCATGTAGAAAATCGCAGGATCCATGGTCTGACTGTGGAATGCTTGTGTCAGAGCTGGGTTTCTTCGGTGGTTTAAATGAAACAGCTGACAGGATGGCCAGTTGCACACGGAGGGTATGATGGTACAGTAGACCCTGCAGAGGACACCTGGTACCAGGACAGAGGCTGGGGGACAGAACAAATGGATCAACTACCCCAGCCAAGGGTTGGCAGTGAAAATCTGGGCAAACGGAGACTCGGAGATGGACTATGTCAGCCAGGGGATTCTGGAGAGATTTCATCATGCTTAGAGTGGTGAGATGGGCAGCAATTCAGAAGTGTTCAACTATAAACCACTTGAGCAGGACCCTGGTGTGGGACCGGATGTGGCTTTTCCCCTTATCTCTCTCCCCTTCCCCCAGATACAAGAAGGAAAAAAAATGTGAAAACAATGGCCTTACCCACTTTCCTCTAGCCCTTGACCCTTCGTACCCTAATCAACTATGCAAAGATTATCAACAACAACAATAACAACAACAAAGCCTTGCCGCTGGACATCACCAGCAAGGCACTGAGCATAGGCCATGGCAGCCCCCACGGGAACAGCTCCCGGCAGCTGGGGTAGGGATGGGGCGGGGGGTGGAAATGAGAGGATGCCCAGAAAGAACTAGAAATTGGAGGAAGGAAAGAAATTGGAGGAAAGGGAAAGGGGAAGGGAAGGGAATAAAATGAACAGGAACTGTACTGTCGGTAGACTGGTGAGGATACACGGAGGGCAGAACAATTCTAGATTTTAACCATATTAAGGTGACAACATAAAAATGCACATACAACCAAAAGGAATAGAAAAACAGTGATTTAGAGGAAAACAAACACGCATGTCACTTAACTAGACCTAACACACACATGCCAAAGATTTTAAAAAGATGCACAAATATTAAAAATATGCTCACTCTCCTTGCACTGAACAGAAATTTCAACAGTAAAGACATATCCCTTTTCACATACAGGGTCGTCAGAGACCAACATCAACACCAAGGGAAGGTGTTTGCAGAGTGTTCATTCGGGTCACCCCTCTGGATGCCCACCCCAGCTCCTCCACTTCCAGGCCAGACTGCTGCTGCTGCTGTGTGCCCTGCAAGGGGCCCATCGGTGGCTCAAGCCCCTGCCACTCCCATGGCAGACAGGAAACAGACCTCCTGGCCAGCCCAGCCAGCTGCTGCAGGCATCAGAGAATAAATCAGCAGGTGTCGGATTTCTCTCTCTCCTCTCTCTCTGCCTTTCATACAAAA